AAAAGTTCTTACAACTTTGTGATGCATAATTGGAGGACTGGTAAAGGAACAGTAAACAAGTCACACATAACCCTGTCTTTAATAGCTTGAACATACAACCATGTTTTTCAACTGGTGAAATTATAAGTTCATTTGCACAAAAACTCTGCAGCATTGGTAAGATAACAAACCTTGAATTATGATAAAGTTAAAAGAAATGACACCATTATGCATTTCAGTTAAAAAAAAAAATAAAAAAAATAATGGTTTATTTATATGTACTGTGTGTGTGTGTGTGTGTGTGTAATTATCTAAGTGTAATTACAGGATGAGAGCTATGCTCATGGTGTCCCGTCTTAAAAGTACTCGGTCATATAACACTTTGAAACTACTGTACTGATGGTTTTGGTCACCACCTTTCTTAGCTTGTTCCAAATGTCTACCACTCTGTTTGCAAAAGAAAACTTTCTAATATTTTTCAGCACCTTTGTTTCCTTAGCTTGAATCTGATTCTTTTTGTTCATGAAGTTGCTAGTTTCAGGAATTCCTCTATCAATTTGGTCGATTCCTGTTAGTATTTTTCAAGTGATCTTATAACCTGTTTTTTCTGCTATCATCTAGTTTTGGCATGTTTAATGCCTCTAGTCTCTCCTCATAACTCATGGTATGTGTGTACTCACCTAACTGTGCTTGTGGGGGTTCTGGCTCTTTGGTCCCACCTCTCAACTGGTGTACAGATGCCTGAACCTATCATATCTACATTTGAAATTGTGTATGGAGTCAGCCTCCACTACATCACTACCTAATGCATTCCATTAGTGTGTGTGTGTGTGTGTGTGTGTGTGTGTGTGTGTGTGTGTGTGTGTGTGTGTGTGTGTGTGTGTGTGTGTATTTATATATGTTTCATTGAATATGACTGCATATTCTGTATTAATTATTTTCTTGTTTAGTGCTTCTATCCCTCTGACTAGTGTTCTAGCATCTTGGTTTAATTGGAAGAGGAGTTCTCCAAAGGTCATCTTCTCCAACGACGATAACCTTTGGAGAACTCCTCTTCCAATTAAACCAAGATGCTAGAACACTAGTCAGAGGGATAGAAGCCCTAAACAAAAAAATAATCAATACAGATTATGCAGTCATATTCAAAGAAACATGTACAAATGAAAACCTGCTGCCAGCATACACCATTATTTATATATATATATATATATATATATATATATATATATATATATATATATATATATATATATATATATATATATATATATATATATATATATGTCGTACCTAGTAGCCAGAACGCACTTCTCAGCCTACTATGCAAGGCCCGATTTGCCTAATAAGCCAAGTTTTCATGAATTAATTGTTTTTCGACTACCTAACCTACCTAACCTAACCTAACCTAACTTTTTCGGCTACCTAACCTAACCTAACCTATAAAGATAGGTTAGGTTAGGTTAGGTAGGGTTGGTTAGGTTCAGTCATATATCTACGTTAATTTTAACTCCAATAAAAAAAAATTGACCTCATACATAATGAAATGGGTAGCTTTATCATTTCATAAGAAAAAATTTATAGAAAATATATTAATTCATGAAAACTTTGCTTATTAGGCAAATCGGGCCTTGCATAGTAGGCCGAGAAGTGCGTTCTGGCTACTAGGTACGACATATATATATATATATATATATATATATATATGTCATACCTAGTAGCCAGAACTCACTTCTCAGCCTACTATGCAAGGCCCGATTTGCCTAATAAGCCAAGTTTTCATGAATTAATGTTTTTTCGTCTACCTAACCTACCTAACCTAACCTAACCTAGCTTTTTTTGGCTACCTAACCTAACCTTACCTATATCTATAGGTTAGGTTAGGTTAGGTAGGGTTGGTTAGGTTCGGTCATATATCTACGTTAATTTTAACTCCAATAAAAAAAAATTGACCTCATACATAGTGAAAAGGGTAGCTTTATCATTTCATAAGAAAAAAATTATAGTAAATAAATTAATTCAGGAAAACTTGGCTTATTAGGCAAATCGGGCCTTGAATAGTAGGCTGAGAAGTGAGTTCTGGCTACTAGGTACGACATATATATATATATATATATATATATATATATATATATATATATATATATATACATACATATATATATATATAATGTACCTAGTAGCCAGAAAGCACTTCTCGGCATACTATGCAGGGCCCGATTAATAGGCCAAGTGATATCCCTTATTTTCAATAAATTGTTTCCAATTGGTTTATTTTAAATATTAATATATTATATTAAGAACATAAATTATTGACTTAGTTGTGTTAGTTTAGGTTAGGTTAAGATAGGCTAGGTTAGGCTAGGTAGGGTTGGTTAGGTTCAGTCATATATCTACGTTAGTTTTAACTCAAATTGAAACAAATTAGCTCCTACATAATGAAATGAATATCTTTATCATTTCATAAGAAAAAAATTGGAAAATATTGAAATTCAGGAAAACTTGGCTTATTAGGCATAATCAGGCCTTGCATAGTAGGCCAAGAACTGCATTCTGGCTACTAGGTACATATATATATATATATATATATATATATATATATATATATATATATATATATATATATATATATGTATATATATATCATGCATTTTTACAAACATTAACAGTGCTTAAATTTCACTGCATCCAAAATTTCATATATGTACAGTGGAACCTCGGTTTACGAATGCCCCGGATTATGAATTTTTCGGTATACCTTGAGGTGTTTTCGGGGATTAGTGTCCCCGCGGCCCGGTCATCGGCCATGCCTCCTCGTTGCAGGACCCTGTATACTGTTGCTGTATAGTACAGTGAATTTTCTCGTAAAATTTGACTTAGTGTATGAGGTTTGCTTTGGAATACATTTGTTGATACATGTATGGGTCGTTGAGCGTGTGGGTTCTGCTGGGCACGGGACGAGGCATGCTTAGTTTACCAGTGTATCTCATCTAGTGACAACCGCGCTTGAATTCTTTGTGAAGAATTTAATTTTTTCTGCTTTTTTGGTTTCTGAACATAAAAGTTATTATTTATCATGCCATGGATCACAAGAAAGTCTGTGGTAAAGTTCAGTCTAAGAAAATCGTTGTGAGGATGACGATAGAAGAAGAACAAGAGATTATTCGTAAACATGAAATTGGCATGCGGGTTGTTGATCTAACTAGACAGTACAACAAATCTATGTCAACGATATGTACCTTAGTTGCTAAAAAAAAAAAGGACATTAGGAGTGCTAAAGTTGCAAAAGGCGTAACAACAATTATGACACAAAGAACAAAAACACTTGATGTTGAAAAGTTATTATTAATTTAGATAAATGACAAGCAGCTAGCAGGTGATAGCATTTCAGATGCCATCATTTGTGAAAAAGCAAGGCTATTGTATGAAGATCTTATAAAGAAAACCCCTGGAATGAGTCATGCAGATATGAAAGCATTTAAGGTGAGCAAGGGATGGTTTGAGAAATTTAGAAAAAGAAGTGGTATTCACAATGTTGTGAGGCATGGAGAGGCTACCAGTTCAGACAAAAAGAGTGGCTGAAAGATTTGTTGCTGATTTTAAAGATTTTGTAGAGAGAGAGGTGGGTATACCTACCACAAAAGTGTTTAACTGTGATGAGACAGGGCTATTCTGGATAAAATGCATAAGACATACATACATTACCCAGGAGGGGAAGGCATTGCCTGGACACTAAGCCTATGAAAGATAGATTAACTCTTATGCTGTGTGATAATGTGAGTGGTGATTTGAAAATTAAATCCTTGATCGTGCATCATTCCAAAAATCCAAGGGTTTTAAAAAAATATGATGTGCACAAAAACAAACTGAATGTGATGTGGAGGACTAATTGTAAGGCATGTGTGACAAGGCAATATTTTACCAAGTGCATGAATGAAGTGGTTTGCCCTGCCATCAAAAAATATCTGCAGGAGAAAAGTTTGCCACTCAAAGCCCTTCTTCCCCTGCTCATCCTCCAGGCTTGGAGGATTCATTGTTGGAGGAATTTAGCTTTGTTACAATAAAGTTCCTTCCTCCCAACACCACCACTCTAATTCAACCTATGGACCAGAAAATCATTTCATATTTTAAGGAACTTTATGACAGGGCACTTTTCTTGGAGATGTGTCGAAGTGACTGAGGCCACAAACCTTACCCTCACAAAGAATTCTGGAAAAACCATTTTCACATTTTGAGTTGTTTAAACTTCATAGACAAAGCCTAGGGAAGCAGTGACTCAAAGAACCATGATCTCTATCTGGAGAAAATTGTGGCCTGAATGTATTCCAGAACAAGACTTTGAGGGATTTGAGCCTGAACCTGCAATGCCTCCTGTTGAGGAAATTGTTTCTATGGGCCAGATATTGGGCTTGGAGTTGGATGGTGCTGATGTGAAGGAGTTGGAGGAACACAGCGAAGAACTAACCACTGAAGAACTACTAGCCCTTCACAAGAAGCAGAAAGAAACAACCGAGGAAATTTTTTCAGGGGAGGTGGTGGCAGTAGAGGATGTCCCTTCCTCATTAAGAAATGTGTGCAGTTTGGGTAGTATATAAAAAATATGAGTAGTGTTCAGTATAAAATGTATTTTTAAGTTAATATTTTTGGGTGTGTGGAACGGATTAATTCAATTTACATTATTTCTTGTGGGAAAATTTGTTTCGGTTTACGAATTTTCCATGTACGAACCGTCTCTTGGAACTGATTAAATTTGTAAACCAAGGGTCCACTGTACTTATAAACTTTTTCTATTTTGTGTACTATTACTCCTTCTGAATTTACAAATCATCATGACATGTGGGTGTATAATATCAGTTATTTTGAGATAATTATAGAAAATGACAATGTCAATACATGGAAGTGACAACAGAAATATTTGTATTAGTAACTTACCTGCAAGACCCTGAACTACCGATCAACACTCGTGCATCATTCTCTGAATTTAGTTAAGCCACAAAATATTGGTTACTTTTCAAATATCCATCAACTAATAAATACATTATTGTACTTTATTATGACAAATGTAACTTAAAAGATTCTCAATGAATTATAGCCATTAAATGAAGAATGCATATGTAACACCAAACATGTAATAGAAACTGTCCTCTATGGTACTGTATATTCTTTCTGCTTTGTTCAAGTCTATTCAGTCAAACTCCATTCCAATTACCAATGTAACAAAATCTTAATACACCTTTTCAATTTTCCCAGAAAGTTACATATTTTACAGTAATTTCTGAATAAAGAATAAAGCATGTAAAGACATTTTTACAAAATAAAAGCATTAAATAAATCTTGTACACATCCACATATGCAAAAACCTTAATTTTTTCATACATGATTAAATCACAAAATCTATACTATATAATCAACAGTGATGATATATCAGATCACTTAATTTACATAAATTAACTAGGAAAAGTGAGAAAATTTATTTCATTTATGATAATCAAGTAGAGAACACTTAAGCCAATAATATATTATCACAACAATGACCAATAAAAGTCTGTTCCCAAATACCTCAACACACTTCTCATTCATCTCGTACAACCTCCCTTACATACAATATCAACTCTTAAAAATTGTTATTGTGCATAGAAATATACTTGCTAAACCATTAGGATACACATACACAATATTTGAATGTGAAAGTGCACTCTTACTGTAACATTCCCAAGTGGACATTTGTATACATTTATATACATATTTATTAATGTCATTCTGTAAATGTATTAATCAGTTGAATCTCAATAACAGTTTGACTTATTATGTCCACTTGAGAGAAAACTGACTAGAATATGATGGGCAACAGAATGCCAATTGAGGTTAGTTAATGAAAGCAAGAGTTGAAGATTGGAAAACATTAAGTATTGACTTGCCAAACTTTCATTTTAATGATGCACTTATTTCTGAACAGGAATTAGCAGAACAAAACCAATATGAGTAACAAAAACCAAATACATTAAATAATAAACCTCACTGTTCCTAAACTAAAAAAATAACCATCACTATAAAAAAAAAAATTAAAAACAGGTAGAACCAGGTTGAACAACTGTTATTTATTCATTTGAATATAATAATTTTGTTGTAATTTGTTTTAGAACAATTAGCAAACTGTGTTCCTTGCCAAATAATAAAGTACTGTTATACAGTAATGAAAGATTTTTGGGTATACATGAACTCTTATTTATTTATTTATTTTTCTATACTTTCTCGGCATTATTCTTACCTTCCAAAACATTACTATCTTATTTTAGAACTTGCAAAACTGCAGTATATTGTTCAACATTTAACCAAATTGCTACTCTTAGTACTGGGGCATACTGAGCCACCACCTATATGGAGGTCAGTGTAAGAAATATATTCTGGCTTTCCGTTGTATTGAAAATATGAAAAACATCCCCAAAATAAAACTGCCAATTTTTACCACAGAGCAAAGAGAGTTGAACAAAAATTAATCTGGATCTCAAAATATGATGTGGCAAGTGAATCAATTGTGATGTGATCCACAGCAAAATAAATGCAAATATGTAATGAGCCACTTTGTATTTTGGAATTAAACAATACCAGTCAGCTACAAGTATTAGGCAAATTCTAATACAGGAATAACTGCTGGAAATCAAAATAATGAATATTTTTTTTTTATACCTATACTGGCATAATCACTTACAACAGCTGCCACTTTTGTAGCAATATACGATATATACTATACTAAGGTGGAATTCTTATACTGAAATAAACGGAGCATAATATTCGTTGGCCAGTTAATTTTTTAAATGAATGGATTTTCATGTGGATTGATTAACATGGCAAGTTCAGTGTAATGATCAAAGAGGATTTTAAACAATATTGATAATACTTACGCTGTAAATATTAATCACATGATCCTCTACCAATACTACTCCCCTAAAATAAATTTTACTGTAAACATTTTTCATTGCATTCTGGTAACTGAATTCTTGGCCATTTACTTTAACACTTTACATACATCATTTAGGCAATGCTCCAAACTAAAGTTGTTAGCACCTATAAGCAGCAAACCGAACCTTTCAGATGTGGTGGTACGGAACAGGAGCCATAAAACCCTGATATTGGGAAGGATGAGGAGCGAGTTGAATTCCAGCCATTTGCTGTATGAACCAAGCATACCTGCTCAACTCTCCCTCCCATCTTTGATTCAAGCCACTAGTACGAACCACTTATTATTATGTTTTTCATTAAAATGCAATAACATTACCAAATGATTTTTTTGTAACTTTACTTCAATGCATAATTGTTAATACAGTATTCTTTTATTCTTTATTTACACTTAAAAGAATATTCAGTAATTTCATTTTGCTTTTCCATCATTTTCTTTTCAAGGTAACATTTTTACTTACGTATTTTTAACAATAATCTATTTTTATCATAAAGACTAAATATTTCTCAGTTTAAATGAAATATAGTACAGCAAATTGTAAATTGTACTCTTCACTATTTTCTTCAAGTCTAAAGGTGCACTTTATACCCCAAACTATGCAAATAAAATTATACCTCTTACATTTCCTCTATTTTTTTTAACCAAGAAAAAAATTTGCACACTAGCAAAGCTCCTTTCTTGCATATTTCTTTTCAAATTATAACAAATCTTTCTCCAAATGAAATATTAACTAGTTTAATGAACACAATTACAGATTACATAACTGCAAGAATTGTTCGATTGATAGTAACTAAGCGGCCACATAACATATTTATTACCACTGGGATGAGGGAACGAGGGAAGGAGTGGATACCCACATATCTCTCCACATTCTTTTAACAACAAAAAAATCTCTTAAGAAATAAGCTTTACTCACAAATCACTCAATAAAAACAATAGCAAAATGTAAGTAATAAAACTGATCTATTTTATTTTTCAGCTTCTTGTTCCTCCCTAACATATATTACACTTGTCACCTGTCCCCTTCCATTCCAGTGTACGTCCCATAACCCTACAGGTGCAACATGTCAGTGCAGTTGTGTAGAAGCATATAATGTTAAACAACAGATTCGGAGCTCAATAATTAGCCTTAGGAATTCCCCCTAGCCCTTTTCCAGTCAGTAATATCCCATTTTCCTCAGGCATATTATGAACAATAATGACATGCAACAATGACTAGCTTTGGCTGTGGTGCTTGTTTTTAAGTAATTACAGGAAGCAAACAAGAAAGGAACATTTAATTTGTTTACCAAACACAGTCCTAATACATACAAATTTTGTTTATGAAGCTACATGCTGCCATTACTAGCTGGAAATACTCATACATGAGGTGAATATGGAGTGCATCATTTGCAAATAAAAACAGAAGATATCCAACAAGTAAGACAGTGTAACACATAATAAAACTATAAAATATTTTAAAGTTTCTAATATATCATAAGACCCAGCATAAAAACTAGTTCATGGCAACATTATAATAGAACTAGTGGTGCTCAGAAATATTACTCAATTTGTTTAAGGTTAACACGTAATGAAATACAACGAAACATATTTTGGTTTATAAAGTTGAACTTACATTGAGGGTGATTCCAGCTGGATCTTGTACTGCATAGGACTGGCTTCATGATGAGAAGTACGTTCTCTCCACAGCTTCTATCGTTTTCAACATTTATAAAATTCTGAAGCCAACTGAGCTTTCGAGATTCTCATTATCATATTTACAGGAGCAAAGCAGTAAAGAAACACAAAGTGTTGAATACAGTAATCTTCCTGACAACTATTGCTGATAGTAAAACAAAACATTACTTACAAATCTGTATCCTGATCATCTATAGCCTTGCAAAATTAGCCGAAAATCTCTCAGGAATCACACTATGAATACCATAAAAGATATATAAAGTCAAAGATCCAGCAAGATAGTATGTATTAAATAGCATAGATGATCAAGGCAATACTAAAAAAAAAACAAAAAAAAAAGAGGCACTTTGAAAAGAATCTATTAAAGGAAAATTGATTCATTTTCGAAGTTAACAAATTATTTGGGAGTAAACGAATAACTGTACAGTACTGTAAACATAAAATACTTTGTTTAGAAACACTAGAAATATCCCAGTTCCTTTGCAAAGGAAAGTGCACCAATACAGTACCATTAAGTTCACGACAAATATATTTGTCTTCATAAACATCACTCCATAATCCACCTTAAGAGGATGGTTAGGGTATGCCTCATTTGGACAGCAAAGCCATTAAAATTATTCTTTTCATAAATAATGAGGAGAAAAGATTTATGACAATGTAATCTCTTCAAATTCTTAAAACTTATTTATTTTTGCAGCAACAAAAGGTACTGGGATAGTAAACAAGGCAAAGATACGCTAATTGTAAAAGAAGCTATGTAGAAGAAATGAAATGAAATGTGAAATTATAAGGAGAATGTTTATATGAAACTCATTTGATTAATAAATATTAACAATGACATGTGATAATATTTATAAACTACACCAAAAAATGTATTATATATATATAAAAAAAGGATAAATTATTACAAAAGTTTGTCAAGAGAGCTGTGTACATAAAATGAACGTTTTGGTACAAGTTACATATAATCTTTGGAATAAAAAAATCTTAGTTGGGATGGCAATATATCATCTCCTTTTAGATTCATTACAAAAAGGGAAAATATCTAACTTATTACTGTAGAGGACCGGAATCTGACATTGTCCACAACTTGCAAAACTTAACGAACACCACAACCCGCACAGGCACTGAATATTAACATTAATAAATACATTAATAATAACTGGGATAGATGGGCTAGAATTGGACAATAGCTACGAGTTATGACCAACAATATTATCTGCTTCTGTCTTGACAGAGGCAGCTTTAGTAACTTTAGTTTCAATGTTTCCTGTGACCACCGATGTTGTGGGCAGCTTCATATCTGCTATACTAAAACCAGGAGCAGCTTGATGATCTGTTGACACTCCTACAGACTCCAGAATGCCCTTAAACTGCTGAAGGGTTTTCCGTAATGTAATACAAAAACCTTTTGAAGCTGGAATAAGTGGAAATTCTGGCAGTTCAACTTTGGTACTGGTATCTGAGGGAAACAAAAAATAAAGCGTTGAATGTAATGAAACACCATTTTCTGGGCGAGCCCCAGAGGCTCCCTGAAGCTATCCGAACTGATATATGCTATACAGTATTAATTTGGGGTCATCAGTCACAGGAGTCCTTTTGCCTACCAGGGACCATGAGCCAGAACCTGGCCCCCTCAGAGAGGCGCAGGAAGTAATAGCCAATGAGCACTTTACATTTAAAATATGTCATAATTGCCATCGACCGAGAAGGGCACCCAGAAAGGTGGGCAAAACAAAACAGACCACAATCTGGTGAAAATTGTGACCTACGTCCAAAAAGTTCAAACAAACTCTCCCGGAAAGAAAACACACAAGCAACACTTCATCCAACTAGCACTCCCGCTAGTTAGCGCCCCCCCCCCTCATCCTCTAGGCCGGCATCCCACCACCCCAGTTCTTGAACAATGAAGACCACCAACAGGAGGGGAGGGAAGGTGTCAGAGAACCTCCGGGGCTCACCCAGAAAATGGCATGTCATTACATTCAACGCTGGTTTTCTGTGGGGAGACCCGTTGGCTCCCCGAAGCTAACTACCCACAGATAAGTAAAAACATGGACTTGCCCAGGAGGCAGCACCACAGCAGGTCTCAAGGAGAAGTAGGAACTGACGGCTGCGACAGGCTCCCCAATGCAACACAAGGCCGTAGAGGGCCCGGGACGTTCACGAGACAGCTGGCGGCCATTACCCTGTTCAACTTCCAAAACCCCAGCATCCAAATGTCAACCAAAGACTCGTTACCAAAGACAGCTGCAAGAGCAGCATACTTACTCACATCATGGGCACAAGGGTAGACCGCAGGCTGGCTAGACTTAATTACACTGCGAACAACCTAAGAACCACAAGCTCTGGAACAGGTAACCAGGGGAAACTGAATCCACCCAGAGCGAGTACACCGTCACCGAACCAGTGGCCCACAGGTAGCGACGTAAAGCCACCACCGGACACAGCACATGATGCGCCCCTGGCCTAACTTTATTTTTTTGCAGGGATATTCCTGCATGGGCCCTAACATCAGCCGCTACATTGAAGTAAAACTAGTTGCGCCAGCTGCAATGCGCTCGTCCCAGCCAATAACACTCCCCGACCTGAGGCAAGACTGAAAGCCCAAGACACCTGACGTACCCCAAGGGCGAAGACAACGTCAAGCGACGAAGTGCCCAAACAGAGTGATTCCAAAATACCCCAGGGAAGATAACCCTGACACGCAAGGGCAGTACTTACGGATACCCTCCCTGGCTCTGAGGGGGCCAGGTTCTGGCTTGTGGTCCCCTGGTAGGCAAAAGGACTTGTGACTGATGATCCCACACTATTACAGCACATATCAGTTCAGATAGCTTCGGGAGCCTCTGGGGCTCCCCACAGAAAAGATATTAACATATATAAATATCCTTTGCATTGTAAAGTAGCCTGATATAATAAAGCAATCAAACCAAATTATAGTAGTCTTCCTGACTCTCAACTTCCACCATTAGGAATCAATGTAGTATTTTTCTCTATAGGATATCTAGATAATTTATATGCAATGTATACAGAACTAAGACAGCATGGTTATTCAGATTGGTTAGTTTTAAAATGTTAAAATTACTTGGTAAAGGGCTTAAGTGATAATGAAGCATTGTTGTGCTTACTCTTCCTAATACCATGTTCACAAATAACCTTTTGAAAAATGTGTGCTTACAATGCACCGAAAAAACAGTATAATTTTTTATTTTTTTCTGCTGCTAAAAGTAAAAGATAAAATAAGTACTGTACCTGATTTATGTATTTCTCTGAAGGTAGTGGGTGTTGTTGGTGAGAGTGGGTGACAGATATTGTAATTCTCAGATATTTCAAGCCAGCACTCCAACCTCTGTACTTGTCTGCAGGTAGACGATAGTTACAATTATTCACTTTATTTTATATTGCTTTTGTGTATGTGAATGACAGAGTAGTAATTTATAGGTACTGTATATAAAAAGTAAATGCCAGTTAGAGAGAGTTTAGGCAATTAAATAAAAACACATGCAAATGAAGATTAAGGAAGATCTAAAGAGGAATATACATCACGTTGTTACAAGGTGTTTATTTGTCTTTTGAAATTAAAGGTTCATGAGCAGGGAACAAACTTACCGAAAGGCTTTCATATGAAAATGATGAATAATTTCATTTTTAAAGATATCAGGTGGTGCCTGGATCACTTTTGCCATAGCCTGAATAAGTTTAAGGACTACCATTTCATTGTACATGCGCGAGTTTTCCCGTCCCTGCTGTGTGCCTTTCTGACGCTCATATCCAGCTTCATTGAAGTATGGTTCACTCACTAGGATCAAACCTACAAAGGAAGATACTTTTTTTTTATCAAATATTCACAAAAACAAAACTATACACACATAAATACTGTACAATATATTCATATTTTTATTTTGGCTCAAATTTAAATAACAGTAAATATTTCAATATACTGGGACAATGTAAAAAATTACCTTGCTTGCTAAACTTATTTCCCAGCCTATAATTTATAATGTTGTCGGGAAAGTTTAGCAGTTCATGATGAGTGGTTCATCATGAGCTAAACAATATCTATAGTAATGGTTTGTCTGCGTGTGGCGGTTCTCTTCACAAAACCAAAGAGGTCACTGATCAAGCAAATAATACAACTGACACTAACCCTGTATAGAAATGATGACCTGAAGAAGATTACTTTGGCTTGTCCACACCTCTGTGCCTTTGCCACTCCATGTACCAAGAAGAGATACACAAACCTGCAAAAGAAAGGTTTCACATGGTTTAAGATAATTACCATAAAATACTACTGTATATCAGTAAAAGTATTAGGTAATAATTCTCTATTTTTAGTGCAGCCCAATGTACAAAATTTGATTAGGAAGTACTGTATACAGGTTATCCTTAGTTGTTGTTTTATTATATATATATATATATATATATATATATATATATATATATATATATATATATATATATATATATATATATATATATTTTATATTTATTTTAAGCCAAAAAATAGCACAATGTGAATGTTGAGCCATCCCTTGCTGTGAACCAAGAACTGAAGGATTGTTCAGTGTACATAAATGGATTAATTATACATAGCCTGTATTTTATAAACTCATACTGATCAGCTTTCAGTCAGTTAAGAATACATTTGAAAATGAGGTACAGTATGTGACATTGATGTTTTGATTAAAATTTATTAACGAATAAAATTGTTTATAAATTATGTGTATGGTAGATGACCAGATATCTGCTTCATTATATAAAAGAATTACATTCATATTTGTAATGAAAAATACAAATTTTAAATGGAAAATGTATTTTAGAAAACCAAAAGTTAGACTGTTAACCCCAGAACTGCCTACCTTCCCATCCTCATACAGGTTTGGATTGAGTTTGTCAGAGCAGTAAGTAACATAATGACAAAGTGGGGGAGCACGTGGGTAGTCTGCCGATAACTGGAAGTCAAAAAAGAAGAGGCCATCTTCATATGGAGTTCGTTCCGGTCCTCGAATCATGACTGAGTAGAGATCCTGTCATGAAAGTAAAATAAGTATATAATAACTAGTTTGTAGTACATTTAATTAAAACATAATTTAAATAAATGTATAAGAGCATTCAACATACTTTACAGGTACAACTCAATAGAACAATAGCTCACAATAAATTCCTCAATGGGATGAAAAGAATTGTAAAATGAAAATAAATTTTGATATACTGTAATGGAATAATGTGTCTGTTAGACCAACATGACTTATTACTGACTTGGTATAGACATACCCACAATTTCATATTTTGTCTTATTACAGTATTTACAAATCTCATGACTAAGTAAATATTAATAAAAAGACAGCTTAATTTATTTATTTAATGTTTACTATACAAGCAGTGTTACTAGAAATTGTTTAATGCAGTTTGTATGTGTAATTTTGTTTAGCATCTGTAATGGCCATAGTGTGCTATAACTGGAAGCATCTCAGCAATGTTCCTTTTTCTGTGCTGCATGAAGTGATATCGCATTACTCAAGAACTTTCACACATTAATAGTCAGACGAGTCAGAAGAGGCAAAGGAAATATCAAAACATGTTAGAGAAGGCTAATTATATTAAGAAAACTTAGGGAGTGTGAAGAGTAAAGTGACTACAGGATCATTCAGTATCAACTCCAGAACTCTGACAGATATAAAGAAACAAAATACAGAAAAAGCAGTGATTGTAAAACTTGAGATAAAACAATCAAAGTACAGTACTAGTATGTGGATCTACATTAAGACTTTTTAAAGTGGTTTATTCAGTAACATACTTTGGGAGTGCCTGTTTGGCAGTGAGCAAATCAAATCCCAGTAGAGATGTGCTCTTAACTTGGGAAATCAGAATTTTAGAGAAAGTCTGGCTGGCTTCACAAATTTAAAAAGAAGTGTGAAATTAAGAGGAGGAAAATCTATGGTGAAAAATAAAGTGCTAAAGTGGAACCCTTCAAAAGAATAGTATAGCAAATTGTTTTTGAGCATAGATCCAATTTGTTTCTTATCTACCTGATAATGCTGTTAAAACAGGTCTGAAGTTGACAATTTTTCTAAGACACTGTCCAGTAAAATTGATGAAACTACCTGGTCAAAACGTTAGCAAAGAATATGTGCAGAAGTTGTGTGTGTGCCAGTTTAGATGGCTCTCATAAAAATACAGACAATTGTAGGCAAGACTACAGGACCAACAGGTAGGAAAACTGCTAGCATAGATCTTTTTACTACTAAAATTCCAGCACTCCTTGGGTAATGTATACTAATACATAAATAATCAACCCACATAAATGAAATGAAAGCAACATTTCAGCCCATCCTGAGCACCTATAAAATCGAGACTAATACATGCAGGGGAAATGAGGCCAATATAAGACAAAATAATAGGTGAATGAAGATGAGTTGACATGTGAGTGGTAAAGCAGAGCATGAAAAACAGAGCCAAAGGCAGTTTCTTAAATCCATAGTTTTCTTGGTTTTCATATGGTACCCTGAGGATGCTTTCAGTGTACAGTATTGATTAAAACCCTACAATATTTCTGTTATCATAAAACTGACTCTCTAATTCAAAATGGTTTGTGTAACTATTTTGTAACCCTAGAAACCATTTTATTATGTTTCAGCATAAAACATGGAATAAATTTACATAAGAATAATAAACAAACATCATATAAAGCACAATAATTTAAGAATACATCAAACAGATGGAAATAGAAGTACATACAGTAGTATATGTTGAAATTTATTATTTATTTGATGACAACATAATAAAGTATAGCTTACAAACTCGAGTAAATACAAACACAAATACTGTAATTGTGTGTGTGTGTATTTGTCATCAAAAACAAAGGGCGCCACAAAATTTAAGTAATTCTTGAAATGAAATACCTTACCATTCTATCCTCATAGCCTCTGACCCAGATGCCTGGAGGGAGGGATGTTGTTAACAACTTCATTTCTTTGCGAACTGTTCTATAGAAATGTGGCGGATCAGTTGGCTGAAACATTGTCAGCTTAAATTTATGACTATCAGGAGCAGCTTCCAATACCAGAAAACCTGAAAAAGACCAACAGTAATAAGCACTCACTACTGCAGTTATTGCAACAAAATAAATACATTCTGTACTGTACCTGGAAAAATATACAGTAGATCATATGCTTCATTCTATTTGCTTTGATTTGTAATCTTAAATGAGTTTACAGTAAGCAAAATGTATCTCAAAATAGTAATGCTTTATGTGCTGCTATGGATTATGGCAGTCTCCTAAGTCAATGTGAAATATGACTACTGCACAACTATAAATCAAATATATTTTCACCCCTTAGTCAACAATAATTAAAATACAACTTGTATAAAAAGTAATGAGTCGTGGTCACAAAATGGTTAGGGGTGACAATCTGCTGGCTCAAGTTCGATTCCCAGTGTAAACAACTGACACCCAGTTCACGTAAATACTCATTTTTTTTCCTTGAGCAGATGAACTGGTATCAACACTGGCTCAGAAACTGTTTTCTTAGTTCTGTGACTAGCTAGCAAGCAATAATGTATTTGGCCCAAGTTCTCTATAGCTGCTTACATCAAAGGACACAGACTCATTTACATTTTATCCCGAGACAACTTGAGGTGACATTACTAATTATTTGATATTTATAATTCATTCAAACATTCCTACACAGCATGAATAACTACACATATTTTAGCTACTGACAAGCAATCAAGCATCAATATATACATTGTATACATTTTTGCATATATCAATGTACCTGTATACATGTGTGTGGGCAACCTGTCCTCTCGAATAATACTATACATCGCATCTTGACATCAAAATCCACAACTGACAAAATATGATGTACTGTACATACTATGCTAGGAATCATAGTGGCTCAAACATTCAGATTTTCTATGTATGGGGCACTTGATTAGGTAAGGTCTGGGTGTTTTAGTACATTGTTTACTGTCTATTGCAGCAACTCGAGAGGATGGGCTGGTATGGGACTAATTGTCTTTTGAGATAGAGTAAAAATAGCATGATCAACTTCAAGTCTTGGTCAATGGTCAGTAAAACTGGGAGAAAAGTTGAAACACAATATTTATTGTCTATAACTGAAAAAGTACCAGTTTTGGTTGTATTTTGCAAAACATTGAGCAATTTTATAAAACTGCGATCAAATTTTAATGCCAAAAGTAAAGCTGTATAATTTTTCTTCCAGTCACATTCTGAATTTTAACTGCAAAAATTCTAAAACAATACAGACTAGTGTCTTTGAATATCAACAAAAACATTAAAAATGTCAGAAAATTTTGCACCAACTGATATTTGTAATATTACAAAATTTAAATTAAATAATTATCAAAAGAAGGCATCAATAACCCTGCCAACATCCGTAGATTAAGGAATTAGTGACTGGGTATCAAGTTGAACAAGGAATGTCTTTTAGGGATATAGGACAAGTGAGACTGGTCTCCTTAGAGGCAGTGTTTGCACATTCATTTAAGGTCAGCACGAATATGGCTAGGAACCCAGCAAAAATCAACTGTCTTAAATCTGCTAGAGATAAGAAACACTGTTGAATTTTGACTACCACAGGATGCAAAGGGTTAAATGACTCCAGAGCCAAAAGAACACTATCAGAATCAACCGCAATGACAAAGGAATATTGACATCAGAAAAGCAGCTGACAAAGCGCATACAAAATTGCATGAAGTTTTGCTCTGAAGATGAGTCTACAGGGGCATCCAGCATATATAGGTTTGGTCAGGAAAAACAATGGAGTAGCCAACACTGTCAGCAGACTTAGACCTATCTGTGAATAGTGCAATGGAGTGTGTGAGGAACAGATAACCTAACCATACCTTAACCTACTTAACCATGGACAGGGAGTAGATAATAGCACCAATTACATAATGGTTTTGAAGGTATTACCTCCAGGGGTATCTCCTCCCTGAGGACAGGATGGAACAAAAGTGTTCAAGGAAAAGACCCTTTATAACAGAAGGAGAGGTATTAGCCTTCACCATGTGAGGTCAAGACCTTGCAAAACTTTCCACATTGGATCCTCTATTGGGGGGCAAGGTTGGAATGACATGAGGAGATATTGCAAATGTCAACTGAGAGGGAATCTTGCAATTAAGACCTTACAAGAAAAGGAAGGTGGTGAAAGGGAACAGGGCCATCCTGAGGTGGTAACTGTCAAAGCATAGCATAAATGAGTGAGGATGTTGCGGGGAACAATGCGAGGTAGCGAAGGCAGTAATGATTATGATGATCTTGTAGAGTCAGGGTGCCGGTTTCTACAGACAAGCTCTGGGTATGGGAAAATGAAAGACAACAGAGCTGAGGTGTAACCCAGTAAGGTGCAGAGCATGAAGACGAAGAAAGGTCGCGGAAAAATATGGCAGGCATGCCACTGATGCCCTTCATCACCATGTTTAGCCCGAAGCATCCCTAGTGTCTGGGTGTCCTGATGGTCCTTAACTTTAGGTCCTGGCAAGCCCCGCAGGTCTTTGGTGTGGCTCATTATGGATTAACCCACTGAGCCCACACTCGCTACTTGCGAGTTTGAGGGATGTCTATCACCACTGTTACATGTTGATGGTCATTCATTGTCTCCACCATGTTGCTGATTTGGTGGGTGATACCTTCCACTCTGTGGCTTGCAATGTTTGTGTTCACTGGGTCTGTTCTTGCTAGGCCTTCTTCTAGACATGAGGCTTATCAAGCAGCAGCCTCATTACAGGTTTGTTTCTCTAATATTCATTGTGTGGGGCTTGGTGCTAACATGGCTGTCCTGTAGTTGTCCCTTATAGTGTTTAAGGATTTGTAGTTGGAGCAGTTGGTGAATTCTACCTGTTGAAAGTCAGCCCCTCCTCCTCCTCCTCCTCCTCTAGTTCCTTCTGTGGTAGGAAAAATGTAAATGTACAGCTACAGTGTGAAGTTAAGATTTAACAGAGCCTTAAAACTCGGTAGCTCTAGGCACATGCCTCAATTATATCTATTTTTAAGGCGGTGAATGATGTTTGCCTTCAGCACCTACACTGCTAGTTCATTTCACTTGATCATCACTCTTGTTCCAAATAAGTACTGGATGTTTTTATATCCATTTAGCTCATCTGTGTCTTCAATTTCATCCTTTATCCCTTTGTTATTTTTAATTTGAAAAAGATTATCCCTGTTCATCTTGCCTTCCCCCCTCAGTATCCTGTACAATATATTACAATCATGTATCCTCTGGTTCTTGTCTCTTTCTAGCATTGTTAGGATGATCACCCTAGCCAGTCTTCGTGTCCTTGCTTAAGTTTCTGGTACTAATCTTGAGGAAATTCTCTAGACTTTCCCAAATAAAAATTTGCAGTTCACAAGGTGCAGGTTCCTTGCTGGTACTGCATATGTATGTTCATGTGTGTGCTACATTAATGGATATTGTGGTAGAAGCTTGAACTTGGTAGTCTGAGATTATAGAAATAAAACTGGAATCTCAATTCATGACACTCCAAGAGCTGTGCATATTCGTATGAAGGTTCCTTCCTAACTTAGCCTCTGGATGCTTTTTTCTTACCTAATCTAATTAGCTACCACACAACTAGCCACATACATCATGTTTTTCACATTTTCACTATATTCTTTAATTTGTTTACCATTGACCACATATTTTTATAATATATTATAGGCTCATTTCTCATCCACATACTGAGTTGGTATTTAGCAAACTTACATAGCTGTTATGGTTGAATTTCCAAGAGCGTGCCAGAATAAGACTTGAATGGGACAAGATGTGAGAAAAGGTCAGCAGAATGTATGTCAGTTCTTTACATATCACCTATATTCAATCAACAGGTATAATAAATACTTCTAGACAATCCATAATAAATTAATAAAATGCTATGTGAACAAATTATCTAAGATCCCAAAGATCTACTACTCCACAAAACTACACAGAATCATTCTCACCGTCTGGCTCAGAGCTTGGAAGACAGTTCCCAAGTGCTAGTCCACAACCTAGGAAAGCAGCATGTGGAAAAGGTTTGAATTAAACTTTCTGATACACTGTGTATCACAAGACGTTCTTTATGATAACTATTATTTTGATTATCATGCACATAAACATGTATAATGGGCATCTTTCACTAAAGTAATACAGTGGAACTTCGATTAACGAATTTAATCCGTTCCGGCACCTAGCTCGTCATATGAAACGCTCGTCTTTCGAAACGAATTTCCCCATTTAAAATAATGGAAATAAAATTAATCCGTTCTACCACTGAAAAATATCAATATGATATGCAATTTTGTAAATAATGGAGCAGCCTACCTGACATACACTGAACAATGTTTTGAGTTTCCTAACCCAAATATGCTCAAAAGAGAACATCCTTACTACTAAATGGGACAATCACCATTGTTTTATTTCCCATTTCATGGGTTGGAAGGAAGGCATGTTTATATTTCTAATAATCTATTTATCATACACGCTGCCCTATAATATATTTGTACAAGCATTAATTAACCTCATTTTTACTTGTGTACTGCTTCAGCATTGATTGCAGTAAATCATCATATAAAGGCATCTTTATATTGTAATAACAAAATAATTGGCTTTTGATAAACATTAGAAATACAAATAGACAAACAGAAAATTTATAAATGCTTTTATTCTTACCAAATGATTTATTATGGTGGCAATGCTATATATAAATATAATGATTTGTTATGGTATAAGGGCCTTACAGTATATATAATACAGCCTATCACTTTAAATATCATTGCATATTTCAATTAATGTTTTTAGGAAAATTAAATCTAATTAAAAGTTGAGATCTCGTGTAATGTAACGTACACATACCATATTCTTCACAAACATTAGTCCACGTAAAGGGATTCCATAACTTTCAACAAAATATATAAAAACTTTCTTTGCATATTAAGAACCTATAAAAACTTTCTTTGCATATTAAGAACCTATGTTATATGCATTTGCTAAAAAATTTCCAAAAATGCTTTTATTGAGAATTGTCATAATTTGATTTAGAAATATTTTAGGGTCGAGATGCAATAAAACTTTATAATCCTAACATTTTCTGACAATGATATAAAACGACTTTGATAACTTATTTTGACCGAGACTTCCATGGGGTGAAGGAATATATAAAAAACACTAAGACTCGCAATGCTATGGTTATATACTGAAAAGAGAGCAAGCAGGAGTAATTTCTGACTTCTTTTTCAAAACTATCAAAATCTTTAAGAATTCCACTGTGAATGGAGTTTGAAAAAGTTGGCCATTTTTTGGAAAAAGGAGATAATCAAGCCATAGCTTCATTTTTTGATAACAATATAATATTTAACATTGAAAAATATTTTGGTAGTTTTGAAGAAAGAAGTGCTTGTATAACAGATAATACTGACCTTCTGTTGGACTGACAGCTACTTCACGACCACTCGTCTTAATGCTGGCAGCAGTAACCTCTCCATTGACTGATGCAACAGCACTAGCAATAATAGCATTAATTAAATCATCATTTGCAGAGTCACTTGCTGTTATATTTTTGTTTGTGACCTCACAATCATTTCCATTATTAGATGTCAGGCTGCCATTTGTTGTTGGTGAAGTCATGACTGGGGAAATACATTGCATAAGTTCTGTAACATTCTCAACTTCATTTTCCATATTCTTTTTCTCCTCTTCCATATCTTGTTTTTCTTGATTTTCGATTACCAATGCTTCTGCCTCTGGCCTTATTAACTGTGGAGTTTCCTAAAAAATACAAATCAGAGCTTAAAAACTAAGTACTGTACTAACACGAAAGAATAAAAAAGTGCAATATGCATACAACTGTTGCTTCTTCGATGATGCATAATACAATTTTTTAAATTGAATTATTACAAGACATTACTTTTGCAGCTTTTAACCATATGAATACAATTTTAATGTGCTATTGCTGCTATAATTTTAGATCTGTATTCATTCAGACATATTTTCCTTTGCAAAATACTGCATTTTATTCACACCTATGTGTTTCTTTTAATTCTGAATATAAAAGCATTTCTGCTCTTTAAATCCATTACTGAACTGCACTATTACATTTCTCAATAAATTAAAAGTGAATTACAAACTATATTTCTTTTGCATTACCTAACACACTCCCTGCTCTGTGCAAAATCCATAGGACAAGATTTAGATGAACTAGATACATAAAAAGGCTTACAGTCTAGCATTAAAAAATTTGAGTGTTAGAATCATGCCCACTGCATTCATCCGACTTTTTTGTTTCAAATGAAGTGCAACTTCTTAAGTACAGCATTTCCAAAGAACATAAAATAATAATAATATACGTCTTCCCACAAGATCGCCTCGTAATAATTCAATGTCGCTCCAGATACAAAGAAGCAATCACCAAAAAAGACCAGCATCGAATGTAATGCTTCTTTCTGATTGGGCCTCTGTGGCTCCATACAGAGATAGCTCCACACACACATCGGCCCCACGAGTCCTTAATTGATAGCCTACCAGACAATAGCGCCAGAACCTGGGGAGTGGATTGTTATGACCACCTTCATCAAGAACATCCACAAAGTAAGTGAAGCCAACAGACAAATGCACGTTTCACAGAGAAATGAAAACTGAACAAGCAAGTGACCCTGCAAATGACCGAGCAAGTAGTAAGTTTGAAACCTCCTAGTTACAGCTAGCCACCATTAGGTGGCAGCACCCCAGAAGATGTGCGTATTAGTGGTTGTAGGTATTGTACTTGTCTTACCTATAAATCCTTCACTGTTCTTGTATCTTACCTATATACTTTTGCTTAAATAAATAATTATTATTATATCAACAAGTCCTCAGTTTGAAGCCTAAAAGCATCAACCATTGTATTTGGAAGGGGGGAGGGCAAAGGAACCAGGGAGCCACTGTGGTCCAACAAGAAAAAGTAATTTCATTACAATCAATGCTTGGTTTCTGGAAAGGCCAAATGGTGGTTCTCTGTAGCTAGCTAGGTACTGAAAATAAGGAAACCAAGACTTACCTGGAAGGGGAAGAGTAAAGAATTAGACCAGCGAAGAAAAGAACCCTAGATGGGAAACCTGACTAAGAACAACGCAAGTCCAATGGGGACCAGGACAGCTGACCAGGTAATGAGCCACCAAGTCCTTGACAGCCTTCCAAAACCTTAGAGCCTGGATTTCAGCCCAAGACATTAGAAAACACTGTGGCCAGAGCTGCAGAGTTCTGAATACCATGGGCCCAAAACTAGACTGCAGGCTGGCCAGCTTTAATGACTACAGCCAACATGAGGAAAACAAACCTTGGAACCAGGAATAAAAAAAAAAAAAAAAAAAAACAGGATCAGCAAACAATGCGTCCCATGAGGCAGTACAGGAGGGGCGCAGGTTAGCGATGAATGGCAATTACCGGGTATAACAACAGATGAAACCCCCAGCTAGAGAAACCATGAATCAGTAACTGAAGCCAACTGTCTCATTCTTTCCCAGAAAAGGAGAGGGCAGCAAATGAATAACTACTCCCCAGGGCCAAAGAAACAGAGCCCCTGCTTCCGGAGCAGAGAATGATGCTCCCCACCCCGGAAAATGGGAGAGGGCCAGCAAAAATGCAACCTTGAAAAAGGTCTCGTGGATCGAAGATATGACTGAGAACTGATGGGAAGAAGGAAAAATCAACACTCGATCTGGAGACCAAGAAGGTTAGGAGAAGAGCTAGAAAACAGGCCAGAAGTTAAAAAAACATGAGGCAACTTGTGGAATGCCACCAAGGAAGAATCGACGCTGATCTTCAACAAAAGCAACTCCATCAAAGGCTGAATGATAGAGGCAACAGTATTAAGATGCCGATTCAGAAACGACCAAAGAAAAAACACCAGAACTCGAATTTCTGTCTGAATTAGGCAAACAAAAATTATTGCTTGATTTGGATCAAATTAGCCAGAGCTCTAGATTACTCAAGCCTGAATTAGTGAGTTCTTACTGTCTTCAGTTTTAATAAAAAAATCATTATTAAATAGCAAAATACAATTTCATATATTATTTGTTTAAATGTTTTATCAATAGTTTAAAACTTCTCTAAAATGGTGTGATAAACAGGCAAATAAGACCAATTATATAAAACTCCAGTTTTGTCCCAAATCCAAATTAAGGATTTAATAATATTATTTGAATTTCCGAGGTTAACACTATACCTATTGCGTCCATGTTAGCCAATAGCAAAGCACTATAACACGACCTTTAAGATCAAAGGCAAACTATGTTAACTTATGTAAAACTAAGGTCAACAACTAAATTATATACAAAACGATCTCACCTGTGTCAGAGGTACAGATTTGTTTTCATTAACAAGATCTTCAGCTATGAAAATTGGAATGTTTTCTTTATTTTCACTCTGCAAGTTCTCTTTGAACTCTCCATGAGCACCTTCAGGATCCTGCATTATAAGAAGGTAAATATCACTGATCATTGACCTGCATTTGTAAAATATAAATGTATTGTTGGTCAGCTCAACACATTATGAAAGTTTATGAAAGGGGAAACATCCCATTAGCAGAATAATAAAGCAATTGAACTTACCTTATTGAGTATATGCTTCTTTCTCTTACATATTACTGTATATTATATTTACAATCACTTCTCATAATCCAGAATAATTCTGAACAACAAATGGTTCTGTGTTAGTTACAGGCAACAGTGTTCCTCTAACTTTGGCTTCAGGGTTAAATGTTTCTTATCATTATGCATTTTGAGTAGGCAATTTTTACTTTTGCATTAACCTTCATTAAAAAAATTTGTATCCCATGAACTTGGCAAGCAGTCTTGGTAAATGACGGGCACACACACACATCCATGCTACATAAATTAAACATGTATTAAAACCTGCACCAGCCTTTTATTCAGGTAATTTCTTATGAATACTTGTCCTAAGGAATGTCTTTAACCAAGAAAAGCAATGATTTGAACTTGCAAAATCCCATTCATTACTGAAGAGGGCCAAGACGAAGTTATCTGCACGGAGATAATACCTGTAATCCACTCAGATGGGACAGCAGAGAAACTGGCCCCCCTGACTACAAGATGCCAATGGACCTTGACAAGAGTAAGTAATCAGCATTTCCAAGGAGCAGCCAGTGCAGAGAAGCTATCCAGGCTGTGGAAGAAAGAGCTTTGTATCCCTCAACATAAAACGCCCTTGTTATAAGAAAGACTCGTAAACCTGAGATACAATTTCATCCCTACTTGCTAAATGGGCAGCAAGGTTTGCTGGGGCAAACTGACCACACTGCTCCATATCAATCACAAAATAGGATTTAACAAGCTCAGTCCTCTATTTACAACCAGAAACATGGCAACAACATGATTCATAGAGCCCAGGGGCATTAACCTATTCTTGTTACCAACAGGAGAAAACTATTCTCACTAGCAGCAACTTGCAAGTGAGAAATATTGAAGGTGGCAGTGACATGAAGATGCCCGAAAAAATTGACGCCATCACTTGTAGTCTTATACTCACAGCTGTGACCAATTAGATCATAATCAGTGAGAAATGATGAATATGAGACCTACCCCTCACATCGTCTCAGAGCTAAGTTTAATATTAAATTCAGCATAAAATTCAATATTATATAAATTTCCAGTGCCCATACATACACTAAAATAAATTTAAATACACTGGTTGTCTTGAAAAATCTGAATTAAAATAAATTACCACTATGAAGTTGGCATCATGATATTAACTGCCCAACTGAGATATTTCAGCTAGGAAATATCTCTATATGCATCTGTTTACACAGTTGCTATTGCTGGTGAAACAAAGCATTTATGCATACATGATCGAATGCTGCCAAGCACCATTTGAGACACATGCTGTACAGTGTTACACACTGATACAGATATGACATCGATTTTACATTGCATGTAGTTATAGCATAGGACAGCAGTACTGCCATAGGGTTTTCCTGAACCTGATCAGTCATCATACACTTCAGTGCTAGCAATATATATACAGTACTGTATATATACATATATATATACAAAAAAAATCTACTACTGTATTTTGGTAAAGTTTTCAAATTCATAAAATTTTAGTCAGTGCTCGTGTAGAACAAGTATAACTTCCTTACCAAAAATCTCTTTCATGTATACACATATTTGGGGTTTAAATCCAACAGAGTTGAATGTAATGATATTATTAAAATCTTTTAAACTGTTCTCCATTTTGATTTTAGTTATTCCTTGTATTCATAGTCTGAATTATGCACCTAATGTCCAAAAACTAAAAAAGTCTTGTCCCTTGTATAATAGGGTCATAAATTATGATCTTATGAACATGAGAATAAAAGAAACTTAGAGAAGGTTTATTGGCTCATATGAGGTAGCTCCTATTTATATCTACCAAAGTCATTCATATATGTGTCTAATCAACAATTAAAACAGTCCACTGCTTACACGTCTATTATATTACCCAATAATTTGCAATCAACCCTATTACTAAACCAGCATTTACTCAGGTCTTTCCTGAATCTAACCTTACTTAATATATATCTACTGTTTCATGTTCTGTTTTGTGTTGATTTATTTAAAGCCTTATTTATATTACTTTTTATATAGTCATGTAACCCCCCGTCCTTCTAACTCTTTGTCATCCTAGTGAATGTATATTAAGCTTTTTAATATCTCTTCATAAGGATTCTTCTCTGTCATGCTTCTCAATATGCATTCAATTGAATTTATGTTCATTTTATAGTATGAAACTTAACTGCATAATCTAAATAGGGTAACAAGGGCAATTACAAAGCTGAAGAATAACATTACGTGTCTTATTGTTAATAATTCCAGAAATTCCAGTATCCCATTTGCATTATTTCCTATGTTTATGCACTGAAATTTTGCGATGGGATCCCTAAAACTTATGACTCGCAGATCTTTATTTGCATTCAGATTTTGCAATTTCAACATTGTCCAGATACTATTATTACTTCTGGCACCATAACAGGTTTTTCTCTCACACAACTTTTCCATGCTATGTTAAATCTGATCATTCACACGTCTCTTATAATTAACTAATAAGGGTTATGGGTGGCATATACGCACATGAGATCTGGTTACACAGCAGTCTTACACACCGCACCCCGAGACGTCCTCCAGACTCCAACCCTGCTCAGAGGCAAGTGAAACAAGTGGTTTTTGAGTAGGGAACAAGAACGGTGGGCGGTTCACTATATGATGGTCAGCACAAAATTCGAGCTGGATTATTTCCAATGAATGGTCTGCACTCAGTTTGGGTTACCCAGCATGATTATGGATCAATGCACCCACATACACAGATGAATCTAATCATAATATATACTGCCTTCTCTGTATATTAAGGCTTAAGGATTGGGCACTTAAAAAGCAGCATTCGTAGGTACGATTAGTAGCTGAAATCAGTAACTTCTTAGCTACAGCATTTGAACATTTCTCAATTCTAAAGAACTCTGAACCTAAGACAAGGACGAGGATGTGGACAAAACAGATATCGTAAAGTCTCTACATTCCTAAATAAAACATACTCATTACCCACAAACTATATACCCAAAGATGATTCATAATATGGGAGGGATTTAAAGCTGTTTTCCAGGGTGTGATAAGCTCCCTGTCATGTTTGGCACATGTTGAGTCAATAGTTCACTGGAATGCATCAGGACATGTTGATGGTTTGTGTTCAGGAAGTTAAAACTTTTCTACATTACAAGAATTGTTTAACAATGCAATCAGGAACTGCACAGCAAGACAACACACAAAGAAGTTGAAATAATAATAATGAATCACGAAGATCAAAATATTACTAAAGTTTGCATAAAAAAATAAAAATATTTGAACTGCGTGGGTCACAACCTTTATGCAAAAGCTTATGACCAAAAAAACTTGAGAAGCAATGAACATTTCTAGCTAATACATCTTTAAGGTTGTCTCAAGTGTCAGCTAAAATCATCCACCAGCCAATTAACAAAAACATGCAAATATGTGCAAGTCCTCAGGATACAGAAAATTAAAGTGCTTGATATACAAATTCTATATGAAGTACAGCTTTTAAGAGATATGATAAAGGATTAAGTGATGAAAATTTATATCCATATTTTTCATTGTTTACAGGGATACGGAATGTAAATTTGACACAATAATACAAGCAGATAAATATGCACACAACCAAGAATAACTGGAAAGGATATCTCACCTGACATGCCTGCATAAGACTCATATCAAAATGTCCACCAAAACGAAAGACAACTTCTTCGTAAGTCTTCAGTAGTTGAGCCTTCATGAGTGAGCATAGCTGAGCACACATATGGGAGGTACGAATTTCTTCTGTAACCCCACTCAGAGTCTCAGATGATACCTAAAAATACAACATGCTATTTGTTCCCGTATTTATAATTTAAATGTTAGGTTCTCTCTCTCTATGAAGGAAACCACAGACAAGTTTATCCACAATTAATCCAGTTTGATTAATCAAAAGTAAAACACATGAATAGAAATGTAGAGGTTAGGCAAAAGTTGGGTAAGGTAAAGTAATACTGCAGCTTTTGATCCTAAATATACTGTATCACACAGGTTTTTCCCTGCTCATATAACATGTCACTAGGACAAGTCTGTCAGGAATATTGAAGATGCTGAATAGACAGGGATGGGAGCACTTTGTTGTGATGCAAGTGCTGCCACCTGGTGATGTTTGAGGGTAGAGACCTAAGGGAGCCATTAATTATGGTGGTGTTTGGCAGAGTGAGATGCCCCCAGTAGCACTTGGAAAAACTTTAATTTTATGAAAATGCATTTTTTGGCTACATTCTGGGTTGGATTAAATATTCATAAGCATCTGCCTAGTACCAGAATAACCTGACAAACAGTTTGTAAAGTTCCCTGTTGCACTGGTGCAGAATGTTTTTAACTGCCTTGACAGTACTAGAACCTAACTATGGGCCAGTATAACCCTGTCTTAAGAAGCAATTATGTTTGTTAGCTCCAAAAGAATACAATTTACTTTTAAAGAAAAGTTTAAAAATCATATCTACTGGAAATTTGTTAAACATTGCTATATATGTACCTTAAATTTTAACAAAATAGAATTTTTTTGGAGCAGAACAGGGATTGAACCAACATTTTGGGTAACCCCAGACGTGCGCCTTAACCACTGGACCACAATATGCTAAATGTTATTTAACCTGGGATCCACCCGAATCCACTTGGAATCTGGCGGCACCTAGTTTCAGAATCCCAGTGGAATTGGGCAGATCCCAGGTAATGGGATGATCAGGAGAAAGTGCTAAGCCATTATGACTATATAGCACTTGGAAGAGATATGAGGGTAAGGATTTGGGAAAGAAATGGTGTCCAACCACTTGAATAGTTGGGGATTGAAAGTTGACCTGCAAAAAGTGAGATTCACTCTTCCATCCAGTCCTAGTGGTTGGGTTATCCCAGGTTAAATAACCTTTAGCATACCATGGTTCATGGGTTAAGGTGTGCATCTGGGGGTTACCCAGGATGCTGGTTTGGTCCCAATACTGCTCCAAAGATTTTATCATAGATGTATCCCATTATTGTGATATCCTTGTGTATTAAAAATAATCCTGCTACAAGTGGTATTATGTCACATAAAATTAACCCCTGAAACTCTCATATAAAAAAATGGTGATAAAAAACTGTCAGCCATGGCAGATAAAAATTTCAAGGACAATTTGTGTACAGTAAAACTTCTTGCTTATTATGGCACAGTGGAACCTTGATTTGACTAATCTCCAGTTAGAACGCACACTTTCCAGGCATAATTTACTCGCTTAATTCGACGAACAAGAGTTCGCTGAAGCAAGGGATGTGTGGATTAGCTTACGATGTTTAGACATAGTTCACAGGCTGTTGGAAATGTTGTCCATCATATGTCATAGGTTAAAATTAAAAATTTCTTTAGTGAAATCAATCCTTAGTGTGGGGTAATTATGAGGGTATGTATGGTAACACTCTTAATAGGGCTCCAATCATTTTTTTTACCGATTTTCATAGATGGACACATGATTAGACGAAAGAGTTGGGGGCCTTGGGAAAGCTATTGAGCATATTTAAAACCAAATTCTACAGTTCGTTTTCATTTTGAAGTCCCCAGGTTGAAATTAAAAATGTTGCTCAGTGAAATCAACCCAAAGAGTGTGGGAAATACTATGGTATAAATGGCAACTCTCTTAATATTGCTCCAATCATGTTTTTCGATGATTTTTTGCAGATGGAAGCAACATAAGAAACAGCTAAAGAGATTTATATTTCTAGTTTTAAAAACTAAAGCTGTCTCACAAATGCCTCAAGATGGAATCTGTGGTTGCAACGAATTCATCACTCCAATCAGGGTTGGTCCTGCATAGTTTGCTGAAGCAAGGCTGCACTGTACTTTGAAACTGGATCAAATTTAATAATATTTAATCACTTAACATTTAATAACAAATTAATAGTATTTAATGTATATGGCATATAATGAAGCGAGATAAAAAAAAAGTGCTGTAGGAAAAAATTATTGATCTTGACAACTAATGGTAGCAATATCTTATTAAATTCAGTATATTTTGTTGGTTCTGTCACTGGAACACCACTGTCACTAATTTCCTAGCTATACTTAAGACTAACAAAACATGGAAATTATTAGCAACAAAATACCTGCACAATGTAGATAACAAATGTAAATGTAAAAATCTACCTCTAATATGGGCACGTAAAATACACGTTGCACTGATGATGTAAGATTAAGTAGAAATATAAGAAAAATATGCATTATGTGAAATAATTTACAAGAAACTCTACCTTCAGATCATTGCAACTCTTAGAATCCTTTAAACGTGAGTCAGAATATGTCTTGTCATGCAGTGTCATGTCAGTCTCACTCATCCTTTTGTGGCGCAGTTCTCCACCCCTACTCCGTCCCCCCTCCAGCAACTTTTCAGATTTGCTGGCTTTGCTGAAAAATCATGACAGTTATTTAACTTTCAGATAGGGCAGATACTACAAAGCCCCCCAATGCATTGCATAGTAACAAACACGAATGACATTTTTACCTGTAAATGTGAGTAAATAATTTATCTACATTGCTTTTAAAAGATAATACTTGAATAATATTTATTAAATATGATGCAAACCACACACAAAAAAATAAGAGAAACAACGATGTTTCGATCCATCCTAGACCATTATCAAGTCAGTGTAATAGAAGAGAGGAACTGTAGAGGCAAATACATAAAGTAAGATATATTTGTCTTTATACAGAGACAAAATATATTTACTAAATATATTTTGAAAGCAAAGCATAATTTAGATGCCATCTGTAAACAGAGCAATATGAAAACATAGAAGTTCACTAATCATTAATTTGCAAAACTCTTCAACAAAAAGAATGTTAAAAGTGTGTAACCAATGAATGGTCTTTAGTTTTAAAAGAACTGGATAACCAGTCAGGTGCTAAAGGTGTAGTTAAGTTTACGAATGTTTGTTACATTAATTATTTTTTGAAGCACGGTAATTATATCATTCTGTATTAGTGAAGTACTTTCAGGATATTTTGTCCAGATGATGTACCAGTGCATCGCTAGAAGACACAGGTAATTGTGGTTGATAATGCATTGTTGTGCCTTCTAAACATAAGTGTTAATTTTATTGTACTAAATACTGTAATTACATAGTTAAAAAGACAGTTGTTTTCTCTTAACTTAGCTGACGTCTTGTGTATACTGTAATTAAAGTATCCAATATTATTTCTACTATTTTTTTTTATATTTTTAAAGAATAAATATTTCATTCTTATTTACAGAGATATACAAACCTCTGAGTTAAGCTGAGATTTGCCAAATTTTCTGAAAGTGTTGCAGAACTGCTGAGTATAGCATTTTTGGAGGACATGATAGCAGTGTCTGCATTGCACGAGTCTTTGCACTCCTTGCTGTTCTTGGCATCCTTGTTGCTTGGATCACTTTTATTTGTTTTTGCTGTATCATGTTTAGAAGTCTCAGACTTCCCAGCATCAGGTTTCGTTTCTTCTCCACAGTTTACTGGTGAATTAAGTGGCCCAGCTTCAGTGTCTGAAGTTGAGAAGAGACGGTTGATCTGCTCCGTCATTCGCTGGGTAGTAGATGCTCGGCCACGTTCACGAACTTTCTCTATTAGGCCCTGAAAATTGCTTTCATGGAAGAAGCTAGTTCCCATCAGCTTGTCCATATATCTGAAAAAAAAATAATAATGCTAAAACTATGCATTTCCATACAGCAACAAGTTTATAAATAGACAAATATCATCTTTACATATTCTCATAGTTCTCCTAAGATGAACTTTTGAGTGAGAATATTTTATCTTCTATCTTATTCCTTTTCCACAAACTACTGCCAGCTAGCCTTATCTCCCACCACATCCTGTGTGTGCTGTTGACATACAATTGCTACTTTCTTACATGCTGACTCATGATGTCTGCCCATAATTTTCCCATCCTGTCTCTTGTTTTCCTGCCATCAAATTAATTTTAAAAACACTCTTCACTACTGTATCATTATTATTCATTCATTACATAACCAAGCCATTTCAATACACTCCCATCAATCTACTGATTTACCAACTTTGGAATTTCATATCTTTTATATGGCCTTTTCCTTCCTTACTCTACCCATAGGCTCTAGAATCACAACCACAGATTGAGTGAGGGTGATGTCTTGTGTCTCCCCTCCATTTGATTGGACATTTGTACCCTTGTGGGAGTAATAATGATAAGCCAGGCACATTAGTTATGCTATGCTATACTATACTATACTATGCAAGCCAAAATATATACTAACACTGCCCTTGTCAATGAAGATGCCAACATGGAACTAAAGACTACCTGCCTGATATGACAACTGCACAATAACTATACCCTATACCCTGTACTGAGGATGGATCTGTATGTATGCGCACACACACATCCATCCTCAGTACAGGCAACAAATACTTCATGTATGTGATAGTCAAATCAGCATGTGGCCTTCTGTAGTTTAACAATTCTTTCTTAAGTCTTTAGCAATTTAAGGTTGTTGCATATGAAGAGAGAATTCTAAGTGAAGCCACAATAGAAGTTAAACTTCATTATAAGAAACAAGATAATAATGATTAGTTTTCAAATTTACCAATCAAAATGTATTATGTTTTCCTTACCTGCACTCTTTGTAGCAGTCCAGAAGCTGTTTCATCACAGCTGTAGTCTGAAGGGCTGGATTTTGAGTAAAGATTTCTTCGAGGCGACTCATGGCTATCCGTGCCTTTTCAATGTTTGCAACCAGCCTTGTTTTAAGCAATCCTTCACTCTCGCTTTCACTTTCTCTGTATTTGACCATCCATTAGTTAATGATACCTTACAAAATACAAATATATAAAGAAGTATATATAAGAACAAAATATATAAAGAAGTATATATTAATACAATATATATAAAGTATATATAATACAAAATATATAAAAAAGTATATAATACAAAATATATAAAGTAGTATATATAAATACAAAATATATTAAGAAGTATATATAATATAAAATATATAAAGAAGTAAATATAATACAATATATATAAAGAAGTATATGTAAATACAAAATATATAAAGAAGTAAAGCATTTTGATAACTATAATTAACATTTTGCCTGAGACTCCATTTTTTGGCCATCTCCATCACAAGTATCAAACTGAAGTCACGAAACTAAATTTTGAAATTCATACATAATATTAAATTTTGTTAAGTAAAGGACCAGCTCTTCTCGGCTGTGTCAAGAGTACCTGATACACTCAAAACACAGGGTCACATTAGTGCTCTTAGTGTATGTGAATGATTTACTCAAGGGGGTGAGTGCTCATATATGTCAATCTTTGCAGATGATACAATGCTAATAAGGTAAGTAAAAACTGAGGCGGACTATAAAGAGCTGCAAGAAGACTTCGATAAACTACAGAGTGGTCAGGCAAATGGCTGCTAGAGTTCAACCCCAAAATGTGTGAGGAAATGAAGATGGGAAAAGGGGAAAATTGGCTGGAAGAAGTCAACATCTTAAGGAAATTGCAACTACATATCAGAATAAGAAAAACTTGAGTGGATATAATACCAGCACTAATACTGGATGTACATATGATTTCCCATTATCTAAGACAGGAAGCCTGTTAGGTTTGTTACAAGGCTAGTTCCTTACACAAGAGGACTAAAGAATGTGACAGGATAAGAGAATTCTATTTAAGAACTCAAGAGGCAACAAGGACCTTATAGAATATGATCATGATGTACAAAATATTGAGAAGGAAATAGACAAGGTGAACAAGGACAGTCTTTTCCAATTAAATTAAGGTAACATAGGGCAAGAGAACACGAGTGGAAGTTGGAAACAGAAGTGTGTCAGCAATGTACACAGTGACCATTTGTACACTGCACAAATGGTCAACACATGGAACATATTGAAGGAGGAGGTCGTTGAAACCACCTCCCTCAGCAGCTTCAAGAGTAAATAAAACAAAGAACTAAAAACAATGCAGAGTTAAAATGCACCAGGTACAACTACTAGGAGGCAATGCCCATTGATCGAGATTTCATCTTCCACATACACTTGCCGGCCAGTATTTAATATCCACATATAAAATGGCAAATTACCGGCTAATATCAAAGTTTTGTACATTGTGAAAATGTATACATGCATGCCTCTCTCTCTGTTATCAATTTTATCAATGTTTCTTTAGGGCTGGACACCAGTGTATAGCCACAAACTCCAAGTTAGGTCTAACATAAGTCGAAGAATTTTTTTTGCATTTTTCCACCCATATACTGACTTGCACTGTAAAAGAATATTCTAAAATTTGCCAACAGTCTTTCATATACAGAATTTTTTTTCTATTACAGTATGTAAAAAATATTTCCATCTACAAAATTTTCTAAAGAAATCACATCCTCTGGCAAGTCATATATTTAAGTGATAAAATAATCATGACTAACAAAGTTTCATGTGGAGTCTCACAAGTGGCTCCACATAACAGTTTTCTGCAACATTTACCTTCATTACACAGACTTTACAAATACTACTAAAGTAGATGAATAATAAGATAATTAATCAAACTTACTCAGCAATAACTGAATGTTCACTTTCAGTTTCCCAGGATTCGTCAGAGGCGGTGTCATCCCACAACTCTCCCTCATCAGAGTCATATTCTCCCACCTTGTAAAGATCTTGAGGGTAACACACTGACTTCCGTCCATCTACCCACCATACACTAACCTGCATCAAGGGTTTTCTGTTATCAGCCATAAACAAAATTGAAACAAATGAAATGAGAAAACTTTAATACCCATTTTATGATTACTCTATTTACACTCTGAAATTAAATTAAATTCGTTGAAAGGCCTAAACCTTTGTAGTTAACCACAGTATTTGCCGGAATTTAAAATGCACTTAACTTACACGGGTATTTTGTAGTCAAAAACTATTTTAGTTTGTTTTAAAATACATTTATTGAAAGTGATTTTCAAGTGGTTTTGTAGGGACAAAAATTATGTAAATACAATATATATATCACCATTATTTTTTCTCATAAAATTTAATGCAAAAGACAATGTGTACCTACTTCTCCAGAGGGAAAGTTGTCCAGTACCTGACCAGTAAAACAATTCTGGTCATTTTCAAAGTTAGCAACCCTTATGACAACTGAGCCAGGGCGGTAACGGAAGTCTGGGTGATCTCTCAAGTCATACACACTCATTTCTTGTTCACAGACAAGCTCAGGTCTGAAATATCAAGTCAAATTCACAATGAAAATGGTAAATGTCAACTGGGTTTAATTTTTTTAATACCCTGCATTCAGTGCTAAAACAATTTCATTATCAAATCTATTATTACAGCATTCTTTTAACGCCTAAAATGCAGTTACCATCCAAGAGTACATTTTCCTTATTAACTTAGTTTTATACAAATTATTTAAATATGGTTGTAATACATCAATATGGCTGTAATAAAGTTAACCTAAACCCATGAAAAAATTATGTTATAGGTTTTATTTGCTTACTAAACGACGAGGTTATGTTTCTTTTATATCATAGGGTTATTGGTAAATCACAATTTGGTGTTTCGCACTGGTATTTGAATATATTTCTGGACATTACCAGACAGAATAGCAGCAAAGGAGTGCGTTGCAAGACACTTCCTATGTAACAATTACTTACCGTGGCTCATTTCCAGCGGTGTAAGTTCTGAACCACTTAACAATGGAAGTCCTTCCACCATGATCAACTTTTTGAACAACACCATATTCATGAGGATCTATAGCATCTTTTTGTTCCACTACAAAGTCACCAGGAAAAAATTCTTGATCATCTAAATGGTGGATGGGGTACAGCACAGTTGAGAGGATGGACTTCTCCAAGGTACCATCCTGCAAAGACATCATATACAGTACTTCAACTATACAAACACTGTTGGTTTATCACATGAGTATCATGAGCTTTGTCTAATTAATCATCATCAGTCAATTTTTGTTTCCCAATTTCCCACTTTCATGGGGTGGGGAGGCATCGGTACCCCCCAAAAATGGAGAGAAGTGAGGGAATAATGAAAAATGACACCTGCCCATTTCACCATACAATACAGTACCTTACACACTACAAAACAAAAGAAATAGCATCATCACACTAAAGAGGTAGATCATCCACAGCAGCATCTCATTACTCCATAATAGTTACTGTATTACCACCTGACCTCGGGAGCTACCAGATTCAATTCATCATTTACACTTGATCCCTGCTTCCTCTCTCTCTCTCATTCCTTCATTCCACTCCTCCTCTTTCTCCTCCTATCCTCAAATTCATTTAAGTACACCCTTATCACCAGTCTATCATTACTTATTCCCAGTACTAGCTCTCCAATCTTGAAAACTGCTTATTTTTTAAAAATGTGACAAAGTACAGCGAGGAAAACAAATACTGTAATATTTTAAATGTGACTAAATGTACTGTATGTATAAACAAAGAAGAAACTGAAGGAACGCAGAAGTAGAATAGTTTGAAAATAAGCAAAAGTGACATTAGTGGAGCTACCATTTGTATACAAGAAGCTATGCATGATGAGAGAGCAGAGTAAAAGAAAGTGCCTCTACCTGCCAAACAACATCAGCCTTAGATGTGGTCATCAGTGTTTCTACCACCAGCTGATCCCCAGGCTTGATTGTAGCTCCGTCACTGGCAGCCTTTCGCTTTGCCCTCTTTAATTTACGCTTCTTCATCATCTTGGTCATTAGTGCTGGACCCTTCTTGTTACGCTTCCCTGTTAATAAAAACTAAATGATAATTTTGGTCTTGGATATTTTGTTATATAATATAAAACTAAGACATGTAATAGAAAACAACATCTGACTATGAATGCTTACATCAGAGGTTGAATAATAAAAATCTATTAAGTCATTTACTTCAGAGTATACAACATACCATAAAACCTATACAGTACAGTGGAACCTCGAGTGACAAGCGCCTCAATTTACGAGCATTTTGAATAATGAGCGTGACAATTGTCTTGATTGGCGAGCGCTCGTTTGATTAACGAGAAAACCACTTGGTGCATTCCCGCTGCTTCTCGTACATTCTCAGATGCCTCCGATGATGCAAATAAATTACTGTTTTTTGCTTAAAGATGCTAATGATGCTGGGATGTAAAGGGGTGACTGCTGTGATGTTGCAAAGCATTGAATTATTTTTTACAGAATAACAAATTTTTTTTTTAAATTTGAAAAAAAGAACAAATGTCATAAAAGTTTGTTCAGTCTCTGTCGGGTATGCTGCTCCATGTTTCCTTAAAAAAAAAAAAAATTGAAAAAAAAAAAATGAAAAAAGGAAAAATGTCATAAAGGTTCGTTCAGTGTATTTTAGGTAGGCTGCTCCATTATTTAAAAAAACTGAACATCATATTGATGTTTTTCGGTGGAAGAACAGATTATTTTTATTTCCAATATTTTAAACGGGGAAATTCGTTTTGAAAGATGAGCATTTGTAAGCCCCTAAGGGGCTTGCCGGTTCAACGAGTGGGCCCAATGAGTGTGGGCCAAGCTACACCCACAGCTAAACCCTGCCTATGCTACAAAACTCTCAGATGTTTCAGAGCTCAGAGCAAGGGAGAAGGGTTGGACAAGAGGCCTGGTGAACCATGCCAGATGCAGCTTGGGGGAAGGAAAAGGAGGGACAAACTTTGAACTAGTGGTATTCATCAGCCACCCCATATCAGCTGAAGGACTGAGGATTGGTGACATGTGGAGTTGGCTGTTCTTGGTGGTGCTACTGCCACCTGAGTGTTCAACTTTAACTAAAGGTGGGGAGGGGTTTGACCTAACTATTGGGGGGGTCATTTGTGTAGTTTGCTGCTTTGGTTCTCATTATCTCTGAACTTTGCAGTTGTCTGTTTTAGTTCATTGTGTGTGTTTCATCGGTGAGGGTTATTATAAGAATCTCCCGCTTTCTGTGCCTCTGTAATGGGGTCAGGTTTTGACCTCTGGTCTTTGGTAGGCAACTCATTTGTGTGGAGCATCTCAGTGTGGCTAGCCACAGGGAGCTACCATGCAGCGCCTCTTTTTTTTTTTTTTTTTTTTTAACATTCTTGGCTCCAAATGAAAATAATACTGTATGTTAATTATGATTTCAACACCAACAAACCAGTGAGAAAGTGTTCTGTGATGACACTTAACAAGAAATCAAAGGTAATAGAGAATGCTGAAAGTGGAATTCTAAAGAGCCTTGTATATAGAGAAAATAATTTAAGACAACTTTTTCTGATATTAATAAGACTAAATCTAGGAGCTTTCATTATTTGTTTAGAAGTAAAAGTGATAATGACCCTTTCTACAGCCATAACAGAGCTTGTGGGCACCACAAGAAACAAACAAGTATTTGATACTCAACGAGTGTGACTCAACCCATGCAGAAATGTTATGTAAATCAAGGATCCCAAATTATGAAATGACCTCCCAAATGAGATTAAAAGCTGTACTTCTGATCTAATTTAAAAGAGAAACTAGGAAATACCTAATTAATATTATGTAACAAATTTCACTCTCAATTAGTCATCCTAGATGAGTAAATTTTGTGTTTTGCCATTATTGTGAATATTCAATACTATATCTGTACTGTTGCTGAAGCTACAGATTTTTAATAAAGCAGTCTATGCCGTTAATCATTAAATATTGCATATCATTTGTTAAATTTCTCTAATAATTCATGTATGTTAGCTTATTTCTTGTTTAGTATTAAGTGTTATTATTATTAAACTTATAATACTAAGCTTACAAATAATTTAACCAGGTTATGTTAAGTTATGCCAAAATGCTTTGCACACTATTGGCTTTATTTAACATGCATTATCTACACCTGATAACTAACCATTGTACCATGTTCAAAACGGGTCCAGAAAGGGTTGGATATTAGCGTTAAAGTCATAGAGAGGGGGAGAAGGGGGAAGGCAACAGTGGTAGAAAGTAGACCAAAGGCTAACCTATTCATTAGCGATTTCAATCACAGGGAAAATTATTAAGTAACAAAGGAGTAAAAAGGAGAGGATGACACGGAGGGTAAAATTAATTGACACCTAACACAGAAAACAATAGAGATAGAAGTGGATGAAGCAGCAATGCTATCCTAGTGTTTGTAATGGTGAGGTAGCCAGTGGGCATAATATCCAAGATTAATGTAATTCAATGTTGCACTCACATTACTCTTGGATGTTGTGGCCACTAGATAGATATTTGAAGAGTAAGAGAAGTTGCTTGGTACAAATGATAATATGTTGTAGTGGATAACTATACAGCCAAGCTATAGGAGGAAAACAGGTTTAGGTTGAGAGGAAGCATAATACATAGAAAGAGACGACCTATAGGAAGTCTAAAAGGTGAACAAGCTAACGGGAAGGACAACCACCTAAATGATGCGTACACAAAATTAACAGAGATCCCAGGAAAGTGCATACCACACAAGAAAGAGCTAGAAGAGAAGAGCAAGTTTAACCCAAGGTTTAGCAAGCAAAGCCAAGGATTGCACACTACTATAGGACCTAGATACCCTGCAGGTACAAGTGGACAAACCTGATTTTTTTTTTTTCATTCCTCTTATCACTGAAGTTTCAAACAAACCCAACTCAATAAGTTTCAGCCGAGATATTGGGAGATGTATGATAGATATTGCACATATTCATTTGCATTTAACCCTTAGACCGCCAAGAGCTTTTTTGCCTTCAACACCCACAGGTGCAACAACAAAAAATCCCAAAAATTCTTTCATCTTATAAAAAGTGTTCATTTGTGTTCCCTGATCAGGTGAAAAATAAAAAAACAAATCGTAGGTGGCATATTTTGCCCACAATAAGACTGGGAAGTCTGGCAAAAGAGAGGTGTTGACAGAGCAGGCGCCAGACGAGGTCTGCTACGCCCCAGCTGTCAGGCGGGAGTTGCCACAAAGATATTATTACCTAATTATTTCAATGTCTCCGATTGATTTTTTCTTTGTTTTTTGCAGTAATATTATTCAATGTATTGCGATATATTTATATAATAAAATGTGTGAACCATCGCTGTACTCAAAATTATGGTGTGCATATTAGAGATTCAATTATTATGTTCATAAAACAATAAACAAATAGTTTTGCTGTTATTACACTATATACACAGGTTATATATACAAGTATCTCCACATTTTGGTTACCATAACGAACCACTAAGTTGATATTATTAGTCAAAAAGCAATGAAGAGAGTTCAACAAAGGAACACATTGCCCAATGCCAATATATGATATATAACAAAATACAGCATAACATACTTATTATTATTTGTGTTATTATGTATTACTCAGTAATGCTAGAAAGGCACCAGCTGCATATCCACTTTGTGAACCCTCCTTTCTATTATTCTTGTGGACCCTCAGTTCCAGTTAATATGAGCTGTTCTCATTTTTTTTTTTAAATATTCGGATAAAATCTATTTCTTAACATAATGGGATAAAATTTTCACGACACTATTGCCAAATAATTGGAGATTTGTATAACATTTTCAAGTAATTTTCGTATTGTTTGAATATTTTTTGAGTTCCTGGCCCCTTAACACTTTTGCGCAACCGATGAGTGCACCCCAACCTACCCCAAGGTGGGCCTGGTATTTCCCCGGAGCGCACACCGAAACTAACATTGACAGTTTAAGGCGGGACCAACAAGCCAGAGCTCAACCCCCACAAGCACAGCTAGTTGAATATAACTAGGGGAGTATATGTACTTTTTTTAGTGTTCTGACCTCAATTTCTGAGCTATGTCGTTCATTTTGGTATCAAATTGTTCACAATCTAAAGGCGTGTATTCTAAAATGAGTACCATAATAATTGAAGAATAAATAGAATTTTAACAAATATTTTAATTTTGGACACTCATCACCACAATTATTTATAATCTTTCCAGTGTTCTGACCTCAATTGTCATGCAATGTCATTCATTAGGGTATCAATTTATTCGCAATCTAAAGGCGCGGATTTTAAAACTAGTCCCATAATTATCGAACAATAAATGGAATTTTAACAAATATTTTAAATATTGACGCAGACTGCATCACCTGTGGATGAGTGTTGAGCAAATTAATAAAACATACAAAATTACAGTAAATGTTCATCAAATTGAGATCCTGTAGATGACTGACTATGTAATGTGACTGATCATACATCACTAGAAATTAAATATAAATAGGAAGGAAATGTTAAAACTAATAGTTACAAAACTTGGAAAAATATTGTTTACTTTTAGTACTAAAATAAATGTACAGCAAAGTTGTTATTAGCGACCTTTGCATACACTAAAACTAAAAATTCTAGTACCTGTACTTTCATCATAAATACAGGATAATAAATTGTATAAAGCAATCAATAAAGAGCATTTATCAGTGTTTGGTATAAGTACTACACCTGTGATGGCAGTGAGGAGGAAGAAACTAGATAATGTGGTGCATCCCTGACCAGCCAGCCGCACACACCAGGTGAGGGTGTCACCAACCACACACACCAGAGCAAAACACACCCTTATCAAGCAGCAAAGAAGTTGTGGCAGCAGGTGGGAAGGTATCAGTGCTGAGAAATCATTAATAATCTCAGAAATGTACAATGTAGAAGGCAGGGCATCAACAGCCAGACCTCATGCTCCATGGTCACTAATAGGTAAGCACCAAATACACCTTTAACATACATAAAAACATCATTAACATTACAATTTCTTCTACAATTTACAATGCCAGATATGAAATAATAGAGTTTTTAAAGATTCATATAAAATTTCGTACAACAGTTTTAACAAGTTTAAAAACTTTAACTTTATGTTAAAGATAGTAATTCAAGTGTAATTAATCCTCATCTTCTTTGTCTTTACCATTTCCCATTTCATGAGATGAGGAGGTGCACACCAGAAGGGAAAATGTGGCAGGAAAAATAGTACACAGCATGTCCAAAGCCGATCATTGCATCTGGGTTAATAACGTCCTTGCCCATCTCCCTTCTTTTTTTTCAGGCTGGTCTATAGTAAAAATTTTTAACATTTCTTTCTAGCATGTTATTTACTATAATGGAAAGGCTGTTACTGTGCATTTACACAGGTAACAGACATTAGTTCTGCAGAAATAATTACTGCGTGCACAAATACTGTACAAGGGTTAAACTGGAAGCAAACATTATTATTATTTAATTTAGTGCATACTGAATTCTTCTAGACTTTGTATTAAAAACTAACTATAGTACCACTATTACCAACCCAGGGCACTGTTAAATTACCCTTTTCAAATGCATTTTTATGGGCCATTAAACATTTAAAGTAATAACTGCAAAAACATTCACTTCATATATTAACATGATATTTTACCAGGCAAATACTGAATAAGAATTAAATGTTACAGCCAAAATTATTATGTTTTTATATAAATGGAATAAACAATTCCATTTTTAAATAAAAGAATGTATTGGATTGACAGTAAGAATGTTTGGAGGCCTACCAAAAAAACATTAACCAGTACTAATTGTATCAGTAGTAACAGTAGTTAAATACAAAATGTAAAGAATCCAGATCTAGATGTTACAAGCAAATGAAACACAGTCATGCTCACAAGCTGAATAAATAAAATCTTGAACATGCCATGCAGATACAAATGTCAATTAAGCAAATAATGAGCATTTGGAAATATGTAAAGCATTACACCCGAAACTTAAAACAAGCATTAATAATTTTGCGTCCCTGGCGTGCACGCCCCAGCCCATCACAAGGTGGGCCTGGCGTTTCCCGTAAGTGCACACCCACACTAAAATGTGTATCCCTTTTCAGTTTTCTCACGTCAATTTTCGTTTTACATCGTTCGTTTTGGTATCAAATTGTTCGCAATAGAATTCTCTACATAGATATATGCATACAAGGTAATTCAAACAGGTGCGCTACCCACAGCAAACCAGAAAATTGGCCGAGCATTACCTATGAGCGCATAACCGCACTAAAATGTCTATACTCTTTCCAGTTTTCGCACGTCACTTTTTGTGTTACATCGTTCAGTTTGGTATCAAATTGTTCACAACAGAATTTTTATACTCTGTTCAGTTTTCTCACCCCATTTTTAAGCTACATCGTTCATTCTGGTATCAAATGGTTCACTATCTAAAGGCACACATTTTAAAACTAGTCCCGTAATGATCAGAAAACAAATGGAATTTTAACAAATATTTAACTTTTGGACGCAACATGCATTCCTGCAGGACATCCGTAGAGATATGCATGGATGCAATATCTGTCCCCGCCGGACAAAAGTGTTAATACATGTACTGTATACTAATAAAATATTGTTAAAAGTGCTTCAAGTCAGAGGATGACTTGGACAACAGTATTTGGGAATAGTCACTAATCCTTTTCTAAGTAATGTAGTTTAAATCAATAATTATAATAAAGTCTGCCAGTAATTTTGTGGAAGGATAATGTTGAAAGTCTGTGGAAATAAATAAAAATGTAAGTTTTCTGTTTTAAATATCCTTTGACAACTATGCTGATATATGGTCAGGCAGGTTCTAATAATTTAAACGTTAATCATAATTTACTCCCTGAAATTTTTAATTTTCCAACTGTTCATCAGCTGAATTGGTTTCTGTTTGTCTGTTGACCAGCCTGCTGTGACCATGAGAAGATTAAGTTCACACCAGCTAAAGACTGATTATGAATGCTTATAACTCGACAGTCTAAAAGTGCTGTATTGCCGTGTCCCTGGTAATGGTTAATGCTTTAATAAACATATTATTTAATACAAACACTGAATGTCACGGGGCTATGGGTTCGAATATCACTCTAGATTAGAAAGTTTTTTCACATAATGCTCCTTTTTTAATTTTGATAAAGTGTGAATGCCCTTATCCGAATTAATATATATCGGCTAAAAGTCGCTTGAACACGAGTCAACTGGATTTAACGATTTTCTTATAATTTCTATGCATTGTTGTCATAGTATAAAGTTTTTAACTCGTAATAAAAATACCTGTAATGAGCAATTAATGGAATTATCACGATATTATGCAACTGTAGAAAACAATGATAAATTTACTTGCAGATAATGAATCACAATAATGTGGCTGAGTATGACAGTCAAATCACACATCAAAAATGTAAGAAATGACTACGTTTCGGTCCATCCTGGACCATTATCAAGCTGTGTTATGGGGGTTATGTAAAACTTGGACTGGCTTCAGTAGAAACCTCCAGACTTCTTGTGGATTCACTGGAATCCTAGGTTCATGGTACAAGGGTAAGGTGCGTGGCTGCTAGTACGTTGTTCACCGATTCGAGTAACCCCATTGCTCCAATTTATTTTCTAATTCATTAAGATGTAAACAGAGTAAATCTTCCTATCTTCAATAATATATAATGCAAATGAAAACCACTAACATTTTTATAAAAATAAAAATTACATCAATCATCAGAACTTTAACTCAAATCCATGGCATTCAAGATTTTTAAGTATAAAGGAAAAGCAAAACCAGTAGAATACAAAAATAAATTATAAAACAAATGACAAATAGTGTACCAAAGAAAAAGTGCGAGAGGACAGTGACAAAAAGTAAACCAAACCCACACATTAGAAATAGCAAGGCGACTAAAAAGTCATTACTTTCTAGTACGTGGGTTTATATTTTATATGGATTTAAATCATGCAAACATTGTTTTACTGAGCACTAAACTGTTTAGCCACTAACCTAAAGATCCAGTAGATGCCTCACTACTGATAGATGCTGTATCAGAACAGTCATCTGTATCTAAATCAATATACCCATCACTGTCAGCTTTATAGTCTTCTTTGGAGTTTTCTAATGACACGCCTCCTTCAGCACCCACAACGTCTTGAAGTACAGTCACTTGAATTTCTATTATGACAGAAATTAACAATACTAATTATTGTAGGTTCATTGTTAATAATAATAAAATACATGTTACATTTTTCACATACATAATACACAAAACATTGCATTAGCTCTTAATGAGCTAATGCAACTATAATCACCATTTAAGTAATTGTATGGTAAAACCAAAAAAAATTTGGCAGTTACTGCACCAACTATAAGGTGTGCAGTTACTGCACCAACTATAAGGTGTAGCCTAAAACTGGAGGCCATTTCCCAGAAACACAAATAAGTAAAGGTGCTACTTATATAAGGTCATCTCAATGTTGTTATATGTCCCTTCAGAAGCCAAAAAATTATCTTAATTTTTGCTTTTAATTTTATATAATTATTAGCTAGTATTTAGTATTAAAAAAAAAATAAGTGAGAGTAGTTATTCCAGGATACGCACTCAAGAGAGCTGTTATACTTACAATGAAACTTCCCTTGGAGAACATTTTTAAAATACAATTCTTGGAGAGGGGCCAGTTATCTAGTGGAGGTATTAGGGTAAAAATATCTAACAGGCAATTGTTTTGGGTTTTACATATAAAGTACACTGTATAGTATATCCAAAGAAGGATAACCCTGTCATGAATAACTATAGGCAAAAGGTCTGAAAATACAACTACTTCAATTTTCCTGCAGAAAACATAGCAGTTTGTATATGTAATATCTACCTTCAGTTCCATTTGTCTGTGATGCACTACCAGGTGGATCTGGAAATGATAGCAAGCAATAAGCAGTTAAACTAGATACATTTCATATTACCTGTAATTCTGTTCTTTGTAATACATGACTTTGTACTATTATATACTGCTGAAGAGAGCACAAGGTAGCTGTGTAATATACCTAATACCATGCACTGGTTATCACAAACAACAGTTCAAGCCTAAAGTGCATGGCAAACTTTTCTGCCTGCCACCTTCAAATGCAAAATATGTTACTCTACAAGTAAGCATTTAAATTATCAGAAATCTATTAATTCATGAAATTGACTGATCATCGAAGAAAGAGAACTGGCCTCAATATATTAGTCATTTATTACAAAACCACACTTCAAATGTCAGAGTCTATAAACTCAAATTAATATATGTTCAACATTATGCAAAAACAAACTACCGTATTTGCCGCCGTATAAGACACTTTTTTATTTTTAAAGTTATCAAAAAAGTGCCCTGCATCTAATGTGGCCATATCACGGATGGGAGACCGAGGGGCATGGGCTAGGGAGCCGGACGAGCATACTTGGTAAATTCACCAGGCACAAAAATCGTTGCAAATAATAAAATATTGATATCAAGCCTTGTTATCACAGTCTATTATCACAAACTTATGATACGTCAGCAGTTATGAAGGAAGCTCACATCATCTTACCTAGTATACGTAACCCACACTTGATACGCCATATTATTTGACGACTGTGTTACCTTTACAACACATTTATTCATTATCTAAATGATAAATTATCCTAGAAATTTGAAAGGAATGTCCAACTTTCATCCACCTGTCAGTCATTTGCAATGTGTGAATGACACCACCACCAGAACGCTGTGATGGTGCGCCGCCCTGGTGGCATGATGCGGCAGCAAAACATCACATCCAGAAATACAAGTTTCACATCTTGTATAGAAATTTTCTTGCCCAAAATATTAACAACTACACCACAGCTGATTTTAAAGGAGGTAAGAGTTGTTGTACAAAATCCACTTTAAAATACATTTCAATAAATGTATGATGAAACATACTAAAATAGTTTTTTCCACAAAATATCCTTGTCAAATAGGGGTGCATCATATGTAAGGGTGCATCTTTTACACTGGCAAATATGGGAAGTACTTGATATGTTACTGTATATGTATTCATATGAAAAATGTATCTACAGTACCTATCTATAATTATGCCAGTCCCCATGTTACAAGGTAACTGAAATAACATAGCAAAAAATCACATTGGGACATGTGAAACTGGAAAACAAAAACTTTTCAATTATTAAACATCCTTTGTAACTAGTGGTGTTTATAATCAGTGAAGTAATGATCATTAGTAAAAGTTATTTCTGCTTCTGAATTCTTTAAATTAGCAAGTAACAGATGTCTGCAGTTACATTATAAAACGGTGCATATGGGAAAACACTATTTGATAGATTAGCATAAAATTTAAGGGTTAAACAATGAATCTTAAAATGTTAAACAGAGCTTAAATTAAAAAAAAAAAAAAAAACAAGAATATGCACCGCCAGCATTAAATCCTTGTGTAATAAAGCACAGAACAAAAAGGAAAACTAAGTCCAAATATATGGTACATGACTAGTACCAGAGATATGAGAACATACTAAGGTAACTCAATATATAACAATAAAAGAGAATGATAAAAGGTAATACTGAAGGAAATAGACAAAGTGCATACAATTGTTTCCCAAGGGGAATGATAACAGAAAAGGGGACAGAAGTGGAAGTTGGAAACACAAATGAGAGACTGCTTCATGAGCAAGAACAATTGAGTACTAACATATTGGGAGGTGTAATGTGCCAGATATAAATGCTACAAGGTGAGGCTCTTGCTTCTAACAACTAGGTATGCACTGCAACCTCTCTCCTTTATATATGTAAGATTTTCCTTTCCTAGTTTCCTGCAGACACTGATAGGCACTCTCAAAGAGTTCAACAGAAATTGTGAGATCCACTTTCACTAACAGAGTGGTAGACAGTTGGAACAAGTTAGGTGAGAAGGGGGTGGAGGCCAAAACCATCAGTAATTTCAAAGTGTTATATGAAAGTGCTGAGAAGACAGGACACAATGAGCATAGCTCTCATCCTGTAACTACACTTAATTAATTACACACATGACTAGAACATAAAAATAGATGCAAATAATGATGCTCCCTTGATGTTCACCAGTGATCTACAGTGAGTAGAATTTTAGCATGAAGTTGTTATAAACTATTACATTAAATACACACACACAAAAAAAAAACAGGCAACCAATTAATTATCCTGCCATGACTCGCCTCTCAACACACTAATCACACATGATAGTACGAACTTGAATCTCTTCATTATCAATAAATAATCAATGGACATTACGCTGATAAGTGTACAAAGGTCTGTATCATGTCACACTAGTGCAGAAGGGCTCCTGGCATATTTTTGTATTCAAAATACATATTGCAACTATTTCTGTGAATATATTATAAATAACAATGACTCTGCATACCTGTTATATCTTCAACAGCACCAGATAAAATACACCGTACTTTTCTCTCTGCAAAACAATTCATTAGAAAATCAAAACAACAAAATACATAATGAGCAACCAACAGTGAAAAGTAAACAATAAGCTAAATTATGTACAATAACAAATGTTAAGTCAGTACAGTAATGCACATAAAATAAATATAAAAAATACTTTCTTAATTATATCAATTAAAAAAAAATTGTGCAAAAAAGTAAGTGATGAGAAAAATAGAACTCATCAAAACCAGCATATAGAAAAACCATGCACCCATCTATATCTAAAAAAAATTCCTATACTGTACAGCACTTTATTTCAAGTAATTTCCCTAGTAAGACTGCATATTATTTATAAGGAAAGCAGAATGAAGACATAATATTGATTTAGGGAGATGGAAGACTGACATAATCCAGTCATGTATGAGTATTAAGTATAATGAGGATGACCAGACATGGGATATTAAAAGCACAGGTGTAACAACATTACTATACTACAGTATTGGTAGTATAGTATATAGTAGCTGGGTGGCAGGGAAGCCAGCTGCAGCAGCCAGGCGACAAGTGGTAGGGTAAGGTGTCACCCAACAATTTATTTCAATTTTATTTTTTAATATCTAGCTTTATTAACTTTCCCATGCTCAAATTATATATTTTGGCTGCCATTGGCAGTTTCCATATAATGTGAAATGTGTGTATGTACAGCTACTGTAAGAGCTTGGTGATCCAAGTTCTCATAAACCGAGCAAATTCACATTCATTTTTTTTAATAAATGGTGGAAGTAACTAGGTAAATGGCTAGAGTAAGAGATAAACGATGGGAATGCACAAGTAAATGGCAAGATGTGGTGCAAAAAGTTTTAAATTTGCTTATTGTATGACCTTTTTGTAAAGAAATTTAGTTAATTGGAATGACCCATTGGGCCCATACCCACTTCAGATTACCATGATCCAGATTACTAAGCACAGACAGTATTACTATGTGCACACTATATATACTTAGTTGATTAATATTTAAACAAGTTAAAGTTTTGCAACTGCACATGATACACATTTTACAGGTAAATTTATACATAAATACAGCATCACTGATTTGCTGTTTTTAAAACTTCTTACACCATTTCATCACTAATGCCTGTATATGCATTACTGATACCTCTATTATTTTTTTCTTGCACTGGGAGCATTGCTTTTGTGACCTCACTCGCATTGCAATACAACGTCATAAACAATATTCCTTGCCAAAGACTACCAGGTAAATATGGTGTGTCATGCATAGTAAACCCACTTGAACTGTCCCTTGCAGGGTCTGCCAGGCAGATGTGAAGTTGGTCCAGTATACTGTGCCAATAAATGAACATTGTCTATATAAAATTAACACACTGATGCTTCAGTTTTCACAATGTAGCACCATTTTATATGTATTTAGAACACTGACATTAACAAGTTGGAAAAGGATTGTATTTCTCATACCTGCACTCACCACCATCACGACTAGCGTATTATCCCCCACTAACACCATGATCAGAAAAAATGATAATGACATTATAATTATCAGGTTTAGTACCATGATGCAACAAATTTACTCCATTTTACAACACATGCAATTCACTATGCCACAACTACTAATACAGCTATAGTGCTTGCACTACAAACACTTGATATTCACCATACTACCAAAATCATATGAAACCTCCCCTCCGTCCCACCCCCACACTACCAACAAAATCACAAGCATTACAATGACACATCGTCATCAGAGTAGATTTTGTAGTACCAGATACGCTCCAATTAGCAACTCAGGAAATGAGTGTCTATACCAAAGCTTTATGACAAGTTCCCACACATCCTAAAATTCCTATACTTTTCTTCCCTTACTGTTATAGAAGGCTATTTTGTCTTCTGATGGCTAACATTCAGTATTCCACAGCTAGTAAAATCCACATTAACATAATAGTCATCAAATTTAGCACCTACTGGTACTAGAGTTGCTCCAGTTGACAAAACATTTCTCACCACCCTGTCATGATACAGCTTGCACATTGATCACCATTACTAGCACCAACATTCTCCATTATCATCACCAGCACTACAATCAGTACAAATCACAAAATCACTATTTTCAACACATTTAGTTATTTGTGAAAACAAATCTGCTTCAATTGACAGTTTTATGTAAAATACTGATTATTTTCCATATATGTAAGCCTTCAGCAGTAAAGCTGGCATAAGGTCCCCATTTAAATTCCTCTCTTGTTTATAATTCCTGTAACTGCCTCACTCCTATGCTATGATGCCCTGTTTCCTCATCTCCCCTCATTCCATTTTCAGTTCTTTGAATTCTTGTTGACATTTGTTTACCTAACCCTGTAATGTGTTATGCTCAGCAACAGCCTATAATCCTTCTGTCTCTACAATTCTTAACATCTGTGCAAAAACTGTCATGTAGAAGCTTACCTCCCGGGGTAAACTCCAAGGACCAAGCCCCGTGAGACCCAACTTGCTACCCCTCTTACCCACTATGACATTTTCTCTCAATTACTCTTTCCAAGTTGTTAAGGTACTTTTTTATGGTCACATACCTTCCGAGTTCTAAATACTTACATCTCCATTTTATACATTTTATGAGACACATAAGCAAAGGCTTTTTGGTAGCCTAGAAAGCTGTATACATAGCCCTGACTTATCTTATCCAATTTATTTCATCATAGAAATTCATAAGGTTCACTATGCATGACTTACCCACTCTAAATCTGTACTGCCTCTCAGTTACAATTTAGGAGGAAGAAGAGCACTTTATAAATAATTACTGAACATTATAATTCCCATTTAAGAAAGTAACACCTACACTCTAAGAGTGAAAACCATAGAAGCAAATGAGGAAAATTACATTTAAATTAAACATTACATTCTCAAAGAGAAAAGCTGTCAGAATGAGGTTATCAAGTGTGGGGAGTTTCTATAGTTACAAAATAACAGTAATAATCTTTTTTACTTAAACTTTTATTAGAATACACCCTTGTAACATTTACAATGCATAAGGCTCAGAGAATATGAATTTATTTGACCCCAAATAAACACTAAAATAAGCATTAAATATTCATAATACTGTATTTGTAAAATAAATACTTTAATAAATGAAAATAACAAAGTAATGTACACATGCAATAAGATAATAATGAAAAATATAACAGTGATACAAGTTTGAATTCATAAAAATTATACAGGTCCATGCATATAAATAATGAAATTCTTGAATTCAACAATCAAAAGACTTGAAAGAGAAAGCTAATCTCTTACTTGACTTATTCTTTGCAGGTCGGGGCCTCAGAGGGCAAGGGTTAGTATGATCTGCAGAGAGCTGTGCTGCCATGAGTTTCCTCCACTGATCCCGGGTCATGATAATGTCTCCTTCTTTTGAGCAATAATAATTACGGTCACCTAGCTGAAGTGTACAAGGCTCAAACACATTCAGCATTTTCACTCTGAAGAACAAAATATTAATATGTATTGAAATATAATAAAGATATGATGTAGCTGAAACAGTATAGCACAGTATAATACAAAGCCATGCCCACTCGATTTTGATCTTTTAAACTTAATTTTCTACAGCTGCTGGTGTCACTGGACTACTGAGAGAGGGGTACTAAGTAAGAGAGCATCTCTTTCAAAGGAAAATGCACAGCATATGCAAAGTAAAATAATAGTTAACAAACCTGAAAATTCTTTAAGACAGCATTTGTGAACCCTGGTTTACACCATCATTCATGAACACAATCCTATCTACTAAATAATCTCGCTTTATTTCCAACAAACAGGTGGTAAGGTACATAAATAAGCCTGTAGCTCGTATGATACTAAACTAAATCTGTATATTGTCAACTTGATAATTCCTTTGAACAATCAAGAATTAGAGCAGCAGAAATGGACAGCATAAGTTGCACTTGTGGTGTTAGGAGACAGTACAGACTGAAAATGTTGCTGAAAAACCATGAGAATAAAACTTGGTCAATTGTAACATTGACAAGTGTACCAAAAGTGTTTAGTTATATTGAACACATTCATGATGATGGGATAAAGAAAATTAAGTTTGAGATTCTGCTAAATGGAAAAGGAAGAGGAAGAAAAAAACAGAGGGGGAGGAAGGGAAGATGAGGGAGACAGGGGGGGAGAGAGGGAGGAAGGAGGGGGAGAGGGGAAAGAGAGGGAGGAAGGAGGGGGAGAGGGGAAAGAGAGGGAGGAAGGAGGGGGAGAGGGGAAAGAGAGGGAGGGAGGCAGGAGGGGGAGAGGGGGGGGGAGAAGGGGGAAGAAAGGGAGGCAGGAGGGGGAGAGGGGGGGGGAGAGGGGGGAAGAAAGGGAGGCAGGAGGGGGAGAGGGGGGGGGAGAAGGGGGAAGAAAGGGAGGCAGGAGGGGGAGAGGGGCAAGACAGGGGGGTAGAGGGAGAAGCAGAGGGGGGGAGGGGGAGGCAGGTGGGAGAGGGGAAACAGAAGCAGTAGATGGAGAGAAAGCAGCAGTAGGGGGGGGAGAAGCAGTAGGGGGGAGTAGTAGTAGGGGGGTAGATAAGCAGTAGGGAGGAAAAGAAGCAGTAGGGAGGAGAAGAAGCAGTAGGGGGGGGGGGAAGAAGCAGTAGGGGTGGAAGAAGCAGAAGGGTAGAGAGAAGTGGTAATGGGGGGGGGAGAAGTGGTAAGGAAGGGGGAAGTAGAAAAGGGGAAAAAGTAGTAAGGGGGGAGAAGCAGTAGGGGGGGAGCATGGGGGGAAGGGAGAGGGAGCAGGGGCAAAGGGAGAAGGAGCAAGGGGGGAAGAGAGAGGGATAGATCAGGAAAGGAAGAGGGGAGGGAACAGGAGAGGAAGAGGGGAGGGAGCAGGAGAGGAAGAGAGAAGGGAGAGGGGAGGGAGGGAAGAGAGGGAGAGGGGAAAGATGGGAATAAGGAGGGGGGAGGGGGGGAATCCAAAGTTATTGTGAATAGTATCCTCCTGTGAAATAAGAAGTATACACAGAATGATTACACAAAGACATCAAATAGACATACGAGTACATCACATAAAGAAATAGCCAATTATTTTACATATTTTACCTTTTCAAATCCTCTCCCTGAACAAGATACTTAGGCTGTTCTTTGTCTATATTTAGGTCATTGGAAAAGGCCCGACACTGCCAGCGCACTCCAAGCTGTACTACCTGTGACAAAGTAAAAAGAAAAAAGTTAATGAAGTCATTCATCTTACAAAAAATATTAAGTGTTTTATATTGGAGAGTATAAACTACAAATGTTTATAAAACCTACTATGCATAAGTTAAAAATTACAAAGTATGCATTTCAAAATTAACAAAGATAAAGGAAAGCATATCCACTACATGGTATGGTAAAAACAATGCTGACGAATTCAATAAAGAGGAGATTTTAGGGGAGTGGCAATATGAATAAGTGTACAGTATAGAGAAAAGTACAGTAAACCATGTCATATCCATTTACCTCAGGACTGTCACTACCCAAAACACTAAAAGTACTGTACCGGCTGCCCATCATTATATTATACATACGCTCATGTCTGCATCTGTGTATGTAAGTGCATGTGTTTAATTACCTACGTGTAATTACAGGATGAGAGCTCTGCTCGTGGTGTTCTGTCTTCCCAGTACTCTTTGTCGTATGCTTTCCAACTACAGTAGACAGTTTTGGCATCCACCACCACCTTACCTAACGTGTTTCAACCATGAACAATTCTGTTTGCAAAAAAATTAACTTTCAAATATTTGTTGACACCTTTGCTTTCTTAGCTTGAATCTATGCTTCTTGGTCCAGAAGTTGCAGTTTTCAAGAATTCCTGTCAAATTTGTCAATTCTTGTTACTGTACTATTTTATATGTAGTGATCATGTCTCCTTTTTTCTTCTATCTTGCTCCTTTGACAAATTTAACACTGCTAGTCCCTCTTCGTAGCTCTTGTTTTTCTACATACAAAGTCCACTACGGGCTCACCATAGCCCGTGCCACTTGGAACTTTTTGTTCCAGGTAGCGAATCTTAAACAACAACAATCTTGTTTTTCAGTTCCAAAAGTCATTTAGTAGAATGTCTTTGCAACTTTCCAAGTTTGTTGATGTTTCTTGAGATACGGGCACCATACAACTGCTGCATATTCTAATTTTGGTCTCACAAAAGTCGTAAACAATTTCTTTAGTATTTCACCGTCCATGTATTTAAAAGCAATTCTGAAGTTTTCAAGTGACAGTTTGGAATCCAGAACTACCCCTAGATCTCTTTCTTTATCAAATTTCTTTAAAGCCTTTCCACATAATTTGTAGGTTGTGTGTGGCATATTTTCTTCAATTACACATTCCATAACATGGAATTTATTCACATTGAATTCCATCTGCAAAGTGTTGCTCCAAATACTTACTTTGTACAGGTTTTTTTATTATCTTCCCTAGTCCCGAGTATCTTCCCTAGTATCTTGATGCCCGAAACGCTTTGCGTAATAGTGGCTTTAGGCATTGTATGTACTAGCTCTACCTATAAGTCAAACAATCCTTGTAAATATTTATTGTATGTATGTACCTTACCTAAATAAAATTGTATTGTATTGTATTGTATTGTAGTAGCTAAGCTATCTCAATGAATATAGTTTCAGGGAGCTATCAAGGGTTTCTCCACGAAAGAATGATTTTTGAAACCACATCAGTTCATGTATACCCTTGCAAAACTCCAGGTAAAACCTCTATTTTCCACATTTTGCAGCTCAATCTTTTATTGCTTCATACTTTTTCTTACCTTACCTTGCCTTTTTCCTCATTTAAAGAAAGTCTTAAACTACAAATATCATATAAAATACATCCTTTCTGCAATTTGATCAAATAAAGTACCTTTATTAATTTTTTACCGTCACTCGGCGTCCTGTTTATTCTTTCATTCGTTCATTATTGGAATATATACAGTACTTTCTTCATATTTTAAGTAACATAGTGCCCTTACACCCAACCAGCCATATGGAATTTTACCCAAACCATATCCAAACATAAAATCACATACCCAAACTCTAATGTACACTATATAAATGCGTGTAAACTACTTTAGCCATTCATCAGGACATCCAGTCATTCAATAAACTTTAAAAGGTTTTCATTCATCCTTCCCCGCATTAATTTTTATATTTACCTGAACTTGTTCAACAGTGACTTTTATAGACTTGTGAGGCTTCGAGAGAACAACTTCCATCTCCCGTGTACGATGGATCCATTCTACATCATCAAAAGCCCTTGCGCATCCCACTAGTTGCTGGCCAGGGTAAAAGTCATACCGCCGAAACTCTGAGTCCTGGAAAAAATTAATAAGACATAAATTAGAAAAATATCCTTATGATAATGAAAATAATAACTACAAATTTTTCTGACATTTCCAATACATTAAAAACTTGAAAATAATGAAAATGTCAGTAAATCTGATGCTTAACAGATACTGAATGTTATCTGGCTATACTGTATTTGAAACAAACAAACACAACAGATCATTCTCTCTCTTTAAATGCATACAATGCCCACTGAACAATGCAAATTTTGATTTCCAAAGCAAGAACATTGCTAATTTTGATTTTCAGGGCATGACCCATATAATTTTGAATAAATGTGTATCACTATCACCAGATTATTTTCCTCGTAGGCATGCATGAAAAAATTTACACACAATGCCCCATTGGGATAAGATATCTTATGTTAGCCTTACTTCAGACTTTTCTCCAAGCAGACCCTCGATACTGTACTGTTCTTAATAATATTTTTTAACATTTCTTTTAACAGTTTTACAGGTGAGTACACATTAGATTTTTAATAAAAATTAACAAAAGCCTGTATTCAAAACTTGCATACTAAACAAACTGCTAAATAACATCAGTAAAGCAAAGCCTTTGGCACATTTAAAAGCAGGAAAACAGATACCTAAGTGAAAACAACTGTGTATAAATATTTCTTCTTAAGTCCTGACAAAATTAAAGTTTTATACTTACAGGTAGAATTAAAATTTTTATTTACTGTTATGAGTACCTTATAGTTTACTGACCATTTAAGGCACCTTTTGTCTGTGTGAATGCTCACAAAGTTGCTTGTGTGCATGTGATACTCACCAAACTGTGCATGTGTGTTAGTGTATTTATACTCATCCAATTGTGTTTGTACTCACCCAATTGTATGCGTGTACTCATCCAGCTATGTGTTTGTGTACTCACTCAGTTGTCTGTGTGTACACTCACCCAGTTGTGTATATGTACAGTCACCTAATTGTGTGAGAGAGCATTCACAGTGTGTGTGTACTAACCTATTTGTACTCACTTATCTGTACCTGCAAGATCTAACAATGGCTCTTGGATCCCCGCCTTTCTAGCTGCCAGTTGTTTAAAGCAATGACTTGTGTCCTATTTCTCTATCATATCTTGTTTTAAAATTATGAGTAGTGTTTGATTCCACAACATGCTCCTTTAGTTTATTCCGTTTTCTCACTACTCTTATGCGAAAAGAAAACTTTCTAACATCTCTGTGACTCGTATGGGTTTCCCAGCTTCCACCAATGTCCCTTTGTTCTGTTGGTATTCAGTGTGAACATTTCATCTACTGTATTTCCACTCTGTCAATCCCACTAAGTATTTTATATGTTTCTATCATATCTCCCCGCTCCCTCCTTTTTCTAGCGTTGTCAGGTTCAGTTCCTTCAGTCGCTCTTCATACCCCATCCTTTGCAACTTTGGGCCGAGCCTCGTAGCATATTTTTTAACTTTTTCCAGTTTCCTTGTGTTTTTCTTCAGGTGGGGGCTCTATGATGGGGCATCATACTTTAAGACTGATCTCACATAGGCAATGTAAAGTGCTCTAGGAGCCTCCTTACTTAGGTTTCTGAATGGTGCTCTATCTTTTTGCTAGCGTAGAGAACTGTTGTTGTTATCCGACTTATATGTGCTTCAGGGGTTAGATCTGGTGTTATGTCCACTCCCAGGTATCTTCTTGAATCATCACAGGTAGGTAATTTCACTTCATTGTGTACTGTCCCTTTGGTCTCCTGTCACCTATTCCCATTTCCATAACTTTACACTTGCTCATGTTGAACTCAGTAGCCATTTCTCTGACCATCTCTGCAGCTTGTTCAAGTCCTCTTGGAGGATCCTACAATCCTTATCTGTCACAACAGGTGTGTATGCGTGTGCGCTCACCTAAGTGTAAATGAAGTTACAGGATGAGCTACACTTGTGGTGTCTTGTCTTCCCAGTACTGTCATATGCAACTACTGATAATTTTGACATCCACCACCACCTCATTTAACTTGTTCTGTCTCCTTATTTTCTTAGTTTGAATCTATGACCTCTTGTTCTTGAAGTTGCAGATTTCAAGAATTCCTCTTTGTCAATTATATCAATTCTTGTTACTATTTTGTATGCAGTGATCATATATCCTTTTTTCCTTCTATCTTCCAGTTTTGGCAACTTCAACACCTCAAGCCTCCTCTTGTAGCTCTTGTTTTTCAGTTGTGGAAGACATTTAGTAGCATATCTTTGTTTATTCAACTGGGAAAGGTGCAAAGATTATAATTTTTATCCTATGACATATTCCACAATGTGGATTTATTCACATTGAATTCCAGCTGTCAAGTGTTGCTCCATACACTTATTTTGTCCATCATTAGCAAACATGTTTGCATAACTTTGTATTCCCTCTGGGAGGTTATATATATGTAGACAACAAGCATTACTGGTGCTAGAACTGAACTCTGCAGGACTCCACCAGTAACATTTCTCCAGTCTGATACATTGCTTCTCACTACTGCCCTCATTTTGTCAGAATTTTATCGATCTATGTTAGAAGTCTTCCTGTCACCCCTCCAAAATGTTCCAGCTTCCAGAACAACAATGTTTGTGGGAGCATGCAGCTGAATTGCAGGTATAGATGTGGGAGCATGCAGTTGAATCGTGGGTATAGATGTGGGAGCATGCAGGCGTGTTGTGGAGTACAGGAAAATGGGCATACAGTTGTGTTCTTAACTAGATGTGAGTGTGGGTGCAGGTATGTAGCATATACAGTATGAGACAGTTTTGTGCATGTGGATGGGTGTGTGTGTGTGTATATTTTCATTATGGAATTTATGAGGTAAATTATTCTAAAAGTATAGAAAATATTTATACCACAGTGAACAAATTTCCTTGTTTTAGTTATAGCCAGATATTAATATATTCAGATACCTCAAAAACTGACATATATCTCATATCATTAGTATTATTTAAGGATAACTTTTAAAATATACTATAGTACTTTATTAAAAAAAAATGAAAATTAATCTTTGTTTAAATATTTCAGGATGATTGTAACAGGAATCCAAGGAAATTGTTAAAACAATAATTAACAATAAAATGCAACATAATATTACGGGTAACACTTAAAACTACAACTTGTCGACTCAGATGAACCTTAAAAAAAGGAATAAATACAGACTAGGAAAACACATAAAATAAAATAAACAAATACAAGCTCAGGATAACCTTTTTCACAAACAGAAAACTGTAATTTGCCTCTAAAATCACATAAAGGAAGCCTTGGTTGCAGTTTATATATATATATACAGTAAAGTGGAATGGTTTAAATTAATGTACATTAGATATTATTGACCTAATTGTGCAAATTAGTTAATACAATGTGTGCGGTAATTAAAACTGCATGTACTGTACATACATGCAACTACAAAAGATCAACATAGTACAAACATTTGCTACAAAATTGGTGCCAGTGTTAACCCAAAATGTGATCCCCAGCAAATTGACCTATTAGAAAATTTGGAACAGCATGGAAAAATCAAACCAGCATGCTGAGTAACCCCAGTTGCACACCCAGACCCACTAGGAACCTGGAGGTACTGAGCTAGCAGTCTATCCAAGTATAACACATAACTTGGATATACTATGATGTAGGTAATCAAGCTGTCCACTAAACTCTCCTTTTAAATACATACAAAGTATCATGGTCTATATTAGCATATCGTGGTCCATGGGTATGGTATGGTATGCACTTGGTGTGATCCAGGATGCTGGTTCGATCCTACCGTCCTGCTCCAAAGATTTTCTCATAGATATATCATGTTATTGTGATTTCACTGTGCAAAGTGACCTATATTTAAGGAAAACTATAGGATAAAGGCACCCATCTCTGGATGGTAGCTGGTCTCCGGACACCAAGACCAGTACAGTATCACTTAAATTAATTTAATATCTTAATGCTTTATGGCTCATGAGAAATGAGTCCCGAACATTGAGATACCTAGAGCCTGATTCCACACTTTTGAAGAGTCAGACATCCATGGGGCTGAAAACCCAATATATTACTATATGGAAATAAAGGAAGGTATAATATAAACCATAAAATACATGTTTGTGCAGGTAAAATTTTCTTCCAAATGAGTGACATGTCATCATCTAGAGACTAGTGTCAGGGTGCACGAATACTTGAATGTGTGGTAGAGCTCCTGATGCCACCATTTTTGGTTAATCATGCCACGGATACTGTTTGTCCAGTGTACATTCCAGTCATTTTATAGAACTACAACTCATTTGTTTCATACCAGTTTTTATATAAATCCACACTGTACAGTATATATCCTTATTTTTTTTTTTAGTACACCGTGAGTGGAAATAACCTTTTCAAGTATCCAGAGACCAGCAATTTTATGCTAGAACAATTAGTTAATTTAATATCATAGAGAAAGTGCAAACAAGGGTGCAAATTAAAATATTATAGGATAGGGAAGAAATAGGATGGCATTAGGATGGGGAGATGTTATACAGATCAGATTTTTAGCATTAGAATTATTTTATTCACATTTCTAGCAATGGGGACAAATTTTAATGATGCCATTACGGATTTAGAAAAGTACATAACTGGACAGGCCTAGTTATTTCAACCTGCATTTTCCTCTTGTACACAAGATTGTCTACTCATCCCTATTTTTTCTGTCATTTCTTCAGTTTCAGTTCCATTAGGTGGCTTTACTTACTCTTCAGTGATTACAATGTTGTTTAATATTTAATCTATCCATGTGTCATTATCCACTCTTGGTTTCCCCCTCTGGTTCTTGCTAACAGACCTCATGGAACCTCTTGTCGAGTTCCTCACAAACCTTCTTGTCGTCATCTAAGAAGAAATTCTCATATTGTCTTAGCCTAATCCCATGGTCCTTACTAGTTTTCATCCAACTATGCCTGCAACAATTTGGGTTAGTCTAACTTTTGGTACTAGTGTCATATGTAAATCACCTTTTTTTTAATTTCTCCCTTGATTCTGTATTACTCATTTAACTCTCTGTAGTCTCTTCCTATTAACTCTTTACCCCTGTACATTTTCAAAATTTATTGTTCCTGTACTTTGCCTTCTTGCACGTCTGTTGAGTCACGGGTTTATCCATTTAGGAGATCATTTCCATAGATAATGAGTAAGACAGGCCCCTCAGGACACCTCTGGTGACATTTCACAACTCTGAAATCTCTCCTCTCACTGTGACACAGTCTTCTGTTGTTTAGGTACTTCCTTATTTACTGGAGCACCTTCACCATTCCTACCTATTTCATCACCAAGTGCATTAATCGTGTGTTGTACTGTGTCAAGACATTCCTGACAGTACAATAAATGAAGTCTCTCCCCCCCCCCACCACCCTTCTCTATCTTGTCTGATATCAGTTGTCCAGTCACAAAATTCTACCAAAATTGTGAAGCATAATTTGCCATCCAAAAGTCCAAGCTTGCATTGCACCACATAGTAGACTAATTCTCCAGATATTCTATTATCTTCTATCTTATAGTCTTTTGTATTACATCGCAAGGGATGCATACTTTACCTATAGTTCACCACCTGTTTATCTCCTTTTTTCATATATTGACAATGCATTGGCTGTCTTTCAATTTTCTGGTAACTCTCCTCTCTTTCTAGCAGCTGTTATATATCATACTATGCATTAGAAACACAGGGCTTCTGATTTTTTTTTTTTTAAATATCATTGTGAAATACTGTTTGATTTCACAGCCTTAATCATGTCCAGCTCTAGCAAATACCTCATTACTTCATCGCTGGTAATCTCAAAGTCCTCCAGTGCAGCTTCATTTGACTCCATCCTTGTCACTTTAGGCATGTCTCCTTGCTCTATTGTAAAGAACTCTTGTCCTGTTGAAGTCCTCATATACTTTCCTGACATTCTCTTAGTGTCCTTTTCTTTCCTTTATTTTAAAACCTGGTCTTTATTATTGTATTATTGATCTGGTTATGGAGTAGCTTGGGTCAGAGCCTTTCTTTATCCATTATGCCAAATTCACATTGTCTTTCTGCTTCTCTTCTTACTCTTACTCTCTACTTGCTTATTTCTGGATCTCTGGAGTATACCATGTCTGGAATGTGTAATTTCTCGCATACTTTTTGCATATTTTATTTATTATATTCTTGCGTAATGGTTTTTTGCTCTTCAATATGCACTACATTCGTAGCTGAAAAGTAGTGAATTTGTAAATTATGTTCAGTCAGGTAATTTATTGAGTGACTGAAAAATACTGGACACCTGAAAGCCTCCTGAAGAGCAACCCAATTTTACCCAAATATACATCCTTTCCAGAAATTCGGGACTACAGTACTGTAAATTAGAGTGTAAAGGGCAACAGTATTCTACAAATGGGGGAGGGTGGAAAGAGAGCTAGCAAGTTAGAAAGGGATAAATACCAGTGCATGTATGAATAAGTTAAATGCAAGCTACTGTTTACCTATCATAATGAAAAGTAAGAAAAACCATATTGTACCGAGAACTGACAGTGTTTACGCAATACCCTCTTTCTAATCAAGGAAATGGCCTACAGTACTTAAAAAGAGATAGTCATATACTGTACATACACTCTGTATTAAACTTACTATATGTTTAATCTATAAGGATTACTGGTTTGAACAAGAATAAGAAAAGGAATATTGAAAATTATATTAATGTATACAAAATCATGCAAGATTAAAATAGCCTTTCAAGCATGATTATAATATATAAAAGAATTGAACAACTTTAATTTGTTTCCAGATAACTACATGCATACATTATCATTAACCAATTTCTCCACTTTTCATATCTACTGCTCATACTTTTGAATTAGGGAAACATCAACCCAGAAAAAAATTTGGGAGCAATATTGTGAAAAAGTGTGTTATGTCTACAAACATTATCATTAACCCCATTACACACTTTCATGGAGCAATATTAGCCCATAAAAGAGGGAACAATATTGTGAAAACTTGTTACAAAATACTATTACTCATCCATTACATCTTTCATACTGTAGAGCATCATAGATTAACAAGGACATACTATCACAATTATGCAGGAAAATTGCTCTGTAAAGCACACAAAAATTGTGTACCAGGAAAAATTAGTTGGATAAGGCTTACATTCAACAATGGTACATGAAAGTTCTGAGCCTGCTATCGAGCCAGACGTCATCTGCACCTGTACCCATCTGCGTTAAAAAATTCAATCAAAACTATTAAAAAGATATGTATTTAATGTTCATATTCAACATTTAATATCATCTAGAAAGACCTTTGTTGATAATACAACTAAAACATACAGTATACTGTACTTAAATGAAATACATACAAGAGCATGCATCAAGTAAAATGTGAAAAGACAACAGGCAACTGATACCTGTTTCCATATGATGCACCACCACCTGAAGTGAGGTGTCGAAGGCGAGTGTCAAGAAAAACATTACACTGGCTTGCATGAATGGAGACGACGAATAACAGCTTTGTAAAAAGAATATACAGGAGTGAGGTAGAGAGTTGGTATAATGGATAGACAGCAGTTACACATGGAATCAGAATATAAAATGACATCAAGTGACTACAACAGGCTAGAAGACTATGCTTAGACAGAAGAGGGGAGTTCTAAGGGAAGGGGGGGGGGAGGGAACATGCATGCATTTCCTTACATGAACTGATCAAGACGGACTACTTGATGTTTGTCACTTCATGTTTACACCTGACTAGTTTAGGTGTAAATCAGGACTTTTTAATTCCCAAATTCTTAAATTTAAATCCTAGGCTTCTTTACCCTTAATAATCTGCCAACTTCTTACTTCTTCCTACAGTGTAGCATACTGATACAAAATGAAATTGTATCAGCTTTTTCTTTGAGAAATTTTATAATTTAGAAGACTTATCACTTTGCTCTGACACGTGATTTTGTGAAACTCATCCAGTTTATAAAAAAACTGTACTTGGAGAAATCAACAAAAAATTGAGCTTCAGCTTTGCTTTTTCTATGCCCATTTTTGTTTTATCAGTGCTACAACTGCATGCAAACTAAGGCACAAGCACACACAAAATACACATTATACATGGATAAAACTTCTGAACACTAATGCCTTCCAGTGAGAAAAATGTAAACAAAAGCCCCTCTTACTTTCTACCACATTTACAATATGTAAATTACAAATAAAACTGCAACCAAAGTATTTACATCTCTGCAAAAGGTAAATGATAAAAAAAATTATAATTTTTTTTACTCTTATACAATCATAATTAGTGTGTTCAAGTTGAGAACAGTACTGTACTGCACAAGCTCATCTAACATATTTAGATATTATGAACAATATCATACTAATCTTCTGTATTAATTCCAGACCATTAATTATCATTTCTATGGAACAAGTTCAAAAATTTTGTTATTCACCGGGATAGCTCCCCTGAAGCTTTCTTTACACATCATGACAGCTACTTCAAGAGATTTTTCAGGAACATTTAGTCATAATTATTCATAGTTAACCGATATATCCTTAATTGTGGCACCTTATATAATCTTTAGCAAGTACTCATCCAACTGTATACATTACAGAATAAAGTTTAAAAATTATCATCAAGATCAAAGCTCAAAATCATTAAAAGCAAGACATGTTGGATCATAGAGTAATCATGGGTAATCATTGCTTTTGAGCTAGTTTCCAGTTCAGAATTTTATTAAATATATATTTTTTCCTGTATACTTGTTGCCAGTATTAGTTCAGTAAGGATGAGATGATTTATAATGTACAGTATTACATTAGGATTTTGAGAGCAATTATTTAAGAATTAGAATGCTAACTTCCAATTTTCGTATTGGGTTTTTACCAATCACTTCGAACAGCCAGGAAGAATTTTGCCAAACATCATCCTTAAGCTCGCCTGTTATAAGTTTTGATGTGTATTTAACATTATTCTTACACAAAGGCTACTAACAAATACACATACGGAATTAAACTATATCACATACAAATTTACCCAGTACTGTATATATGAACTCCTTGATTTTACTAAAGTATTAGATTTTAGATATATGTAAATATTTTTTACATTTCTATATACTGTATATCACACTAACCTTTGCTTGCAGTACAGTAATGATCTCAGAACAGAAACATTAAGAGCACATTTAACATTATAAAATATTTCAAGAAAATTAACATACAATAGCTACAGGGTAAGGGTACATACTGAAGTTAAGCAATTTATTTAAGGTTACCATGAGCTTGTTTGACAGTTACCAATCTAACCCTGTCTCGCGTATCCCGCATATCATCCAGTTCCAGAGCTTCACCATCGGACATTATACATCTAGATCCATCAGAGCACAGCATCACCAGTCGACACTTGACCATGTGCACCATTCCCACCCAAGAATCTAAAGCTACAGCAATGTCTGTTGTGAACTCCTGAAAGGCAAAAACAATAACTGCATTAAAATATGTATTTCTGTATAGTAATATATAAACATTTCTTTGAAGTACCGTATATCTAAATAATAGTCCTGCAAAAAGTAGTTTCAGTGAAACAAAATTTGAAAGTTCTACATGATGGGGAAATGAGGAACTTTAGTTACAGCCCTGTACATGTAAACATTCCTTGGATGAAATGCAAGGAACCAGGTAACCTTACAAATTTATCTAAATCCAGCTCCATTCCCACCTAGATGGGGTAAATCAGTGTTAAAGTAAGTTTTTAAAAGGTTAACATGTGGTCTTCATACTTTTTTCAATTCGGTTCGGGCATTTTCATCAAGTGCTGATGTATGTAAATTTGGGAGTTGATACCGAGTTTTTAAAGTACAGTATGCAAACAATTATCAAAGAAAAATATGATTTTTTCTTGTTCTATTCTACATAGATCGCTTAACCCTTAAACAGCTTCATCACCCTCAAGTGATAGGGGGCTGGTGCATCAATCACCAGTGGGATACTAGATGTGCCTTATAATATTCAAGACCTAAAGATTCTATATGGATGTCATTTTACACTAGAGACCTCTAACAACTGTGCCATTTTGGAGAAAAAATTGAGCCTTGGTTCCCTTTCTGGACTTTAGTAAAAAGCTGAGCACCATGTCAGGTGCAACACCATCCATTGACTGACACCCATGTTAGGAACCACTGGTACCATCACAAATTTCAAGGACTTTTATGGACCTCGAAGATATTAGTGATAAGAAATGTATTATAAATACAGTAGTTAACTGCAGAATTATTTCTCAGGATATGACATCAACATTTATTCTTTTCACTTCAGCAAAACTAACTAAAATGATTATAATTTTGTATATTTTTTCTTGACATCAGGGAGCAATGTTTTACAATACAGAAAAGAAAAAGAATGTTAGAATATTTTAGAATTTTTATGCACACCAGGAAATCAATCTTTACTGTTTACAGGGGGAAGGGGAGGGGGGTAATTGAAACCTTTATGATTAAATATAAATATTGCAAACATTAAAAACAAATTATATGCAGATTTTATGAAAAATTGTATAACCACAAAGAAAAAATGAAACTAGAAACTACTTAAGCACTTTTGTGTTAATCAACATATCTTTAAAAGTATGAACAGTACTCTTCAGTGGAGGGACGGACGGACGGACGGACGGACGGACATACATACATACATATATATATGGTAAAAAGGAAGGCTACACGAGAAGTGAAAATACAATGTTGCTATAATATTGGTTCATGAACATAAGAACAAAATGAAAGTGCAGGTCTAATGACCAATACATGAGAGTTCCCAAAGAAACAGCTCTAATGGGATGGATGTGTATTAATGATAATACTAAAATAATTTTTAATTGATCAATTAAAAATGATAAATTAAAATTATTTTTCACACATGAAAAATGCAAATCATATTCTATATGTACTCTTCAATATTTTAACTTACAAACAAAATTCAGTATTACTGCAAAAGTTTTCAAAAAAAATGGAAAGCAACAAACTTAACCTAGAATAATTACCTCTAGTGGAGTAAGATCATTGCTGTCAACATTTAATATTACGTGCTTCGTTCCTACAACTTGAACACTGGAGGTCACATGAACCTGGCGACAGTAACCACGCTGGGTGTCCTTTCCTCGGATCAAACGCCGTACAACATCACCTGGCATAAGCGAGCGATCTGCCAGCCCCACCTGTAATTATATACAGCAAAACAAATCTCTGAATCACTTACTAAGTAAAAAAATTCTATTACTAGCACAAAAAAATTTGATAACTAAATATGAATTGATCACATAAGGCTGACTTATGTGATAAATTTGTGTGATCATGAACTGAACTTATGTGATCAAACAGAAGGGAGCGGATTTCCAGTGGGAAAACACAACCTCTGCAATCGAAGGGGAAGGGGCAGTCCCCAAAGAAGGATCAAACACACCTGAAGAAGCACCACCTCCCCAGACTGCAAAATCTCCAGATACTGTACTGTAATTTAAAACTGGAGCAAAGACAATAGTAAGAGGGCCCCCTGAGCCCACTGAGTAACACTGGCCAAACCTGGGAATTGAGATAAAGGAACAAATTTGGATCAAGCAGAAAGCACCAACTGCTCCAAGTCCTGGTCCTGAAATGAGAAAGTGGCAGACCCTAGGGAAACCACAACCTACAAATGCAGACAAACCTGGCCTGTAAAACCGCAGCCACCTGAATAGCCGAGTCACTACAAGAAAGCTTGGTTAAAAGGGAGGCCCAATGGCCACAAATTTCTCAGGCCTCAAAGTGGAATATATCCTCCACATAATAGGCAGCAAGGCAGAAGCACTATGAATGGCCAACAAAGTACATCAACACTAAGGCACGTCTTTTAAAGTCACCCTGCGAGGGCAGAACCGGAGGCAAAGTTCATAATAAACTCTCCAAAAACTGTAAAGGACTTTCCAGGTCCCAAAGGATAGACCAAGCAGGAGCACTGGGCACAAGTGCCACTCGCCTAATTAACAAACACTGAAAACAGCCTAGGGTAAAATGAGGCTGTAAAGTGGCATCCCATAAAATAAGCATGCAAACACCTGTGCTACAATCAAAAGATAATCAGACTGCCCAAAACTCAGAGAGGTAAAAATCCAGTCTACTGCCAAGGGCAAGACTTTTGAGAGTTCCCTAAGACTTCTGTATGTGGTAATTACCCTGCAAGCACATAATCTAACAGTCTCTATGATTCCCTTGTTACAACTTGTAATAAAGTTGTTACATCTTATTTTAACGTTTTTATGATGTATTAGAACACTGCTACAACTTGCTATACTGGTTGGTACAATTGTTAGACAGTATTAAACCTTGTTTGAACGTTGTAGCAACATCGTAGTTTCGTCGTATGTTTGTCAAGTATGTCTTCCCGAACTCTTTTTTTTCTTCAGCAACATGAGATCAATTCACATAGAGTTTCTTCATAACTCATACCTTGTAGTTCTGAGACTAGTCTGGTAGCATACCTTTGAACTTTCTCCAACTTCGTCGTTTAAAGATCAAACCATTGTTTTATTCATCGGTGAGATCATGTATGACATGAACAAATAAAGACCATGCAAATTTGTATTATTATATGGAATATATCTGCATTGATGTAGTACATAAAAGAATCTAGACAATCACTAACCTATATTAGTCCAAGAGAAAATACATTATTTGGATACAACATAATATGAAACAAAAAATATTCAGCCCCAAAACAGAGCAAAAGCTTCTGAACTAAAAGTTGTGCCATTTTTATGACAAATCCTGCATGGTTTGTACCAAGTTTTGGACCCTACTATATTTTACCAGAACCCTGAATTTACCTGAAGGCCACCATCTTTCTAGTGGCCTCAACTGGGACAGAATGACTGTGGCTTGTCAAAGGAGGGCCCCCTATCCCCATTGTTCTTGATTTTTCCAACTGGATTTTGAACAAGAGTAATGTCTTGGCCTATGTGGCTTCAGCGGTAAGCCGTTCCATGGATTTATAACTATGGGTAAAAAAGCATATGCTGTTCTCTCTCATACATTGTGGCTTGTTGAACTTAAAGGTGTTGCTCCAAGACTGTCACACTTCAACTACTGCAGTGCTAATTTCTGATAGTCTTGCATAAGGATTATTTTAAGTACAAAAGTAAAGGTGAAACCCATAACACACACTTCACCGCACTAGTTAACAGATATATGTTGCAGTCTGCGAATATACCAATCACACCAAGCTCATTATCCAGTCAATAGTGTCAGGAAATTTAGCGAAGTTTAATTTATTTCAAGTATCACAAACATGCCTAAAACTAAATATAAATACTAATATACTTATACCAAGCTTGCCCCAATAATAAGCGGGTCGTGTTAAGGGCATTAAGAGGTGTAATAGAGTGTGTGTATCTTACCTTCCTCTCAGGCAGAACCTGCTCCTCTCCCTTGGGGTACCACGCCACACGAATACTGCCCTTTGTCACCTTATACTCCTCATCTAAGTCAGATTCCTCATCACTCGACACAAATTCGGCATTTTCCAGCACCATTCCAAGTTCCAGGTTCCCCTTTTTGTTAAATCTATAGACCTCATCCTCGTAAAAGTATTGATACTCCTGCGCCATGTTGGACTCAGTTGTGTCCAGACAACTGAGCGCTTCACCACCTGCTGACTATCACTTTAAATTGGCTATTGATACAAAAAAAACTTTATGTAAAAATTCTTTGCGTTTTCCAAATACTAGGATTTTCGTGAGGCTATGAACATAATAAAGAACTTATGCAAGAGAGGTGACTATGGGGTCTCGCTAGCAGTGTCGCAGCAGACGACAGCAGCAGGTGACAGAAGCAGCAGCAGCAGCAGCAGTAGCAGTGGTCTAACTGGCTCGACAAGTTCATTGTTTGCTAGCACAGCATATGTCGCCTCAACACCTATGATTTCCCTCCAGTACACTTCATCAATATCTCTCCAAACACACTCCACTTTCCTCAACACTCGAGCTTCATTATCTCCTCAAATACACCCCAATTTTCCCATTTCTTACATAATATTTCCCATTTATTACACATATATTTATTATTACGCCTACCATACTTTATCATTATCTCTCCAATACACATCCACACGTCATCATTATCTCTTCAATACACATCCACACGTCATTACTATCTCCAATACACATCCACACGTCATTACTATCTCCAATACACATCCACACGTCATCACTATCTCCAATACACATCCACACGTCATCACTATCTCTCCAATACACATCCACACGTCATCACTATCCAATACACATCCACACGTCATCACTATCCAATACACATCCACACGTCATCACTATCTCTCCAATACACATCCACACGTCATCACTATCTCTCCAATACACATCCACACGTCATCACTATCTCTCCAATACACATCCACACGTCATTAGTATCTCTCCAATACACACCCACACGTCATTACTATCTCTCCAATACACATCCACACGTCATTACTATCTCTCCAATACACCCCACCACTCGTCATTACTATGTGTAAAAATACACTCCACTACACGTCATTATACTATCCCTCCAAATGCACCCCACCACACGTTAAGATGAGAGAAAGAAAGAAGCAGAAAAAGGGAGAAAGAAGTGCGTGAAGGAGAGGGAAAGAGACGAAGAAGAGAGAGAAGAAGAATGAGATATAAGAAGAAGAGAGAGAGAGAGAGAGAAGGGGGAGGAGAGAGAGAGAGAGGGGGGAGAGTGAATGGAGAGAAGAGAGAGAGAGAGAGAAGAGAAAAAGACAAGAGAAACAAAAGAGAGAAGAGAGTGAAAGAGAAGAAAAGAGTGAAAGAGAAGAAAAGAGTGAAAGAGAGAGAAGAAAAGAGTGAAAGAGAGAGGAGAGAGAGAGAGAGAGAGAGAGAGAAGAAGAAGAGAGAGATAGCAAGATGGGAGAGAGAAAGAGAAAAGGAGAGATAGAGGAAGAGAGAGAAAGAAAGAAAAAGAGAAGAGAGAGAGAGGCTAATTCAACTTCATGACAAGAGGACACAGATTCAAGCTAAAGAAACAGAGGTGCCAAAAATATTAGAAAGTTTTCTTTTGCAGAATGGTAGACGGTTGGAACAAGTTAAGTGAGAAGATGGTGGAGGCCAAACCGTCAGTACAGTACTGTACTGTAGTTTCAAAGCGTTATGCGACAAAGAGTACTGGGAAGATGGGCCACCACGAGCTTGGCTCTCATCCTGTAACTACACTTAGATAATTTCACTGCCCCCATCCAGTGTCACCCCGCATTTACCACCTACAGTTTACAAACTTACCTCATTTCTCCAGTCAGATTCATTTCTGTTTAGCAAAACCGATTTTTTTCATGTTTTAATCATTTCATCCACTCTAGTATTTTATCATTTATTCCATGTGCCTGTAATTTCCTTGGTAGTACTTCATGTGGTACCTTATGAAAAGCTTCAGCAAAGTCCATGTATCCTACATAATTATTTACTCATGGTCATTAGTTACCAAAATTTATAACTTATACCTTACATCCTTTAACCATTGTTAATTTAAAAATACCCATGATTATTATAATAAAATTTGTGTATCAAATTCTATTCTGCATTTCATTGAGCCCATAAATATTATTTTTAAATCATAAATTCAAGTTATATTCTAAAGTCCTTAAATTCTCTGCAAAATTAATACAGTACTGTATATGACACAATGATAATAATTCTTAGCATTATTGCATAATCATAGCTCATAGTTTCAAGATTTTCCTAAAACCTGTGCATACTCATGCATGCACAGGTATACATGAGTGTATACTCAGTGTAATTATCTGTGCATACTCATGTATGCACAGGTAATTACACTAGCAAATGCCTAGTAAAAAAAAAAAATATTCCAATAATACACATGCAAACTCTGTAAGCTGACTACAGTACTGTATATTTTTTGCTACTAAAATCTATCTCTGGGTGTAAGGTTCAAACTTTTGGCATGTTGGTTTTTCCCACTGACTCCCAGTATTATGCCTATGTCCTTGTTCAGTTTAGCTCATTTATTATGCACCCCATACCCTTCCTGTAGGCGGTAGTGGAAAAGCTTTCAGAAATGGGTAGCATCGGTAATGTGATTCTGACACTGCAGTGGATCACTCTATCAAAGGAAGCAATCAAATACAATACATTATCTTAAAGATCTTTTATTATTACTGGAAACTAATAATTTTATTTTTTATTTGAATGACAGTCTGTCAACAAAGATAATAGAGTACAGTATGTACAAAATTTTTATGAAATATTGTATAGCATAAGACTGTCTGTTAAGAACACATGCAAACAATATTCAACACATAAAATCAATTAAGGCAACAAATCTAATTACAGTATACATGGTATTTGGAATGAGGTGGTGCAGTGGATATGTACATAGTCAGTCAGATAACACCATTATCTCTAGATAGTTAATGGTTGGGTGATGAATCGGGACCTCGATGAGCCTAACAAAGTTTGTCACTGACAATGGTACACCATTATCATAAACTTAGAAATACTGTGACAAGGGAACAGGACTCTTTAACAATTTATAAAATTAAATAATTAAATGACAAACATGATTAAATCTATAATCATAACAAACAATTTACATATGTAGCCTATGGCTGTAAACAGTACATACATATACTGCATATGATAAAAGGCAGTCATTGAAGCCCAAGCTTTTACAATGAGGAGTTTTAACCATGATACAATATATTGGATGAATCATTATGATATTAATCCTGACTAATTCCTTAAAAGTTCCAACATAATACATACTGAGACAACAGCTTCAAGCTCAAATGGCCATAATTTAGGACAGATTTTGTAATACCCAAAGGGTAATAAACTCTCTAAATCACTTGCCCTCCAAAGCCATAAATGCCAAGACATTGCTTCCGTTCAAAATTCAACATAAAAAAATCTTCAGGAATAATGGGAGGGCCCTTTAATAAGTTGCTGGCTTCCTATCCCCGTTGCCCATTGAGCCCACTAGATATGGTGGCCCTCAGGTAAATTTAGTCATGTAAATGCGCGCACACACATACACACACACACATGAACATTAAAAGGAAAACAAAGAAAAAAAAGAGGCGATTTGAAATGCAAGACAGCACATTTTACTTTTTTGTATGTTGCTTAGCATGTCAAATTTCTTTCTAATTAAGACATTGATATTGCTGCTATAGAAGTATAGTACAGTAATATCATTTGGTGATTAACAAGAGACCAGAAGTTATGCTGTCTAACTCATATGGTAAAAGGCAAGAACCAAGTTTTCATTACACTAAATGTCTATTGAATTAGCAGTCCATAACAGCAAATTGGTACCCAGGAGTTAGGTAATTATTGTGGGTTACATCCATAAGAAGTTGCCCTGGAGCCAAAATTTGCCTACCAGATTATTTATGTTGCCCACTGTTATATGTGGCCATGAAGAATTTAATATTTTATCTTAAGAAGGTTCATTATATGGGAGGAGGCCACACATAGCCGAAATACCAGCTCATCACCTTTTGACCTGGCCTTGTGAATACCCAAAGTATGGTTGTCCACAGGGATTAGGATTATGGATTAAGTAAAAAGAGGTCAGTAAACTCTTATCTAAGAAACCATTCTTGACCATATGACATGGATGGCTACACCCAACACTTTAATATCATGTCCCACACTGACCTGGGTGCCAGCATCAACACTCGAGAAGCTCAGTGGTTTTTGAGAATTTGTACTCGTGTGCAAATTCAATATTTGTGCTGGGAGTACAAATATGTGCCCTCAGACCATAATGTTTAAGTGAAAATGGGTGAATCTAAGAGGAAGAAAGCAGAATATGGAATATACAACATGGAAGGGATGGGAACTATCATGAGAAAGAGTCAAGCCATTACAACTACCTATATAACACTTGGAAAGGATAAGGATAAGGACATGGGATGGAACATGGAAAGGAATGGAGTCCAACCACTTGGACAGCCAGGGATTGAATGCCAACCATCTAAGTGGGCGGGCACCACTTGGATGGTCAGTGTTCCAAGTGGTGCCCGACTACTTAAATGTAAAGTTGTATCTTCCATATGCAAGCAGAATACGGAAGATACAACATGGAATGAACCCTTAATTAGTTTTTTGTTTACCAATGTGGATGGAAAAGCAGTGTACAGTACTTGATTTGCAACGGAAGTGTGAGAGTACTAAAGAAATACAATGTGAATTGCCATTTAGAAACCAAGCATAACAGTAAATATAAATATTATGCATTTACATTTTTTTATCAACTGTACACCAATCTATGATACATTTTTTGGATGCAAACTTACAAAATTACAGGTAATGTGGAATTAATATACTGTAAGGTAAAAACCATGAATAATTAAGAAAGTTTGTTCATAGTAACATTTAAGTCTGACCGCTGATACTGACTAGTATGCAACTGTGGGTATCAGGTTAATACAGTACTGATACATTGTATTCAAGCATATTCATATTGCTCTACTGTGGTTCTAATTTCATTGTATTAATCTTGTCACTTTTTATAGGAAGTGTACATCCCCCTGGCACAACCTGCCAGAAAAATATAGGTAAGCTTATCTGTAATAACATAGCACAAGTGATGACTCCCTAAAGCTATCATGGTCTAATTTGCTTTCATTCTCTATTTTGATCCTTAAATTTTCTGCTTATTTAACAGCCAAGAGTACATTTCAATTACCCAGCAGCATGACATCAAATCTTTGTAATCCTGATAACTTTCATAAGGCTAAATAAAGTACAGTAGTTATAAAATGAAGCATAATTCAATGGGAAAATATATAAAATCAATTACTAAACTGCTTAACAGTTTATATACAATAACAAAATAAAGTCACACTTAATGGCACAATCTAATGAACATTAACAGAGCTAAATTGGCTTCATAACTAAACATCTCAGGCTACATCTTTTCAGTTATATTATCTATATTAATCTTTAACATGATAATCCAGGTATGTATCACATTGTTATACTGTATATACTTATCAAGGATTTTTCAACCTTATTAATAAGGGGGTAACAAATGATTAAGAATTGAATTTAAATAGATTTTGAAGTTATACAGATAATATGCTGACTAGCTTTGGTTGCTCATGGAAGAAGTGCCAGGGTTATAATATAAATTACTTTAGCATTGTTATATAAGATAGCAGATGACAAGGCAGTTCCCTTTCTAGTGATGGCTTATTTTTTTCTATACGGTACAGCACTTTACTCTCTGCATCTGCCCTTTTTTTCTAACATGCTTCTATATATATGCATGCATCTCCCTTTTACACACTAACTTATATATGCTTACCAAAAGTTATTATAAATTGTATATACCTTCTTGCCTCCAATACAAATAACATCTTCACATTCAATCCTTTCACTGTCTTGATTACAAATTTTAATTTTAAATTATTGTGTATTCCATTCCTTAAATAATCACTATCCTGAGATTGATGTGCAAAATTTGTATTGGAATAAATTTTTTTCACACAAATACAGTATCAGTATACAGTACTATAATCATCTACTACCTCATATAACAATACTATAGTAATTTATATTATTACATGGAATAGGTAGCTAATGCAATTTGCAGAAAACAGTACTGTATTGTAATTTTTTAAATATTTACATGTTTATACAGTATTACACAAACTTCATACAGGCTGTCAACGGCACTTATATGATGAACATAATGTAAGAATAATTACAAATACTTTACAGTATACTGCCTGTAATTTGTAAAAGTTACACAACATAACATTATGTTGTGTTCATGAAGCTGGAGAATTAGCTGCTGATATTAAGGGAAATTTTAAACTTTTAAGACTTCTATGTATTATACACTGAAAATCAAGGAAATTTTTCCCACCAAGTTATAATAAAGGTGATTTTTCAACAGGCGTATATATTTTAATTTTTATTATAAATTAAAAAAAAAAAGGCAATTGGTTAATACAGGTAAACCATTATGAAAATTTTATGACAAACATTTCTGCTAATGCATCTACCCTTTATCACTTGTTTACTTGTTTTGAAATAACAATAAAATAATATCTTGACATGAAACATCTAGTTACAAATTAATACTTTATTATGGTTTATGATCAAGCTAATGTATACAAGGGATAATGAGCATAGGCTATTTTCCTGAGGAAAGTTAATTTTCTGTTTAAACTGCAACAAAAAAATTTCAAAATTAAAATTTTTTAATTTAGTGTATAATCTGATAACATGCATTAAAACCATTATTAGTTGATCAATAAAAATAAGATACAGCAATTACAATACTGTACTCTAATACATTTTTTGTAACTTTTAAAGTGCAAGTACAGTATATAAATTAATAAAAATAATTTGTAATCAACTGTTAAACTTAAAGGCTTAATTAATATTTGGAAAGCATTCTTACCCATTGGTAATAACAAACAGCTATTGTATAGCCTAGAGTATTAGAAACATTATATTTGTTTGAACTAAATGTAAGTGGTAATAAATGGCAAATGGATTTTAGAAGCATTCTTTAAGCTTCTACAATGATAAGCAGAATTTGTCATTGAATAGAACAATTTTTATCATCACCCTCAACAAATATTTCTTCACTAACACTGGCTTGAGGCGAGTCTTTATTAAGCACTTCTTTTAGGAATTCAGCTTGCGACATCCATCGTGTGACTTCTTCTCTAAGTAGGTCTTTCCTCCGTCCTTTTGGCTCACTTTGTAAGAGTTCTAACAACTTACCCAACGCGAGTTGATACTTTTCAAAAGCTATGGCATAGTTTCCTTCGCGTGTATATAACTCTCCTGATGCTGCAATTTCTATAGCACTGTGAATCTGTGGGGTTGTTGCCGTCATCCTCAAAAGTTCTTCACGATTTCCTCTGTACTCCGCATAACCAACAGATTCACGCATCTGGATTGTTGGAATCTTAATATTTTTTAAAGCATCACTTTCATTATTTATGATTTTCTTGAGGTCTTCAGTTCGATTCAAATACTCTGAAATCTTTCGTCGTAGAACAACTCGTTTACTTGCATTGCTCTCTACATGGAGTATTGGGACAAGGTACTGCAGTGCTTGACAATAGTGTCTGAAGATAAACAAAAGAATTAAAATTAAAAAGAAAAATCAGTGGCTTAAGCTTCATTACTAAGTTAACTGCACTTCTATGGCAGAACAATTTAAATGCAATCTTGAATGCTAAAATAGCAGTAACAAATAATTACAAAACTCTTAGGGTAATGACTTTGGCATAAAACAATCAGGAATCAATTACTGTACTGTATTTATTAAAATATCAAAATGGTACAGACTGCTCCAAGGTGCAAGTGCACCACACACACTATGATAAACGTTTAGGTATGGCAATGTATATACAAAGTGTATGAAAATTGGAGGAGGATTGGCTTTTATACCTATACTGTACAACTTCCATAAACTTGTTTAACTTTAACCCTTGAAGAATACAAGCTTCACAAGCACATATTTAAGTTTTACTGTACATTGTAGATGACAAAATAACACACATACTGTATAAAATACCACTGAAGAATTTCTTCTGAAGTTTAATTTCTGATACATAAACCAAATACTATACATATGTACAGTATTTATGTACACTATACTGTATGCTAAAAAAAAAATAACTGCAGGTCTCACAGTGTATTGAAATATAATGAATTAACATGCAGGCGATGAGTCACAATAACGTGGTTGAAGTATGTTGACCAGACCACACACTAGAAGTTGAAGGGACGACGACGTTTCGGTCCGTCCTGGACCATTCTCAAGTCGATTGTGAATTAACACTATTGACTTTTACTGATAGTGAAAAATAATAAATTATTTAAATTAGAAGATGTGTAAGTGAATTTCAAACCTGATTTAAATATTTTAATGCAAAAGGTAATTACATACATACATACCTAAAAGCTTGTTCATACTCCTGACATTCATCAAAATTTACTGCCATGGTGAGAAGATCAGTAGCCTTTGTCATATTTTCTGGACATGGTTTGTGTTCCAGATCAACAAAAGAATGAGAAAAGAATCTTTCAAAGTCAATTCTTTTGCTCACATCCCGCTCCAAGCAACTTTGTAATAGATTTCGGCACTCCTGAGAAATATTGGTTCCATAGGGCACATCAATAGGTTTGTCCTTTTTAATTTTTTCAATTAATTCATCCATTGTTTTAGAAGAATATGGTGCTTTTCCAAAGAGACATTCATACAGTATGACACCCACTGACCAGATATCCACTTTGGCATCATATTGCCTTTTGAGAACTATCTCGGGTGCCATGTAGAGTGGACTTCCTTTGATGGTGCAGTTAGTGTCATCTTCTGGCATGTGCTGAGCAAGTCCAAAATCTCCAATTTTAAGGACGGGATTATTTCTAGAAGTTAATAGAATATTTGAAGGTTTCAGATCAAAGTGGCTGACCTTTTTCTCTCTCATATACTTGAGAGCTGAAGCTAACTGCTGGAGAAACCTCTGGCATACAGTTTCAGACAGTCGCCTGCGAGACTTCACAAAATTTGAAAGATCTCCACCACTGCAGTATTCCATTATGATATATATAAATCTGTCATCCCAAATAAAGTCTTTCATTTCTACAATATGTTCATGTTTTAGCTCTTTCAGTATCTTAATTTCAGATATTAAGTTGTCAAGTGCTGTCTTTGACAGGTTTGACTTAAGGACACATTTTATAGCGGCCACCTCTCTTGTTTTTCCTTTCTTAAATGCTTTATACACATCAGCAAAGCTCCCAGAGCCAATTTTTTCAGCAAATATGTATTCTGGCACTTTAGGGGTACTTGTGGAGACAGCCATGACAGTATTACACCCTATATGAATTGGTTTACATGAAGCCTGAGAAATAGCTGCTTCTTTTCTTGATTTCTATACCTAGCTTTTGAAGGCCTTGTTGCTCATCCTCTTCGATGACAGGTTCAGTTCCCACGAAATGTGATGGTGGTGGTTGGCAATTTAAGAGCTACAACAAATTAGACTTTAAATTTCTTGAATAACGTCCGTGAATGTTGACGTAAATCAATGCCTTTCAAAGGAAAAATACGTGCTCGCGGCTGAAAATTTCAGAAGCTGCTCCTGCATGACAGCAACCTAACACCGTGTTTACCTCAGACAGTGTAGCCAACATCCTCGCTCAACAGTAGCGCACACTCGCTCGCCCCTTATTACATAATTAAAATTTGCTTTCTGGGCCAAATCAAAATGTAAATCAGAAGAAATCGTTCTCCAATAAATTAAATGTTAAGCTAACTACAATTCTGTGACAATTATATAGGCAATTGCTTCGATTCACTGCAAAAATTTTAATATCCCTAAACATGCTAAACATAAACCCTAATAAATCAAATATGTATTCGGGTAAAGTACATACATACTAGGTGAGTTAACAAACATAATGTTGGATTTATAGATAGAGCTAGTACATACAATGCCTAAAGCCACTATTACGCACAGCGTTTCGGGCAAGGTTTAGTTAGTTTAGTTCATTTATTATGCACCCCATACCCATCTTGTGGGCGGTAGTGGAAAGGGTTACAGAGGCACATAATGGGCTCAGGGACGGAACCCCACAATTCGGGCAAGGTGCGAAAAAAAACTTAAGACTAGAACTTAATACTAATTGAAATCAAAGCATATATTGAGTTGAAAAAAAGGCGATATGTGCGCCAAACGTCGTAACAATCCTGACTGTTGAATTGGAATGCCAAACGGCAGTATCAAAATCCAAGATCTCTTCCTTCTGCTTGGCCTTGAAGGAAGCCGGCCTCGTGTGAAAGAGTGCTATGACGAACTCTGTCAGGAACCCGTAGGTGCGGGACCGGGACGTCCACCTCCTGGGGCTCGTGCGGTGCTCTGCTTCAGGAGACTGTGGTCGTTCTTGCCCTTGATGGGATGGTTCTTTTCCGGCCCCGACCACGGCGGCCTCCGGGTATGGAGTCCCTGTGCCTTCTTTCTTAAATGATGATCATCCATCTTTCGCCTGAATCTTTTGTTGTGCCTTTTTTGACCAACCTTGAGGTCAACTCTGAAGCTCGCAGTTCCTGCGACGGCGCTGGAACCAATCGTATTGGCGTTTGCCTTTCCACTGGAGATTTTCGGCGCCTTGGAGAGGGGTGGGGGGACATGCTGCTTGGGTAACAGCGTTTCTGTATCAACCTACCCTGACTTTGCACCCTGGAGAGGCCTCCATAGCGCAACTTCATAGAGACTGATTGATGCCTACTACTACTATACTTTCCATCGCATGTATAACGAGGCCTCATTCAGCCTGTAAGGAAGGGTGGAAGCACAGGCCGGGGATACCAGAAGAACATACCCTTGGCTTCAGAATTCAGACAGTATAGGAGCGAGAGGAGGAAGGGAGTTGGTGGAGGTGTTGAGTTTAAGGCTTGTTAACTGTTGTGGAACTGAGGAAGGGGAGAAGAGTTTGGTAGAAGAGTGCAACTCATCGCATAAGTCATGTCAGAAAAGGAGGAAAGACGTTAGACACAGGGTGTCTTACCTCGGGGAAAGATATACAGGGTATTATGATCTCTTTTTAAAGGTGAGGATAACTTATTCAAAAATATAGTGCATGTGTGAGCAAGGGAAAGGGAATCACTGCAGTTGATTCAGTAATCATAGGGATAGCAACAATTGACCTAGAATGGTCAGGAATCATCACACAAGGTGCAAAAAGAACACCCAATTGCTACCACACTTTGACGTTCCATGCCCATTTCCAGTACCCGCTGCAAAAGTATGGAGCAGGCACATTCCTGAACAGAGCATCTGGCACCAGCAAGAATTACCATAGACCGGATCGACTATCGAAAGTGATCCTAACATCTCGAGGGATCGATGACAACCACGAGATGTGGCCGAATGAAGTATCAATCTGGAGGATACATTACTCTCAAAACCTTGGGTTTCAAGGATTTAATAAACATTTTCATATTTTACGAGCTATCCATGCCCGTGCCACCTCTTGAGTGGCTTAATCTTCATCAATTTTCGCGTTAGTCTTAAAAGGCCCGTGTTCCCAATCGCAACATGGGACGGAAGAATGACTACCGATATTGACATTTAACACTTTTGAAAACTAACTGGAATCTCACCAATGCAGGACAGAGCAGCTAGGTAAGTAATTATCATAAGGCACCAAGCTGGGAAGGGTATGTAGCAAGCAGCTAGGTCGTCTGCTACCTTCTTAGAAGGGGCTTCAATGGTGCGTGTGACAGCCCAGATGGGATTAAAGGTAACACTGACATCAGTCAACAAGGTGTCTGCAAATCACAGCAGGTAAGGTCATCATAAGATAAATATATAGGACACATAGTGGGGACAAACAGATCATAGGACAATGATGACTAAACCACACACTAGAAGATGAAGCAAGTAATTATCAAAAGAAGGCACCAAACCGGGAAGGCTATGTAGCACCATCAAATATGCGGAATAATCAGAGCGCTAAATATCACCAAGGATGCCAGTACGAGAACAGAAACGCACATGGCGAACAATATGAAAAGTATCCGATTCACCAATAATTCTATCAAGGGACATGTGACCACGAGGGACGGTCGGAAAGCAAGACAGATGCTCGTCCTGGAAGGCAGGACATTCAACAAGGATACGCACGACAGTAAGAGGGAACCAGAAGATGAAGTGACGATGTTTCGGTCCATTATCAAGTAGATTGTGGTAATGAACTTTTCAAGTCACAATCGACTTGATAATAGTTCAGGACGGACCGAAACGTCGTCTCTTCATCTTCTGGTGTGTGGTTTGGTCATCATATCTTTAGTCACGTTATTGTGACTCACCATCTGCAAGTCATGGTAAATAGTAGCAGCCGAAGGAAATGAAACTGTTCAATAGTGAGGATGGCACCATGGTCCCCACATTAGAGAGGGGTGGCAAAATGCAGTTGTAACAACCATAGACGTTGTTATTCCAAGAGACGAGGTAGTCATCATTTTTTTTTTTTTTGGGGGGGGGGGGTTCCACATGCATTCTGTTTAATAAAGTTTGGACCCTAAAGCCAAAGGATGCCACCTACAAGGACAGCAAGGGAGGCAGAGAATGGGTACATTGTCCCCCCACTTTTCAACAATGGAGTCCTACTACATCAAATAGTCTCAAATGCTACTGCGGACCTCTTTCACCCTCGTCCCAGCCCAGACATCGAAATGTACCTCCAAGATTGACCTCTCTGGCAGGTGGTTTGATTACATGAATGGGTACCCTACACTGTTCCTTCACTCATTCAATACCCTCAGAGGGGATAGAGGCAACTCCGAGTGAGCCCCCTTGGTTATAGATGAAAAAGTCTTGCCTGAAGATACAGCAGATTAATGAAAGTTTGAATACAAATTATCACCAATACACTTCATAACAATGGACACTTTAAAGCTTCCCTAAATAGAAACAGGTTTATATATACAGTACTGTTTTCATAGGAGGAATGAAACAAATTGCTCACGACAAAGCTCTTTATTTAATAATCCTTCAAAGTTCTAACTTTTCCTCACTACCAAACAGTGAATCTACAGTACAATTCCTCATTACACAAGTACAAAAATGATAAAAAAAAATTATATTATGTTGATCACGTAAATAACAGAGAAAGGGCAATGTAAAATTTTACTGCTTAGTCCATATGAAGTACTCTAGTATATACTGCAGTAATGACAAATACACAATTTTTATGTAAATCCAAATACCTCTATTCACACAAAAAATAAACAATAAAATAAAAGCCATACAGTTAAAATATGATTATTACATTGTTCTTTACAACTGTCCTTAACAATGCAAACAAGTCCCGTATTAAATTCCAGCACAGTACTAAACTCCAGTGTACTTTACCTTTTTTTAGACAAATTTTTAACAACCATTCACAAATCTTTAAAATAATCAATAAATTACATTAGGATATGCAAAACTGGAAGGATGACACTAACAGTTTCAACAAAACCTTACTACTATGTCCATTTAGTAATATTTTAAATAGAGCTCCTTTGTAATTTTACTATATTTTAGAAACAAAATAAATAAGTAAGTAATTATCAAAAGAAGGCACCAAACCGGGAAGGCTATGTAGCACCATCAAATGTGCGGAATAATCAGAGGGCGCTAAGTATCACCAAAGATGCCAATACGAGAACAAAAACGCATAAGGCGACCGATATCGAAAGTATCCGAGTTACCAAGAATTCTATTGAACAAAATAAATAAATGTCTGCACCAGAGTACAAATATTGATATGAGAAACTTGTAAAACCACAGCATGTACAACTATAATAAAAGCTGGATGATTCAAGGCATTATCTACTCGATGAGAGCAATGAATACTGTACAGAAATTACAAAGTGATAAATACTTTACATTTATGCACAATGGATTCAACTAAAAATGTAATTTAGTATTCAAGAGTCACTTACTAATTTACATTATGTATTTTGTGTTTAATAACCACTATGTACACAATTAAAAATAAAAAAAAAACTGAACACATGTACATAGGCCAAAAATATAATGTACATCTATACAGTATAGCATTTAAACCTGTTTCTGGCAGAGTCTTGTAGCCAGAGGTAATTGCTGGCTACTGGTGCACCATAATTTTATTGTATAGCATGCAATTAAAAAACTACATTTTCTTCTATATATCAAGTCGTGATCTCACCATTATATGCCTTGGGTTTTTGCTAACTTCATTACAACCATATTGATTTATTATAACCAATATTACAGCATTTTCATAAAGACCAAGCAGTAGCTAAAATTGCCAAATGATGACAACCAAATTAGCCCAGGGATCAACATATGATTAACCTTTAAAATGGTTAAATATCATATGGTCACAGTTACTCAAATCATTTGCACCCTTTTCATGATTAAAAACAACTACAGCTCAATGAAATCACACCCATGTTTAAGTCACAATCATATTTCTATCGCCTACTAGTACCACCAAAACCTGATGCTCCACGAGTTCCTGTAGAGCCACCACCACCACCACTATGATGGCTACTAGAGAAGCCTCCTCCATGGCTTCCCCAACCTGATGACCAAGGCCTTTGTTGTCTATAACCTCCATTGTTGCCTCTGACACCAAACATGTATCCAAGTAAGCCACCAGTAGCAGCACCCGTCCAGAAACCTCCAGCACCACCACTACCTGTTGCAGCTCCAGATGTGCGGTTCCTGCAAGAAGCATCATCTCTGTAGCCTGGAGGAGGTGGGGCTGAAGGTGCAGTTCCACCAGAACCAAACCACCCATATCCACCACCACCACCACCACCTGCTGGGTAATCATCATTTGTGTTACTGTAGGCATCCTGGCCAATGTTCCGTGAAGATCGGAAACAAGATACATAGAAAGCCCAACACATAAGAGCAAATGCAATTAGTACAATAATATTAGCAAAGATGGTTGAATATGATGATTTTTCAGTTCCATAGGCTTGATGAGAGTTTCCATATCCTGTATTTTGGTCACCATAATAATTGTGATAACCCTGCTTCTGATTGAGGCCTTCCTTGGTGTAGTCTATTGAATATCTCAGGCCACATGATCCTTTCAAGATAAAGGGGTCATCTTTGTGACTGTAACCCTCACACGAGACCTCAATTTCACCAAACCTGTTTAAGAAAATAATATTAATTAAGGTCCTAGAATAATCTAATTATCAGTAACAAATTCAACAGCTACACGAATGGAAAAACCAAGTAGCTTAATACTGTATTCAATAAATAAGAATATTTATTTATAGAGAATGTCCACTGCCCTTCATCTTTTATGAAGAGGTAGACTTGCATACATTATTATTACTGCTGTTTTCTTACCATCTGGAGATCTCTTTAGCATTATAGTGCATCAATTTACTCCATTTATTCTTGCCTTTTTAATCATCCTCCCTAATTTTCCATACAGTATTTTCATGCTTTGCAAAATTTCTCTTTGATAATCTGAAAAATCGTTACACTTGTATTTTTTTCCTTAACTAGTGCTATTCTGAATAATTGCAAGGTCAGTTTAAACAAATACACACACATTTGACCAAATTACTTGCTATAGACATTGCATTAAACACATGCCAGTTTTTTTTAATCTCAAAAACTGTAATTTTCATAGGATATATGTATACTCAAATGCAACCATGGCATTTAAATAGACTGCAATTATGTTTTTATTTCCAAAAAGACAGTAACTTGCCTGAATGCATTGTCCATGTCAGTCTTGCACTCCCACTGTACATCAAGTCCATCCCATCCCCGGTTGTAACATTGCACCACACGGGGATGGAAGGCATCACATGGTGCAGTACCTCCTTTGACACACATTAACTGTGGAACTGGTGAGGAGCGCTTTCCTGCATTATAAAAAATATTTACATTTTATAGTACTGTATAATAATTTGTACTTCAAAAATCCACCATAGTTCAAAACTATAAAATAATTTTGTAAGAACATTTTTTCCAGCAATGTAAAATATACAAAAAATATATAATTGCAGTAACATTAGAATTGAGAGAGACCAACCTTTAGTCATCTTGCCATTATATAATGTGAGTACCTCTACATCTTTTAACAAAATACTTTCATCACTGCTACCCCAAGCAGCTGTTGCAGGCACTGTGCATAACACTATGAAGAATAGTCCTAAAGCTACCAACATTCTTTTCTCAGCCATTGTACGTGTGCAGTCAGAGCTGAAAACAAAAAATAAAATTAGATATCGTTTCTCATTAAATTGTGCAGTGGCAGATAAGAGGTTACAAGATGATCAGGATTTACTTATACTGTAACTGTTTTTGGTAACACAGAATGATGACTAAATATATATTAATGTAACTTTGTTACAGAGGTTGGTGATGAATAATATGTAAAAGTTTTGGCAGGATAAGCATAATGTGCTACTGTTGAATGCAGGTAGCAGTAGAGCTGGCAACGTCTTATTAGGCTATTCATCTATATCCAGTGTCATTCTTGACCACCAATGGAGTGAGACATGATGTTATGATTTTGGCAGCTTGTATTCCTGTTTACCCAACCTCATTCAAGGGCCATGTTGCTTGTAAACTAGCTGATGGAAAGCATGCCTGGTATCTGTTGCATGTCATTAGTATGTCGTGGAATTCCTAGGAATATACTGAAGAAGTCATTAGTGTTCTGCAAGATTCCTGGAAAAGTGGAATTCTTGGAGGATAATTTAAATAGCTGCTTTTTTATCTCTAATGTAGTTTACTACAAAATTAATAAATCTGAAAAGTGAAGAGTAATGAAACTAGGTAAAGGGCGGAGGAGGCTGGACATGAGGTATCAAATGGGAAAAAATCCTTCAGGAATCGGGTCTAGAAAAAGAGCTAGGAGTCAATATCATACTGACCTGTCTCTTGGAGCCAACATCGAAAAAATACCTTCAGCAGCATATACTAGGTTAGCCAAAATAGGAACCGCCTTTAGAAATTTGTGTAATAATTCAGAACCTTTGTATATCACGTCAGACCAATCCTTCAGTATGCCGTGGAGCCATATCCAGTCAGGCACAAGACGGTTAAAAAAAAAAAAAAAAAAAGGCATGCCATCAGACTAGTCCCAGGACCGAGAGGTATGAGTTACAAGGAAAGACTACAGGAATTAAATCTGATGTCACTGGAAGACTAAGAGTTAGGGATTACCTCAGACAAGATTCAAGAGAATTTATAGAAAAGACAAAGCTAGATTATTTAGCATAGGAGGTACAGTACTCTACTTGCACAAGGGAGGACAAGTGGAAACCAAGTACAGTACCCAAATGAACTACATACAATAAAAACAAAAATTTAAGTGTCACAGTACTCAAATGGAATGCACTAAGAATGAGGTAGTGGAGGCAGGCTCTATACACAGTTTCGAATGTAGATATGGAGCTCAATTTTTTGTTGGTCTTTGAGCCCTTTGCACTAAGTAGCTACTTTTTTATTTTTTCAAGATTGTTGGGGGTCTTCAGAAATATAATGTCAATCAATTTTTGTATTTTCAGTAAATTTGCATTGTGTATGCCTTATTTTCTTTATTAAAACTGATTGCGTATGAATGAATACATGCTAAATGATAGGTGTAATTGAATATTTCTTAACAGCAGATGCATGTTTAAGTTGGTGAAGCCAGAGTTGCCAACTGTCAAGTGCACAATGATACACTTATATTTATCTTGACCCATTAATATTTGCCATCAATGTCATATTTCATGTATTTTTTCCATGTTAATGAACTTTGACTAATTTGGAAATTTCTAGGTAATTTACAGTAATTTTACTGTATTTTGGGTAGACTGGAATTCTTCAATTGATCAAGTTTAAAATAGTGAATTATTAGGAGCAAGTTAAACAGAAGCCAAATATACATTCACCAATGTGATTTAAATGCTATGTGAATTAGTAGCTTTATATAAATTATCTTGTGTACTTCTCAAGATTGCTATTATAAAAGCAATCATGTTTCAAATGTATTTAATATCTGCTAAAGTAGAAAACCTAACTATGCATTTATCATCATTGAAAGAGACAGAGAAACAGAATATACAATGAACATTTATTAATGCATGCTAATTCTGACTATTAAGTTAAAGAAACTTGCAAAAGCACTAGTTTTAAGCCTTACCATATTAAATTAAACTTTCATATCCTAATTATTTTTACATTATTCCTGAAACACTATGTACTGTACTAGGTAAACTACATTAAGTTTGGGGCTTTATGTACTGTACTTTTCATTCCTATTGTTACGAACCCGGATCCAGCGTCCGAGCGTGGAGCAGTGACAAACACGCCATCTGTGGGTCAGCTCCCGAAACCCCCGCCAAACGAACGACGACACCTAGTGAGGACAGCGTGTACTGGCCTCGAGGACCAGTTTCCAGTCTGGTTCAGCGCTCAACACCGCCGCTCCTGACCTCTGGTGAGGTGGTGCTCCGACGACAGCGCCATCTATGGACTGGATACGTCAGGTGTTAGTATCTGAGCCTGTGAGTGTGGAGTATTAGTGTCCCGGTTATTAATGACGTGTCTGCTTACAGAGCCGACCTGGGACCACTGTGTTGAAGGTGGAGTCAGTCTACCCGAGGCAGCCAGTCTCCATACTGTGAAGTTTGCTGCAGCTGTTGTGACGTCGTCCCCCCGGAAGAACACTGTGGTGTGTTAAGCCTGCCAACGGAGTGGCTGTGAAAGGATTTACCCGGGACCGACGGTTGGAGACGATAATCCACTGGGGTATTGAGGACAGGAGGGTGATTGGTGATATCACACGAGACTCCTGTCTAGGGCGTACCCCTTTTATCGTTCGTGGAGTGGCCGTACCAGCCTTGGTGGCTCAGTACCTGCCAGCAGACCTGCTGGACGTGTGGTTGACGGCCTCCACGACGGTGCCCCCAGTGGACCTGTGTTGTGGCTGACCTGTGGCCAGGGTAGACTCGGCGTTCTCAGAGGACACGTCTTGAGGCCACGAAGAAAGCACCGCGGACTCAGCACCTAGCTTCGAGGATCCATAGTCTCCAGCAGAAGACTACAGTGTTGATCCCCTTTGTAAAGTGTTAATACCCTCCCCTTGTGCACGTTTTACCTTTATATATTTAATTGGTGTTGGTGAATATTATATTATATTAAGTTCTTAGCCTTCTTTCCATACTCCCTTTAAGTTACTTGCGTCACGGATCGCATCCCTTGAAAGCCTCTACTGGCTTGGGGTCGGATATATATATCTTCCTCTAACGACATCAGAGTAAGAACCCCGTTGCGTCCCGAGAGGGCCGTAACACCTATGAATTCTTCACTCTTCGTGTATCACATGTATGTACTCTTGCATAAATAATAATAATATTGAAGCATGAACTCTAAAAGAACTCGAGTTACTGACACTTAATAGCCAGAAAGCACATCTTAAAAGAGTTGTGATATGTATGGAATTGAGAACTATATGTACGGGCAGCACAAGACAATAATTATAATAATTCATTGTGTCGGGGGACAGGAGTTCTTGATTGTGCATCGAGAACGAACCTGACTGTACTACCGGGACCCTAAACATGTGTAAACAGTCTATACACATCCACTAGAGTGTGATATTGTAATTGCTAGAATTAGGCTGGGAAATTGATATATATGGCAGGTGGCTGCTGGTAATGAATCCCCCCAATGGTGAACATTCCAATTGTAAACTATGTGAACAAGAGCTATGACATGATCTCCAACACTATCTGTGATTGCCCTGTTAATAGTGATTTCAGACCAAATGGTATGAAGTACTTTGAGCTGTGTAACTACTTCATACACTCACGAATATTGGAAGATATTCTTGTGCTGTAACCGTGTGTGCTAGTACAGACTAATAGATCAACCTCTCATTTCATGTTCTCCTCCCCCCAATGCCATCAGCAGCACATTGCTGTGTATACCCAAGCTTGTTAATAAATAATAATAATAATAAAAACTTATGGTGCGAGGATTTTTCAGTTTACCTGATATATTGTCACTTTCTGAAGCACCGTCTTTACACTAACCCTCAACTTGATATCCTGGCCACCGGTATTTCAATGATGTTTTAGCGTAATCTTCAAGTAATCACAAGTTATCCAGCGCCCCTCAACCACAATGATCACAGGAGACTATAGTTCATACCAAGAAATCGAGTCAGCTGATGCAAACGACAACAAACTGACGTCACATTGACGTACTGAAACTAGTCGACCTCTGATTGGCTGTTGATGGGTGACTTCCAAAAATCCAGAGGATTCTCCTTAGACTTTATATAGACCTAAATTCAAATTCAAATATTTTTTTTTTATTCAGGTAAAGTACATACATACAAGGTGAGATACAAAACGTTGATAGAATTATAGATAGAGCTAGTAAATACAAAAAAGAAGAAAACTGCAATATGTAGGGGAATACAGAGAGGTATTCCATCAGAGGGACATGACCAGGGACGAGATAATGTACTCAGCAGTTGTAAAAAAAAAAAAAACGCAGGGGAGGGAAGGGAGCCAGGGAACCTCAGCCTCCAACCCGGCAATTGCAGAGGGGAGTGGAGAATCCCATACCAGTAATTCATGAACCCCAGAGGGGACTGCAACACCCCCACCTGCCACCACATAGGATCCTTCCCCCACACAATGCTCACCATACCACCCAAATCCTCCCTCCTCCCTCACCCCAAGCACCCCCTCCCCCCTGCCTCTCCATTCCCTGGTCTTCTTCCTGCCCCAAGGCAGACCCAGGAAAGATCTAGGCCTGTCATCCCCCACCCCACTTCTTCCCAAACCCTTGGTAACTACCCCACAGGAGGACAAGCTTTCACCCAAAGCACCCCCTACCTCCTTTCTCTGAACACCCCCGGTCCCCCCACCCTTTGGACTTCTTCCTGTCCCAAGCAGGCCCAGGCAAGATCTAAGCTCTCCATCCCCCCACCCCACCTCCCTCCAAACCTCTAGTAACAGGAGGATGAGCCAACCCAAGTAGCCCTGCCCATGAAACGGCTTCCTACACCAGTGGGAAGTGTGTGTGTGTAATAATAGATATAGGAAAGTGAGCTTCATGGTAATGTCCTCAAACATCGATGGAATTACTAACAAAGCAAGTGAACTGACCGAAAGGTCGCAGGAAGAAAACCCAGATGTAATAAGACTCGGAAACAAAATTGTCAGGCGTCATAACAAATGCAGTGTTTCCACAGGACTACTATATAGTAAGGAAACAGAGGAAAGGGAGAGGAGTGGCCCAAAGTTCTCATAGGAGCTTGAGGTGTGCTGATGAGAACCTCTTTGCTCCTTCGTTTCTGACTGGATGACAAGGAAAACCATGGGCAAGTTGTCAAGCCAGTCGTTGGTGTGTGTTGCTAGTGTGACTGAACCTTAAGCAGAGCCTTAAGCTGGCGGCGGAACTGTTCACCATGTCACTGATATGGTCATACTGACATAGGGATTTCTTTTGGTAATAACTTGCTAGACTGTGCTGTGTGAAGCAGGTACTGCCATGGTGATCGTGCAAAGCAGGAGCTATAGTGATAGCCTTGTGAGGTGGATCGTGAGGCAGGTAGGTGTGGTGGTAACTGTGTGAGGCAGGTGCTGGCGGGTAGGTGTGGTGGTAGCTATGTGAGGCAGGTGCTGGCGGGTAGGTGTGGTGGTAGCTGTGTGAGGCAGGTGCTGGCGGGTAGGTGTGGTGGTAGCTGTGTGAGGCAGGTGCTGGCGGGTAGGTGTGGTGGTAGCTGTGTGAGGCAGGTGCTGGCGGGTAGGTGTGGTGGTAGCTGTGTGAGGCAGGTGCTGGCGGGTAGGTGTGGTGGTAGCTGTGTGAGGCAGGTGCTGGCGGGTAGGTGTGGTGGTAGCTGTGTGAGGCAGGTGCTGGCGGGTAGGTGTGGTGGTAGCTGTGCGAGGCAGGTGCTGGCGGGTAGGTGTGGTGGTAGCTGTGCGAGGCAGGTGCTGACGGGTAGGTGTGGTGGTAGCTGTGTGAGGCAGGTGCTGGCGGGTAGGTGTGGTGGTAGCTATGTGAGGCAGGTGCTGGCGGGTAGGTGTGGTGGTAGCTGTGTGAGGCAGGTGCTGGCGGGTAGGTGTGGTGGTAGCCGTGTGAGGCAGGTGCTGGCGGGTAGGTGTGGTGGACATATTAGGCGAGGAAGGAGGAGTAGGACCATCACGCCACAAGGTCGACACCTGGCTTCAACTAAACCAATCAACAAATGGATTTAGTCTTGTTCTTTCCTTATCTTGCAGAGACTATGTCGTTATAACCACAATACATTATGTAGATTTAACACGTTATATTAATAAGTGAAAATAATAAATATATAATAATTAAAACAGTTTTAGGCAGAACAACAAAAACGCCCACAGGCATCTCCCGGGGTTCGTATCCCGTTAATCGTTGATGCCGTGGTGAGCCGATCATATACCGTGAACATCATTTATTCATATATCACTCAAAAACAAATGTATATGGAGATAAAGAAATTTTCCTTACGAGAAAATAATATATATTTTTATTTATTATTATTTGTAACGAGAATACTGTACATATTTCCCAACCACTATCTTGACAGCGAGTTCAAAATATTCGCTATCCGATGTAAGTAAGTAAGTAATTATCAAAGAAGGCACCAAACCGGGAAGGCTATGTAGCACCATCAAATACGCAAAATAATCAGAGGGCGCTAAATATCACCAAGGATGCCAGAGAACAAAAACGCATAAGGCGAACGATATCAAAAGTATCCGAGTCACCAAGAATTCTATCGAGGGACAGGTGACCGCGAGGGGCGGTCGCACACACGCTCGTCCTGGAAGTCAGGACATTCAAGAAGGACATGCACGACCGTAAGAGGGACAATGCAACTAGGACAATAAGGAGCAGGGCGGCGCTCCATCAAGTGACCATGGGTTAAGCGAGTATGGCCAATACGCAACCTCGCTAGAGCTGTTTCCCACCGCCGGTTACGGTGGAAGGAGGACGGCCACGAGGAAACACAACATTTAAGAGTACGTAGCTTGTTACCAGTAACAGACAACCAAGAAGCCTGCCAACGGGTAAGGACTGAGGAATGGATAACCGGGTAAAAGTCGGAATATGGAATGCCTTTACGAGAGATGGGACAAGAGCGGACAGCTTCCTTAGCGGCAGCATCCGCACGCTCATTTAAAGACACGCCAATATGGCTGGGAACCCAACAAAACTCAACCGACGTAAATTTACTGTGAACGAGAAACAGCCAATGCTGGATCTCGACAACTACCGGATGAACTGGATTAAAGCACCCGAGAGCCATGAGGGCACTACGAGAGTCAACAACAACCACAAAGGAAGACTGACAACGAGAAAGCAGGAGACGAAGAGCATAGAGAATAGCATAAAGTTCCGCTGTAAAGATGCTAGTCTCCGGAGGCAAGCGACACATATAAGTGCGATCAGGAAAAACAACAGAGTAGCCAACACCGTCCGCTGACTTAGACCCATCGGTGAAGACAGAAACGGAGCGGGAGTGAGAAGAAAAGTGCTCGAGGAAAAGGCGTTTTAGAACTGTAGGAGGGGTAAAAGCTTTAGTGATACGAGTCAAGGATGTACAAAACCGTGGAAGAGGGACCCTCCACGGGGGCAAAGAAGGAACAACACGAGGAGAAACATCAGAAATACGAACGGAAAGAGAATCCTGCAGGCGAGATAACCGGACAGAAAGAGGGAGGTGGTGAAGAGGAACAGGAACCGCAGGAGGGGTAAAAGTTAAAGCACGACAGAGACGAGAGGAAGGATGTTGCAAGGACCGCGCAAGATAGCGAAGACAGTAGCGATCACGGCGGTCCTGGAGAGACAGGAAGCCAGTGTCAACATACAAGCTAAGGACGGGAGTCGAACGAAAGGCACCAGAACTGAGGCGCAACCCAGTATGGTGCAAAGCATCAAGACGGCGAAGAGTAGAAGGAGAAGCAGACGAGTAAGCAGGGCAACCATAATCGAGCTTAGACAGGACGAGAGAGGAATGTAAAGCAAGGAGAGTGCGCCTATCTGCCCCCAAGAAGTATGGGACAAGACCCGAAGGAGGGTAAGGGACTTAGAGCACTCAACACGGAGGTAAGAGATATGGGGAGACCAAGACAAACGAGTGTCAAGGAATAACCCCAAAAGCTTCGCGGAATCTTTGTATTCAAGGGGATGACCATAAAGTGACAAAGAGGGACGAAGAACAACCCGTTTCCGCGTAAAAGTCATGGCACAAGTCTTAGAAGTAGAGAACTTGAAGCCATGACCTGTGGCCCAAGACGACACGGCATCAATCGCAAGTTGAAGCCGGCGTTGAAGGAGAGGCGAATCATCACCCTGACAACAAAGGGTAAGATCATCGACATAGAGAGCGGAGAAGACACCAGAAGGAAGAGAGGAAAGAAGACCATTGAGGGCAACCAGAAAAAGAGTAGTGCTCAGAACACTACCCTGGGGCACACCTTCGTATTGCTGAAAAGAGGGAGAGAGAGCGGTACCAAGGCGCACCCGAAAGGAACGACGAGAGAGGAAGCTGCGGAGAAAGAGAGGGAGATGACCACGAAGGCCAAAAGAATGAAGTTGAGATAGGATATGATAACGCCAAGTGGTGTCGTAAGCCTTTTCTAGGTCAAAAAGGACGGCAACAACGGAGGTCTTCGCAGCAAAAGCAGTACGTATATAGACCTCCAAGTTCACCAGGACATCTGTCGTGCTGCGGCACTTGCGGAAACCAAATTGAGAAGGGGAGAGGAGGTGATGGTGTTCCAGGAACCACATCAGACGAACGTTAACCATACGTTCAAAGAGTTTGCAGACACAACTTGTGAGAGCAATAGGGCGAAAGTCCTTAGGGGAAGTACCCAGAGACCCCGGTTTGCGAACAGGGAGGACAACGGCATCGAGCCAGTCCTCAGGGACTGACGACGACTCCCAGATCCGATTATACAGACTCAGTAAATACTGAGACGTGCTCGGAGGGAGATGGCGAAGCATCTCATAATGAATACCATCGGAGCCCGCCGCCGTAGAACCGCAGAGGGCCAGGGCAGAACGAAGTTCAGAGAGAGAGAAGGGATCATTATAGGGAAGCTGAAGATGAGTGCAGAAATCTAAAGGACGAGACTCAAGGACAGGTTTACGAAGAAGGAAAGATTGGGGAAGATGAAGACCAGAGCTAACAGAAGAAAAGTGGGAACCCAGTTCGGAAGCGACCTGCAACGGGTCCGCCACAAGAGTATCATGGAGGTGAAGGACCGGTGAAACATCGGGAACGAACTTACCCGCTATCTTGCGGACACGCTTCCAGATCTGGGCCAGAGGGGTTTCGGACGTAATTGTCGAGACATAAGATGCCCAACATTCACGTTTAGCCGTACGGATGGCCCTACGGGCCACCGCACTCGCTTTCCGAAAGAAAAGAAAAGAATCGGTCGTCTGCCTACGGCGGTGCTTCTTCCAGGCTGTCGCTATCCGATGTATTCATGAGATAGGGGGCGGTGGGAGGGTCCTCTCTTGTGCAGCCCGTTCTCTTGATTTGTCACATCGTACACAATGTAAAGTGCTAAATTAACCAACTTTTGGACTAACAATCTCCCCATTCCAAAATCGCGTACCCAAGCTAAAAATCATCCTTAGGCATCAAGGCTAAGTCTTCCAGTTTAGTTTAGTTCATTTATTATGCACCCCATACCCATCTTGTGGGCGGTTGTTGAAGGAACGTTCCGAGTAGCTAAATCTAAAACAACAACTGTCTCCTCCAAAGTTACAGCCCCGCTTCTGTGCCGGGTAAGTCCACAACGGGCTCACCATAGCCCGTGCTACTTGCCCGGCTCCTGTGCCAGATAGGTCCACTACGGGCTCACCATACCCCGTGGTACTTGCCCCGCTCCTGTGCCAAGTAAGTTCAACGCGGGCTCACCATAGCCCGTGCTACTTGGAACTTTTTGTTCCCAGTAGCTGAATCTATAACAACAACAACAACTGTCTCCTCTATTATTGGGGAGGTAATAAACCCGATAGTTCAAGAGTGTCATATCTGTGGAACAGAAGCAGAGACGCCACTATTGCACTACTTACTGGAATGTGAAGCAACTGAAGCCCTGCGCATCAAACTCAACATTAATCCAACGAGAGCAGCTGCATTAGATGTAAAATCCACAACGACTACAATGATCGGAAAAGCAATTGAAGAATAGGACTCGCTAGTAATCACTGTGCTTCTATATCTGCCACTAAGATAATGTTATTAAAACAAGACCCGAACTCAATTACGGGCTCACTATATATATATATATATATATATCATTATGAGTATATATATATATATATATATATATTGTATATAATCATATATAGCCAGTGCTACATGGACATTTCATTCTGAATAGCTAAAACAACAACTGTCTTCTTACTTACGGGCTACTCATGCATGTGCCACCTCTGGGGTGGCTTAATCTTTATCTATCAATCTGTCTCCTCACTTGTGGATGAACCTTATAGGTTAAAATGTGCAAATTATAATAAGTATAATACTTCATACAGCTAACTTTTAGTCAACCTTGAACAAATATTACATTTGGAGAAATCCTCTTCCAATTAAACCAAGATGCAAGAACATTAAGTCAGAGGGAAAGAAGCCCTAAACATTAAAAATATCAACACGAAATATGCGGTCATATGCAATGAAACATGTCAAAATATATTATATATTAACCTGTTCTCAGGGGAGGAAGGAAATACGCTCACGGAAACGGATTGAGAGTGACTACATAATTAATGCTGTTATCTACTCTATCCATGGTTAGGTGAAGGTTATTTTAGGTTAAATTTTGATTAGGTTGTTTCATTGCATTATGATTTGTAATCGTAAGCAGCCTACATAAACAAAATAAATTATTTGCGTAACATTATCTTTAACACTTGACCCTTAATACACATAATTTTAAATTGTTAGACCGTCTGACAACTCGTTGATTAAAATATTTCCATAATATGTAGAATAATTACATTTTGGATAAATTAATACCAACCGGAAGTTCCTAATTATTATCCTGATTGCTCACTAGCAGGAGCTTGTGAGTGTAGTCCGGTGTGGAGCTCCCAGAAACACCACCATCATACACTACCAGGAACGTGGGTGTGGAAATCGTAGTGAGAGTTTGGTACTTGGCAGACAACACGAGCACACAGGAAAGCCTACCGAGAACTTTGCACTCTAACCGCCACTTTGAATTACTTCGCTCCCTTTTATTTATCTGAGACTTTGTACGTACATATGTAAACAAATTTTTGTATCCATATGAATGCATGCATCATTAAGAGTGTGATGTTCGTGAGGCCAGCGCCCACACCCCGAGTGCTCCGCCAGCATTAACAGGCATCCTTGAAGCCTGGCGGTCACCTCCAGTGTTCAGAGGAACCTGCTCGCCCCTCCCACCAGCCTCTCACCTGCCTCCTGCTAGCTCCTGCCTCCTTCACCAGTCCTTCCTGGCGCGCCGCAGCCACCACTACGTGTCGCCCTGTCCACCTCTCCAATCTAAGATGCTCTCCACCCCACTGCTGGTACGTCAACATAACTTACAAATTATTATTATTATTACGATTACGAAAGAGCGCGTGGTTCTCATAGTATGTAAATCGCGAAGAGTTTACATACTATGAATTTACATACCTTATTCACATTTTGGTGAATAGTGTGATCACATATAACCACAAAGGAAAATGTAACAGGAAATCCTTCAGCGCTTTCCTGTCTATTTTAACATATCCGCTTTTGCCATTTTGGTTCCTGGTTTTACTCAAGATCATATCTGCAATTTTACTAGTTTCCTTATTTTTTAACTTCGACACTTCATTCTGTGAATACATACTGACTTTATATTTCTTTTGTGATTACTTCCGAAGCTGTATTAAAATAGACGCGAAAGAACTCGAATATTTCCGGTTTCCTTTTTCCTTTGTGGTTATACGTTATCAATCGTCGGGAATTCGGAAGAGTGAAAAATATGTGACAATTGTTCAACCAAGTTCATCCGTGTCATATACGACGCAGTTCACAATATCGTAGGTAATAAAGTTTAATACATTGAAGAGAGGTGCACTCAGTCACGAAATATACTAAAAGTTAATATTTTCCAGTCAGTTTCACACACCACTGAATAGTCACCTGAACAAGTGTCAGTGCGAGATTATTTGCATACTTCGACACCTGTTTATAAACATGAGGATAAATAAATCCAAAATTCTGTATTCACTTTTTAATTTAGGACAATCTCATCGTGATATATTTAAGGATGAGTGGAGACACTTACCTGTACGACCCAGCTCAGAGTAGGTATAAACACTGGCATTACTGCTATGAGCACAGCGAACCCTTCCGTGTCTAGTGAGATGACTGTCCTTGTTGCTCCCTCACTTGCAACCGGCGAGGCCAGCCAACAAAGACATTGTTTCTAATGCCGCGCGTGTCATGAGCCAGTAAAATATTTGTCCTATATAATATTTGTTTATGAATAGAATATTGTTATTATTATGTTAATATTTTATTGTATTTGAGTTATGGGGGCGTCACAAAGTAAGGGTTAAATGTGTTATACGGATTGATTAGGAAACAGGTAAGGTTTGTTCTTGGGCGTAGGAAACTCACTCTTTTGAGTTGCAGTTTACTGTGCAACCCATCACTCCTCCTGTGAGTGGTAGTTTATTAGGCACCCCATACACCTCCTGTGAGTAGTAGTTTACTAAGCACTGCATACTCCTCCTGTGAGTGGTAGTTTGCTGTGTACCCCATACTCCTCCTGTGATTGGAAGTTTACTAGGCACCCCATACACCTCCTGTGAGTGGTAGTTTACTAAGCACCGCATACTCCTTCTGTGAGTGGTAGTTTGCTGTGCGCCCCATACTTCTCCTGTGAGTGGCAGAGGCAGAAGGCACAAAAGGTCTTAAGTGGATATTGTTTGGTATTGTTTTCATAATTTATCTTCAAAACTTATATTTAATTGCAATGGTAGCTAGCAAATCAGCTTGCACTGTAATTGCACTGAATGACAATATAATTAATAATAATTTATTAATTCACTGTGTCGGGGGACAGGCAGCCAGAGTTTATATACACGTTAGGCTTATGTATATCGAGATTCCCCCCATCCCACCCGAAAGGTCGAATTACTGACCCAGGATGCAACCCCACAAGCTAACTCCTGGGTACCTACTTCAAGCTAGGTGAACATGAGCATCATGTGATAAGAAATGTGCCTAACCATTTCTGTCCCGCCCGGTATTCGAACCTGGAATTGTCGAGAACGAACCCGATTGAACTACCGGGACCCCCTCTCAATATATATCCCACTCAGGAACACACCCACACTTGGACCAAGAGCACAGAAAGACAAAGGAAGTTGCATTGTCGGTGCAATAGGTCGTGACCCGGCTGAATCTGCATTTCATGAACGTCACAAGTGAAAGCGGGAGATATGCGGAGAGCGTAGTGTTCCTGGTTACTCTGGGAATACAACACGTCTTGCGTACTTGTCACTAATAAGTATTCTCGACAGACTATATGAGGAGCGTTTAGGCACGCACCGGTTTTGTGCTTGGTGCTTGTATCAGGGAGAGTAAATGTGAGGTGTCACGGACGGGCCTCCGCCCACATCCTCTGGGTCAGCCAGTGCTCCAGGGAGGCGCTTCCCTTGCACCGGCTGGCGCGCAAGGTGCATCGCCATATATGGGGGCAGCGGGACTACGGCCTATTGGTGTTGGCAACGAGGTACACCCCTAGTGCATTTAGGCACGCACGCTCGCCCGAACACACACACACACAGAGTAGTAGACAAATGGAATGCATTAGGAAGTGATGTGGTAGAGACCGACTCCAAACACAGCTTTAAGTGTAGATATGATAGAGCCCAGTAGGCTCAGGAATCTCTACACCAGTTGATTGACAGTTGAGAGGCGGGACCAAAGAGCCAGAGCTCAACCCCCGCAAGCACAATTAGGTGAGTACACACACACACACACACTAACCTGACAAACAGGAAACACAAAGAGGATGATAATGAGAAAATATCAGTGGAGATCGGTAAGAAGCGGGGATCCCTCGTCTCGATGCCTGAACCTCAGCAGTTCATGATTTACTTGAATGACTTTCTCAACAAGATATATCGTTTATCGCAGTGTGTGTGCAGGCGATGCAAAACTGATACAAAGTGTAAGGTGTGAAGAAGATTACAAGATATTAGGGAAAATCTAAATAACGTAACTCACACAATGGGCAACAGCGTCCAAGTTCAACAAGTCACAATATAGGACAAGGAAACATACTTTTTACACCCATAAGTTAATAAATCAATGTTCATTACCACCGTTTATCCACCCAAGCCGTAAATGCCAAGACATTAATTCAGTTTAATATTCAGCAGCTGAAAAAAGTCATTAGGATTAATAAGATCTTTAATTAACAAGCCGCCTGCTTCCTGTCCCCGTCGAGGCCACTGGAGATGGTGGCCCTCAGGTAATAGCCTGGGGATCTCAGGAGCCAGGCTATTGGAGTTCAGTCCCAACAAATGCAAAGTTATGAAGTTCGGGAGAGAGGAGAAAAGTTTGGACTCAGTTAATAATAAATAATAATAATAATAATAATAATAATTCATTGTATCGGGGGACAGGCATCGGGCTACAAGTGTACACTGTGTCTTGCTCAAAACACTCCCGGACAGGCCCCCATATGTGTTGGGATCGAACTGTCGACAACCCAACACATTTAAAATAGGTTTATTCTGAGTGTTTATCTTATGTTTCGTTGTAATAGAGCGGTACATTAATTTGATCAGGTGTCACCCTCAGTCGGACCTATTGTCAGGTGCGACACACTTTGTGCCGATGTCTGACAAAGGACAAGAAAATAAGATTGTATAAAAACTTCATCATGGATATATTCGGATATATCTCTAACCACCTTATATACAATATATTACATGCAGTGTACATAAGTACAGATATATATATATATATATATATATATATATATATATATATATATATATATATATATATATGTCGTACCTAATAGCCAGAACGCACTTCTCAGCCTACTATTCAAGGCCTGATTTGCCTAATAAGCCAAGTTTGAATAGTGTGATCACATATAACCACAAAGGAAAATGTAACAGGAAATCCTTCAGCGCTTTCCTGTCTATTTTAACATATCCGCTTTTGCCATTTTGGTTCCTGGTTTTACTCAAGATCATATCTGCAATTTTACTAGTTTCCTTATTTTTTAACTTCGACACTTCATTCTGTGAATACATACTGACTTTATATTTCTTTTGTGATTACTTCCGAAGCTGTATTAAAATAGACGCGAAAGAACTCGAATATTTCCGGTTTCCTTTTTCCTTTGTGGTTATACGTTATCAATCGTCGGGAATTCGGAAGAGTGAAAAATATGTGACAATTGTTCAACCAAGTTCATCCGTGTCATATACGACGCAGTTCACAATATCGTAGGTAATAAAGTTTAATACATTGAAGAGAGGTGCACTCAGTCACGAAATATACTAAAAGTTAATATTTTCCAGTCAGTTTCACACACCACTGAATAGTCACCTGAACAAGTGTCAGTGCGAGATTATTTGCATACTTCGACACCTGTTTATAAACATGAGGATAAATAAATCCAAAATTCTGTATTCACTTTTTAATTTAGGACAATCTCATCGTGATATATTTAAGGATGAGTGGAGACACTTACCTGTACGACCCAGCTCAGAGTAGGTATAAACACTGGCATTACTGCTATGAGCACAGCGAACCCTTCCGTGTCTAGTGAGATGACTGTCCTTGTTGCTCCCTCACTTGCAACCGGCGAGGCCAGCCAACAAAGACATTGTTTCTAATGCCGCGCGTGTCATGAGCCAGTAAAATATTTGTCCTATATAATATTTGTTTATGAATAGAATATTGTTATTATTATGTTAATATTTTATTGTATTTGAGTTATGGGGGCGTCACAAAGTAAGGGTTAAATGTGTTATACGGATTGATTAGGAAACAGGTAAGGTTTGTTCTTGGGCGTAGGAAACTCACTCTTTTGAGTTGCAGTTTACTGTGCAACCCATCACTCCTCCTGTGAGTGGTAGTTTATTAGGCACCCCATACACCTCCTGTGAGTAGTAGTTTACTAAGCACTGCATACTCCTCCTGTGAGTGGTAGTTTGCTGTGTACCCCATACTCCTCCTGTGATTGGAAGTTTACTAGGCACCCCGATACACCTCCTGTGAGTGGTAGTTTACTAAGCACCGCATACTCCTTCTGTGAGTGGTAGTTTGCTGTGCGCCCCATACTTCTCCTGTGAGTGGCAGAGGCAGAAGGCACAAAAGGTCTTAAGTGGATATTGTTTGGTATTGTTTTCATAATTTATCTTCAAAACTTATATTTAATTGCAATGGTAGCTAGCAAATCAGCTTGCACTGTAATTGCACTGAATGACAATATAATTAATAATAATTTATTAATTCACTGTGTCGGGGGACAGGCAGCCAGAGTTTATATACACGTTAGGCTTATGTATATCGAGATTCCCCCCATCCCACCCGAAAGGTCGAATTACTGACCCAGGATGCAACCCCACAAGCTAACTCCTGGGTACCTACTTCAAGCTAGGTGAACATGAGCATCATGTGATAAGAAATGTGCCTAACCATTTCTGTCCCGCCCGGTATTCGAACCTGGAATTGTCGAGAACGAACCCGATTGAACTACCGGGACCCCCTCTCAATATATATCCCACTCAGGAACACACCCACACTTGGACCAAGAGCACAGAAAGACAAAGGAAGTTGCATTGTCGGTGCAATAGGTCGTGACCCGGCTGAATCTGCATTTCATGAACGTCACAAGTGAAAGCGGGAGATATGCGGAGAGCGTAGTGTTCCTGGTTACTCTGGGAATACAACACGTCTTGCGTACTTGTCACTAATAAGTATTCTCGACAGACTATATGAGGAGCGTTTAGGCACGCACCGGTTTTGTGCTTGGTGCTTGTATCAGGGAGAGTAAATGTGAGGTGTCACGGACGGGCCTCCGCCCACATCCTCTGGGTCAGCCAGTGCTCCAGGGAGGCGCTTCCCTTGCACCGGCTGGCGCGCAAGGTGCATCGCCATATATGGGGGCAGCGGGACTACGGCCTATTGGTGTTGGCAACGAGGTACACCCCTAGTGCATTTAGGCACGCACGCTCGCCCGAACACACACACACACAGAGTAGTAGACAAATGGAATGCATTAGGAAGTGATGTGGTAGAGACCGACTCCAAACACAGCTTTAAGTGTAGATATGATAGAGCCCAGTAGGCTCAGGAATCTCTACACCAGTTGATTGACAGTTGAGAGGCGGGACCAAAGAGCCAGAGCTCAACCCCCGCAAGCACAATTAGGTGAGTACACACACACACACACACTAACCTGACAAACAGGAAACACAAAGAGGATGATAATGAGAAAATATCAGTGGAGATCGGTAAGAAGCGGGGATCCCTCGTCTCGATGCCTGAACCTCAGCAGTTCATGATTTACTTGAATGACTTTCTCAACAAGATATATCGTTTATCGCAGTGTGTGTGCAGGCGATGCAAAACTGATACAAAGTGTAAGGTGTGAAGAAGATTACAAGATATTAGGGAAAATCTAAATAACGTAACTCACACAATGGGCAACAGCGTCCAAGTTCAACAAGTCACAATATAGGACAAGGAAACATACTTTTTACACCCATAAGTTAATAAATCAATGTTCATTACCACCGTTTATCCACCCAAGCCGTAAATGCCAAGACATTAATTCAGTTTAATATTCAGCAGCTGAAAAAAGTCATTAGGATTAATAAGATCTTTAATTAACAAGCCGCCTGCTTCCTGTCCCCGTCGAGGCCACTGGAGATGGTGGCCCTCAGGTAATAGCCTGGGGATCTCAGGAGCCAGGCTATTGGAGTTCAGTCCCAACAAATGCAAAGTTATGAAGTTCGGGAGAGAGGAGAAAAGTTTGGACTCAGTTAATAATAAATAATAATAATAATAATAATAATAATTCATTGTATCGGGGGACAGGCATCGGGCTACAAGTGTACACTGTGTCTTGCTCAAAACACTCCCGGACAGGCCCCCATATGTGTTGGGATCGAACTGTCGACAACCCAACACATTTAAAATAGGTTTATTCTGAGTGTTTATCTTATGTTTCGTTGTAATAGAGCGGTACATTAATTTGATCAGGTGTCACCCTCAGTCGGACCTATTGTCAGGTGCGACACACTTTGTGCCGATGTCTGACAAAGGACAAGAAAATAAGATTGTATAAAAACTTCATCATGGATATATTCGGATATATCTCTAACCACCTTATATACAATATATTACATGCAGTGTACATAAGTACAGATATATATATATATATATATATATATATATATATATATATATATATATATATATATATATGTCGTACCTAATAGCCAGAACGCACTTCTCAGCCTACTATTCAAGGCCTGATTTGCCTAATAAGCCAAGTTTTCATGAATTAATGTTTTTTCGTCTACCTAACCTACCTAACCTAACCTAACCTAGCTTTTTTTGGCTACCTAACCTAACCTTACCTATAAATATAGATTAGGTTAGGTTAGGTAGGGTTGGTTAGGTTCGGTCATATATCTACGTTAATTTTAAATCCAGTAAAAAGAATTGACCTCATACATAGAGAAAAGGGTTGCTTTATCATTTCATAAGAAAAAAATTATTGTAAATATATTAATTCAGGAAAACTTGGCTTATTAGGCAAATCGGGCCTTGAATAGTAGGCTGAGAAGTGCGTTCTGGCTACTAGGTACGACATATATATATATATATATATATATATATATATATATATATATATATAGAAAGAGACTGCGACCATGAAATGGTCGTCTCTTGTCCGATTGTTCTTCCCACTTACAGATCATCCACTTTTCCGTAATTAGGACCACTATTCGGAAACTGTGTTACCTCAACGCCTCTATCTATCAATGACGGTGCCTTCCACGACCTCAGAGACGTTTACCATGCCGCTAGGTTCTCACGTCCGTTTCCTTTGGTGAGGGTAGAGCTTACTGGAACAGTTGGGTCAGTTGGTCAAACATCCGAAAGCGACGACAGCATGTTGACTGAATGGAGGGGAGTAGAGGTCTGTTTCTCCACATGCTCCGGCCAGCACTCGTTACCTCGCCCGGTGGTTCTGATTGGCTAACAGAAATTCCCGCCACCGGACGAGCCATACCGTGCTGACCGTTAACGACCTCCACGGTCGTTAACCTCGTTCTTCCTGTAATAATGAACGTATTACTAATAAATAACTGTGCCTTTATGCGACGAAATAACACGATACGATATTTCGTAACAGTCCTCCCCCCTCCCCCCCAAGGTGGAATTACTGACCCCGCTCAGGATACAACCCCACAACAAGCTAACTAGCACCTGAGTACCTATTTACTGCTAGGTGAACAGATGCATTATGTGATAGGAAATTTGTCTAATCATTTCTGTCCCGCGTGGGATTCTAGCTCAGAATTCTCGATTGTGAGTCGAGAACGAACCAGATTGTACTACTGGGCCCCTTATATCGTGCATCCCGTACCATTACCATGGGCGGTAGTGGAATAGGTTAATGAGGGAGTTACAGTCCCGCTCCTGTGGCAGGTGAGGCCACTACGGGCTCACCATAGCCCGTGCTACTTGCAACCTCTTGTTCCCTGTAGCTGAACCTAAAACAACAGCAACAACGGTTACTGAGGCACATATTGAGTTCGGGAACTGAACCCCGAAATTCATTTAACAGCCTCGATAAGCTAGTTACCTAGTTTCACATATTTAACTGAATTTACGTGAGAGCCACTAAAAATCTAGTAGCTTCGACGAAGACAAGAAGCCGGCAGCTTGTCAATGGCCCCCCCCCAATTTGCCCTAATGATTATTTCAACCATCGGTGTTTTATAAAACATCATGTGTTCAGGAACTGAACCCCAGTTGGGTTAGCTAAGCAAGTTATACCCCTGATGTTACTGGGCTTGAGCTACCTCATCCCTTTGTGTGTATTTTACCTCAATAAACTTATTTCAATTTCAATTGATGTTACATGGTTTGTTAACAACAATATGTTCACAATTTTATCAAATTAAGAAGCCATGATCCCAAGAAGCCTAATACAGGGATCGCAATTTGGAAAAGGTTGATCTCCCATTGTTCAAGGAAGTGCCGTTGTTGGTAGAGATCATGAACCTGACACATTCAGAGTTCAGTTGCAGTTATAGTGATCTATTTTGAGGGATGTTGACCTTACATAGAGACAGGAGGCGGGCGTGTGTGCAAGGGTTGAAGTGGGATAGCCTAATTATCCCATCAATAACTAGTATTTCTTTCACGCTTTATTTTGTGTTATAGGTTTTGGTGATGGCGTCGTGTCTGGCAGGACAGGTGGCGTGTCGTCCTCGTGACACGGTGGCATCAGACGACAACGACGTGGAGTTAACAGCAGGCACCGTCGCCTTCCCCAGCCACCAGTACGGCTCCTTCGTCGGCGAGGTGCAAGTGTCCTCAGACCATCTCAGCGTCAGCCGCGCCAACAGGTCACACACTCTAAAGTCTTAACACAATTATTTATGCCATATCTCACCAAACCATATATCTCACCATATATGGGAAAAATTAATAAATTTATTGGTCTCTATTTCCCATCAGGAAATGAAATGTTAACCTCGTGCACGAACTAGTACATTTATCTTATTGTTCTCACCGACTCGTGCCTTAGCTGCCTCGCAATTCACTGGAACACAACTAATACTCACAGCCACGGGCTTTTGTACATAAGGATGAGTAACATAAACTGACAGTCTATAACATAACCTTTGTCAGAGTATTTTACTGTATCCAAAGATATTGCAATTTCAAGCTGTTTTTGGTCTCTTCAGGTTGAAGAATGCCTCCTCTGGACCTAGAGTCTCTGCCTTGGTGGCAGGGCCTCCGGAGGGCTCTGAGGTGAGCGTGGGGTCGTCTCCCGGCCTCTCCGTCTCCGGCGCCACCCTCTTCTTCAACAACCCAGCCCAGGTGGTCCCCATCACGCCCTGAAGCTCCCACACACCTCTCAAACCTAGCGACTTTCCGCTACATCTCTCCCTCAGTCTGCCGAGGTTCTCCTTTCAGCAGCCCAGAGCGTCTTTATGTTGGAAAGATTCCATTATATATATATAGCACAACATTTGTGAAGATAAAACCTGTATACATATATATCTTGTTTCAGCTCAATTATCCTCCATAACTTTACATTTCATTTCATAAAGAACTAAATTATTATCTTAAACCCAATTTTTCTCACTTTTTCTCATTCTACATGTCACCCGGCGTTTTGCTGTCTTGAACATTAATTATTAATTACTACATAGATACTGTTACTGATTCCTGGTGTATCTAAATATCATAAAATGACATGTCACTTTTTTAATTTTCTTTATTAACAAGCTTAGGTATACACCTAAGGGCCCTGACAGCTGAGTGGACAGCGCTTCGGATTCGTAGTCCTGAGTTCGATCCCCGGTGGAGGCGGAAACAAATGAATAGAATTTCAATATATTAGGCCTCTCTGCACCTATTTGCAGTTTCAAATTACGATTTTTTTGCCGAAAATATGCAAATTACTGAATACAGCGATGGGTCATATTTCGCCCCCCCCCCCTGTAGTTTTCAAAATATCTGAAATGTCGGAAATTTTACCACTTAGAGTGATTTTTGAGCCGAATTCTGACTCTCTGCGCCTTTTTCATTTTCAAATTACGACTTTTTAATCCGAAAATATGCCAATTACTGAAAACGGCGATGGGTCATATTTTGCCCAAACCCCCCTGCAGTTTTCAAAATATCTGAAATGTCAGAAATTTGAATCCTGAGCGTGATTTTTGAGCCGAATTCTGACTCTCTGCACCTATTTTCACTTTCAAATTACGGCTTTTTATACCGAAAATATGCCAATTACTTGAAACGGCGATGGGTCATGTTTTGCCCAAACCCCCCTGCAGTTTTCAAAATATCTGAAATGTCGGAAATTTTACCACTTAGAGTGATTTTTGAGCCGAATTCTGACTCTCTGCGCCTTTTTCATTTTCAAATTACGACTTTTTAATCCGAAAATATGCCAATTACTGAAAACGGCGAAGGGTCATATTTTGCCCAAACCCACCCGCAGTTTTCAAAATATCTTTAATGTCGGAAATTTGACTCCTGAGCGTGATTTTTGAGCCGAATTCTGACTCTCTGCACCTATTTTCATTTTCAAATTACGGCTTTTTATACCGAAAATATGCCAATTATTTGAAACGGCGATGGGTCATGTTTTGCCCAAACCCCCCTGCAGTTTTCAAAATACCTGAAATGTCGGAAATTTGATTCCTGAGCGTGATTTTTGAGCCGATTTCTGACTCTCTGCACCTATTTTCATTTTCAAATTACGACTTTTTATACCGCAAATATGCCAATTACTGAAATCGGCGATAGATCAAATTTTGCTCAAACCCCCATGCAGTTTTAAAAAAATCTGAAATGTTGGAAATTTGACTCCTGAGCGTGATTTTTGAGCCGAATTCCGACTCTCTGCACCTATTTTTATTTTCAAATTACGACTTTTTATACCGAAAATATGCCAATTACTGAAAACGGCGATAAGTCATGTTTTGCCCAAACCCCCCTGCAGTTTTCAAAATATCTTAAATGTCGGAAATTTGACTCCTGAGAGTGATTTTTGAGCCGAATTCTGACTCTGCGCCTTTTTTCATTTTAAAATTACGACTTTTTAATCCGAAAATATGCCAATTATTGAAAACGGCGATAGGTCATATTTTGCCCAAACCCCCCTGCAGTTTTCAAAATATCTGAAATGTCGGAAATTTGAGTCCTGAGCGGGATTTTTTAGCCGAATTTTGATTCTCTGAACCTATTTTCATTTTCAAATTACAACGTTATATACCGAAAATAAGCCAATCACTGAAAAAAGCGATGGGTCATATTTTGCCCAAACCCCCCTGCAGTTTTCAAAATATCTGAAATGTCGGAAATTTGAATCCTGAGCGTGATTTTTGAGCCGATTTCTGACTCTCTGCACCTATTTTCATTTTCAAATTACGACTTTTTATACCGCAAATATGCCAATTACTGAAATCGGCGATAGATCAAATTTTGCTCAAACCCCCATGCAGTTTTCAAAAAATCTGAAATGTTGGAAATTTGACTCCTGAGCGTGATTTTTGAGCCGAATTCCGACTCTCTGCACCTATTTTTATTTTCAAATTACGAGTTTTTATACCGAAAATATGCCAATTACTGAAAACGGCGATAAGTCATGTTTTGCCCAAACCCCCCTGCAGTTTTCAAAACATCTTAAATGTCGGAAATTTGACTCCTGAGAGTGATTTTTGAGCCGAATTCTGACTCTGCGCCTTTTTTCATTTTAAAATTACGACTTTTTAATCCGAAAATATGCCAATTACTGAAAACGGCGATAGGTCATATTTTGCCCAAACCCCCCTGCAGTTTTCAAAATATCTGAAATGTCGGAAATTTGAGTCCTGAGCGGGATTTTTGAGCCGAATTCTGACTCTCTGCACCTATTTTCATTTTCAAATTACGACTTATTATTCCGAAAAGATGCAAATTACTGAAAACTGCGATATTTTGCCCAATCCCCCCCTGCAGTTTTCAAAATATCTTAAATGTTGGAAATTTTACTCTTGAGCGTGATTTTTGAGCCGAATTCTGACTCTCTGCACCTATTTTCATTTTCCAATTACGACTTTTTATACCGAACATATGCCAATTACTTGAAACGGCGATGGGTCATGTTTTGCCCAAATCCCCCTGCAGTTTTCAAAATATCTGAGATGTCGGAAATTTGACTCCTGAGCGTGATTTTTGAGCCGAATTCTGACTCTCTGCACCTATTTTCATTTTCAAATTACGACTTTTTAAACCGAAAATACTCCAATTACTTTAAACGGTGATGGGTCATATTTTGCCCAAACCCCCCTGCAGTTTTCAAAATATCTCTAAATGTCGGAAATTTGACTCCTGAGCGTGATTTTTGAGCCGAATTCTGACTCTCTGTGCCTTTTTTCATTTTCAAATTACGAATTTTTAATCCAAAAATATGCCAATTACTGAAAATGGCGATGGGTCATATTTTGCCCAAACCCCCCTGCAGTTTTCAAAATATCTGAAATGTCGGAAATTTGATTCCTGAGTGTGATTTTTGAGCCGAATTCTGACTCTCTGCACCTATTTTCATTTTCAATTTACGACTTTTTAATCCGAAAATATGCCAATTACTTGAAACGGCGATGGGTCATGTTTTGCCCAAACCCCCCTGCAGTTTTCAAAATATCTCTAAATGTCGGAAATTTGACTCCTGAGCGTGATTTTTGAGCCGAATTCTGACTCTCTGCACCTATTTTCATTTTCAAATTACGACTTTTTATACAGAAAACATGCCAATTACTGTAAACGGCGATGACTCAAATTTTGCCCAAACCCCACTGCAGTTTTCAAAATGTCTGAAATGTCGGAAATTTGACTCCTGAGCGTGATTTTCGAGCCGAATTCTGACTCTCTGCACCTATTTTCATTTTCAAATTACGACTTTTTATACCGAAAATACGCCAATTACTGAAAACGGCGATGGGTCATATTTTGTCCAAACCCCCCTGCAGTTTTCAAAATATCTGAAATATCAGAAATTTGAGTCCTGAGCGTGATTTCTCATCTTCAGAAGTATATAGCTGCTCTGGAGAAAGTGCAACACCGGGCAACAAAAATAATTCCACATCTAAGTAATCTCACGTATCAGGAACGGATGAGGGCCACAGGGCTAACAACACTGCAAACCAGGCATGACAGGGATGATCATATTGAAACGTTTAAAATACTGAACAAATTGGAGGATGTGTATCCAGAAATTTCTTCAAAAGGTCAGATGTAACACGAACTAGGACCAACGGTTTCAAGCTCAACAAGCCATAATGTAGGACTGAGAACAGGAGATGCTTTTCACCGCACAGGGTTATTAACCCATGGAACCAGCTACCCTCCGAAGCCTTTAATGCCGAAACTCTGTTGGGTTTTAAAGTACTGATGGAAAATATCATCAGCAGTGCAAATGGGCGGACCTTCGACAAGCCTCCGGCTTCCTATCCTCGTCGAGGCTACTAGTGCTAGTGGCTCTCAGGTAAACTCGGGTATACGTCAAAATGCGACGTGCATTTAGGAGGACGGGTTGTTTATACAACCTAACTGAAATGTTTTAAGTTTTCCCCCAAACGTATTGGCTGTCTTATTTATTTATGCTAGTGGTCCTATATACTTATATTTGTGGTCTTATATAATTATATTAGCGGTTTTATATACTTATACTAGTGGTCTTATATACGCTGTAACCATTATTAAACCTTTGTATATTATAATTTTGTATATTTTTAAATAAAGATTATTATTATTATTATTATTATTATTATTATTATTATTATTATTATTATTAATAGTATTATATTATTATTATTAATATTATTATTATTATTATTATTATTTAATTATTATTATACATTAGTAAGTAATACAGTGTATATGTACAACTAAATTAACATATCCTTATTTATTTATGCTCATTCAACTGATGAGCATGACACAGTATAATTTTGTAACTTTTGTTAACATATATATTTATAAATACGTAAATACTGATGATGCCAGGTTTCTATTAGTTTTTTATTAGATGTAAAATGAAAAGTCTGATTGGACAGTAAAACTCATCCTTTGAAATTTAGCGCCAAATACCTCTGGATGTTCGACGGAAGCGCCATCTTGTTTAGTTGATACTTGTTTGTGTACCTTTACTAAGACTCTTGCTGCTGTATTATTACAAAAGGAATGTGCTCTTGATAAATCGCCATTTTCACCAGGTGAGATAGTTTGCTGTGTGGAATTTGGAGCGTAGAGGTGAGGCCGGGCGCTCCCGCCAGGCCGGTCGTTAGGTCATCCGCCACACCTGAAAATAAGTCACATCAAAACAACTCTCACGACCTGTCTTGGTGTTGTTGTTGTATGGTCGTATACCCTGGTCGTATACCCTGGTGATTGTGTCCGGCGATGGTTGTAATAACCTGTATGCCCTCATCCTCGGGTTTCCTTGTTAAATTTTGCTCTTGAGGGCGAGTTTATTGGGCAGGATCACTCGTCCTGTGAGGGAACACCGCTACAGTTGATGCTCCAGTACCTTACCTCTCACTAGGAGGAACACCTGCTGGGTTGTTCATCCTGTCACTTGTACCCAGAAGCAGCTGATCCTTACTTAGCTCTCTCAAGTGAACACACTGTAAAACAAGGGATTAACATTTTACAACCCTCAACTTTTCCTTATATTGTGGGTGCAAAGTGAGAGAACCTTTTTAAGAACAGTGTTTGTTTAAAACAGGGCTCAAACACTGTGGGGGGTTCATTGTGCTACACGTATTTCTATTGTCTCTTAGATAGGCACAATCTTTCGGGTAGTGGTCTAGACAATGTCCATCACTTGTGCTGCACATTCCACTACTTCGCTCCTCAGCTGTGGTTTCCATCCTGAATCTGTATGTGTAATTAATCTCGTGACGACCTTGTTCCCTAATGGCTGTGTCCCCTGGCAGTCGAGTCCTATGATAGTTGTACACCCAGGTGGTTGATATCCTGAAGATTTTCTCCTGTGGTGGATACCCAGCTTGTGAAGGATGATCACATTGTAAGAAATAAGTTATTTGAGACGAGCATACTCACCTGACCATAGCTTCAGTCATTGTCGAGCTAGGAGTTAAAAAATGAAATGTGTATCAACCTAATTTGTTCAAAACTGTGACCTCAAGAGTGGGAAATATGTTTTGGGGGCAAAAAATTCCAACACCTCTGCATTAGGTTAGTATATTTCATTGTGATAATTTGTGTGAACCATTACAGTTCCTGTATTAGTGCAGACTTTTGATTAAAAAGGGAAGTGGTTTTATTAAATTTAGGTTTGAATATTTGTCCCCTTGGCTAGTTAATCTACTTATTCCTGTATTATTTGGGGACCACCACATCTCTAGTGGAGACAGCCCAGAAAGCTTTTGATGGGTCTCTAAAAATCTGTACTGTAATCTCAACAAGTTTCTTGTCTATGTGTTAAGTAATGAATTCCTCAGTGGGTTATTGGAGTAACCTAGTGGTAATGCCATCACCTGGTAGAACTAGGCAAGTCTTTTTTTTTCAGTGAAAGGATGTTTGTTTGCATCTAGAACTAAAGTTGCTGTATTTACAGTAATGTTACCCATATTAGGATGTACTTTATAAGCACTTTATAGTATATACTGTACACAGTTTAGTAGAGTAACTAAACTTTGAGCATACTTAAATACCTGCTATTTTTTCTCATTTCATCTATTACATAGGATTTTATTAGCATTTCAAAATTTATACATCTTTTGTGCAAAATTTATGCAATTAAAAATTTTCGATTTTCACCGTTTCATTATTGTACACAATTCTTGAATTGAATTGTGTTCTGCTTGTTAATTCATGTAATTGTCAAGATTGGATATTACCTAATAAAAAGATAACATTTATTACAGAAAAGTCATTATTTAGAAGAATTTTGGAGCATGTGGCAAGATCATGCATAATCAAACTTACGTAAATCAGTTTGATGCCGTTTCTTGTATATTTTTCTGGAGGGCGCTCAATGGGGGCTTCTTGTAGCTAGTCACACTGAGATGCTCCCTGTAGCTAACCACACCGAGATATCTCCACACAAGTCGCATGAGCCCCAGGAGTCTGTAGTGGCCTTATGGAGACCAGAGCCAGAACTTGTGTGTGCATCTATCTCAGTGTGGCTAGCTACAAGGAGCCACAGGAGCATAACCAGAAAGAGGTATTTCTTATGATCAGCACTTTTTTTTTTTTTATGTTCAAGTTCCAGGTACCATAAAATATGCAGTATATAGTTTTCCCTGGAATATATCCAGATTTCAGGACTCAATATGACAAAATCAGAATTTAAATAATATGAAATTCTGTCTATCCATAAAAATTTTAAAATATGTAAATATTAAAGATTAACTCTAATTGTAACTATCATTTGAAACAATTTATAATAAAAATGTTTATAATGGTGTATAGAACATGTATCTGACTTGGAGTGTGCTAATAATTGTGCTCTTGAAGGATTGAAAGGTTTAATTTGATCAAGTATTTAAATATTTTAGTGAGAAAATTTTAATTCCTTCCTGTGTACAGTATTTACCATCATACAGTAGTTGGTATACATATATATATACCTCTGCAAAGGGTTAAATGACAACCCAAATTTTCTTACTCATTTTTTCTATTGCGGACATATAAAGCAAATTTGTTATTATTACTAATAAAATATATTACTCTTAAATTTTTTTATAATAATAAACGTATTTTCAATTTAAATTTTAAATCAGTCCATTCTTTAAAATAAGTGGGAGTTAAAATATTTTTTAAGCTGGGTCACTAAGTTATATAAGTGTGGAACCATAACATTAAATTTTTATTTTTTAGTACAGTCCCACTCACTTCAATACACTTAGGATTTTGGGTATTTTTTTTTTATTATTACCATTTCTGTTAAATTGTTTGTGTTCAAATTGGATATCAAATTGCAATTGTACTGTAACAACTTGGGCAAAAAATTGTGTGAATATAAAGATGAGACACTGATCAGTAAAATTTTTCAATTAAGTTCTTAATTTTAGTACAGTAGTTCTCTTGTTTACATGAATTATAGCATTCACCTTTCATATCGTTTGATCAACAGAACATTTCAAACTTGTGTTGATTTAACCCTTAAACTGCTCAGCATAAGGGGCCGGGAAGCAAAAAATATTTGAATTATGTAAAATTACTTAAAAAGTTAAACGAATCTCCAACTTATTGGCTTCAGCGTCATGAAACTTTCATCAAAGTATTTTCAGGAATTGACTGAATTTGACTGAATGACTGAATTTTTTTGGGCTGATTTTTTTACAGATTTCAAACTATTTTCTTTGTCTCATTTTGATGATTAGGGACCAGATTAGGGGTTTTCACTTATATAAAGTATTCCCTAGATCATTATAATTTTTATAATTATCCCTATTTTTTTTGTGGGGGGGGAAGGATTATTATTTTTCTTGACTTCATTTCAACACATACTGACCTACAACCTTCACATATTCGAGTATGAATGCCAAACAATGTTTGTTAAAACATACAAGTAAATTAATGCATTAGAACTGCCTTATTCATTTTTGATAACTTCAGATATATCTATAACTAGATAAAAGTTTATATGCACATGTCTTATATGCATATCCCTCAATCAATTTAAAATTTTCAGGATCATGAAAGAAAACAGTGCAGGAAAAGCAGCGCTAGAATGTATGATATGTGGTACTGTGTGTTCTTCAATTTACAAGTACCACAAGCACAACATTCGTGAGCACACACTACCCCAGCTTTCACGTGCAATACTGAGACTTAAGAACTTGCCAGTGCCTTTAAATGATCCACCAGCAGATGGTGATGAAAGTGAAGAGGAAGTCACTAGAAGAGAAGAACAAAGGCAGGGAAGCAATGTGGATATGGCTGAAACCCTAGGTATGTGATTATACAGTGTATGTGTGTGTGTGTGTGTGTATGTATGTATGTGTATATAACAGTATATATGAGTACCTAGGAACTGTGTAGATAGATTAAATATTGTAGTGTACACTGTCTATGTGAATTTGTCAAAGATAATTGCAACACCAATATCAAAATAATAAATATTCACTAAGGTGATGTTTATATTTCAGGACTCGCTTTAAAGGTAGAACTAATGGATGAAGAAGTTATTGAGCTTGGACCAACAGACAATGCAGATAATCTTCAGATTCAAAGTCGTCTTGTTAAAAACTTGCATGAAAGAAATCAACAGTCAAGACAAATTATTGAAGTCAAGGAAAATAACCCTCCTCCCTGTTATATTAATCCTGCCATTGAAGATCCTGATGCTATTGTTGTAAAGTAAGTTATTAGAGTATAATGAAGTATCCAGGCTTTTGTTACTTGAATGAAAGATAATGTTTTTGCTTGTTGTGTACAAGCAAGGCAAATATCTGAAGTGAATTTTTAAAGGTTTTGTGTAGCTAATTCTCTTAGTGAAGCATGTGTTTCTGAAGTTCATTCTGGAAATATGTTAAATATACTGCAAATAAAATGGATGAGGAAGAATCAAGTTCCCAGGGGAAAAAAAATGCTCCTGAGGTGAAGCAAACCGTTGGAAAATACTACAACGGAACACAGACCCCAAACCTGGTTGCAAATCAGGAGAGGCCCAGCCACAATGCATGAAGGCCTAAGCACGCAAAGACCCAACTCCAACCAACCAGCAAAGACAGTAGCAGGTTATAAACCACTGAATGCACCAAAACAAGAGAGCTAAGGAACCAGGTACTAGGAATCTGAATGTATACAGCAATGCCCCCAAGGGCTCAAGAAGCCAAACAGGCAAGACAAAAAGAGAAAAGTGACTGTAAATGCTAGAATGTTCACAAACAGCAGCTCACATTACTTAACAGGAATTAAGAGACCGGTGGTCATCAACGTATCAGCCATTGTTGAAAACCTTTCAGAAACCTGAAGACCTAAGATCAGGGATGTCGGAAACCCAAATGTTTGTATTTTTCCTCTGTTTTTCTTCCTCTTTCAGGAGGCTGATAACTGCTGCTGGTACTGGGAAGCATTTTCAAGATAGGCTCAGCATTATTTTCATGATAAACCCAACAGACATGCTGGGCCTGCTCTTGTAGCTACAGACATACCATGAGGCCTAATATGGATATACACAACCCATGTCATAGGAACCTAAGAGATCATAATCATTCAGTAATATCAGGCAACAAAATTTCACATCTAGCTTATTTCTCATGCACATGCTTCAAAATTTCATTTTCAAAGGAGAAAGGGTCCATGTTTTACTGAACGAAAACCTCTGCAACTGGAAATAAATAATCATGGAATTTGGGTTTAAATAAGCTCAGTGGCTTTCCCAGGGCCTCAACTATTTCTTTTAATATTGCCTCCATCAGTAAACTGTCCCATCATCTTAAGCAAATCCACACATCCTCCTGCTTCTTATTAGCCAAATCTGGTGAGTAAATCCAGCATGGAAAGTGTGTTCCAACCGGAGGTTCGCAAAATCAAGGCTTGTTGAATTGATGTTCTGCTGTATATGGGGGCGAGGCTGATTCGTTCCGTTAGGTGTTTAGTTCAACTCATCATTAAATCCAGAAGGGGTTCAAATTGATGACTGGGTAGATCGTTTGTCGAGTTGTTTACAGTTTCATTTCTCATTTTCTGTGAACTTGGCACATGGCTGTTTTGCTTTGCTTACTTTCTAGAAGTTTCATTTGGTGATGGTGATCATAAAGAATTCCATGCTCCCTGCACCTGTGTAAAGGGACCAGGTTCTGGCTCAGGTCTCCGGTAGGCTATTAAGGACTCATGGGGCTAATGTGATTTGTGTGTGTGGAGCCATCTCGGTGCAGCTAGCTTCAGAGATCCACCAAAGTCCAACCAGAAAGAGGCGTTTCATTATCATGTTCCCCTAACTCCCCTTGCCACTTCGAGGGGGTATAGGGTGTTTATGTAGCTTCAGGGCACCAATCCCCCCAGCCAATGGGCATGGCGAGAAGGTACTCCTAAGCATACCTAATACCCTATCAAACACAAACTAAAATACACATAAATGGCAGATCTCATCACAACCCACAAGAGTTAAGATGATGATAATAACATACAATAATAACATAATAATATACACAAAATGGAAAATTCTTTTGTATTTCGTTTTTCTTAGATGGGACACAGCACACAAAGGGAGAGGTGCACATTATATCATTAAAAAAGTACTGAAGCTGAAGGCAAAACAACAAGCTGCCTATGCGGCAAGATTGGTGTCTTGACAGCAGCATACATGGAAAAACTATTCATAGTGGAAGCTCCTAACAGGGCCCTGGAGCGGGAGGGTTGTCATGTGTGCGCATGGGGGCATTTAACACTGTATTTTTTGTGCCACTTCACACCCTTTAAGTGATAGAGGATTGTCAACTTATGCCAGAGAAAAAAAACAAATATAATCAGTTTGTAGGAAAGTTAATGTTTTAATAATATTTTATCAACTTATAACAAGCACCTTTGACATGGCTGTATGTTGCTGTAGATGTGTTTCTAGAGTTTGTTGCGGCTAGTTTCACTTCATGCAATATGTTTGTATAGAAGATATGATGAATGGTTGGGGTGTGTCTTATAAAACTTTAATCTTACCTTCCTATTTGCTCCATTATTTGGCTAATGCCAGCCCACACTCTAAATGGGGTAGCGATGATCATGTTCACTAATTAAAACAAATTTGGTTCTAGGTATATATTTAATTTTAGATAGTCTCATGTCTTACCATGTTGTAATTTATTTATGACAAATACTGAATGTATCATTTAATTTTTCTTCTGCTCGAAACCAACTTTCAGGTTCATTTTTTAGGTATACATAAGTTTGAATCCTATTGTTCTTATTATATAAATATTTTCCTCCACTGGGTCTCATATTTAATCACATTTTATTTGCAGATTCAACCGAGAACTGGTTATGGCACAGGATAAAGGCAGGCCATTAGTATACACTGAAGATTGCAATTTGAAAAATAGACCTATTAATAGGCAAATGAGGGCAGTAGTTAAGAGAACTATTGACATTCCAAACCCTAAAGCTTTCATTATGGATTACAAGAGAGTTATGTCTCGATCTAATGATAAATACGTCATGCAAAATGTTAATATAACAGATAACCTTTGCAAAAAACGACGTGGTCGTCCAAGAAAGAAAGCAGAAAATAGTGATTACTTTCCACCAAAGACGATAAGCCGGAAGAAATTAGAAAAGGAATTTGAGTTTTCGGAGGATGAGGATGACTTGGAGGGGCTAGTTGATCCTCCTCTTTTCTCTGAGGATGAAGAGGAGGAAGCAGCTGCTGCAATTCCTAGCATCACCAGAACACGCTCAGGAAGGGCCATCAAAATAAAAAAAGAAGATGGCAATTTTAAATACTATGACATGCCGTTAAGATATCAGTTAGACACAGAAGAATTAAGCAGTCCAAAGGACTGGACTGAGGATTCTGTCCCACTTATGACAAGGTGGGGAAAAAGACGGAGAAAATGCAAGCAGGTGAATGAATGTGCTGTAGATAAACCTGATCCTGTTATAAAAATTGAAATATGTGAGGATTATCAGAGTAAAGATACTAATGATCGAGAAAAATCCTTTAATGTTAAAACTGAGACTTCAAACGAATGTAGCATTAATATTGGGGAAGGTCTAAGCATGCCAGCAAATAATCAGATTGCAGATGATTCAAATGAGTTTGACAGATCTTCGGTTTCAGAATCATTTGATGGTTTTGAATGCTTTCTGTGCTTTAAGGCATTTACTTTTAAAGAAGATTGTGAAAAACATATACATGAGCATCTTAGTAAAGTAGTTGCAGAGAGTAATGAAACGACAGATGGTAGCTCACATGAATTTGATGGTGTTGCAAAAGTATTAGATTATAGTGATGATATAAGTATAAGAGTTACAGATAATGTTTCCTTAATATCTTCTAAAGAAAGTGACAATGATACAGCTCCTATCACAGATATGTATATAAAAGATCATGATCCCACGACACCAGATATAGTTATTCAACCTTCTACCAAGTATATGGAGTCATTTACTTGTTCCATTTGTAATGAAGATTTTGAGTCTCAGACAGCTCTTCAGGAGCATACCCATGAAAGTATCTATACTTGCAAATTTTGTGGGAAAAAATACCAAAATCGAATTAATTTGCAAAGTCACACAAAAAGATACCATGAAGAAACTGATTGGATGAAGTTCAAGTGTGCTACTTGCGGAAAGAATTTTGGGTTCTTGACAGCTTTAGAGAGACACATGAAGGAACATAATCCAAATAAGAAGTTTTGCTGTGAGCAATGTGGGAAGGTTTTTAAGAGCCTTACTAATCTAAAACACCACATACCACTGCATACAAGAGATGAAGTTTATGAATGCTCTTTCTGTCCCAAAAAATATTACATAAGATACAGCTTTGAAAAACATTTTAAAACTCATGTTAGTGCACCAAAGTTTCATTGTGAGATTTGTGACAAACATTTCATTGAAAAGAAACAATTTGAAGTTCATTTAGAGAGACATCAGACTGGTGGAAGCTTAGGAAGAAGTAAAGACCTGAAGTGTAATAATTGTGGAGATATTAGAACTCCGAGTGAATTAGAACTAGTAAGTGAGACTGATTCAGGTCACCATAAGAAGTGCTTAGTGTGTGGAAAGGGACTATATAAAATATACATGATAGAAAATGTGGATGTATCATTTCAAACCAAGAGTGATAAACTAAGGGAGCAATGTAAAATATGTGGAAAATCTGTCCTTAATCTCCAAAGGCATGTGAAGTATACTCATTTAGAAAACGAATATGTACCTTGTGACATATGTGGGTTGGTAGTAACAAAAGCATCATTACCGTCTCACAAAAATCGTAAGCATGGTGGATCTGCAGTGACTTGTGATCATTGTAACAGAGTGTTCAAAAATATAATGTGTCTAAGGGAACATATGACTAAGGTTCGACGAAAGGCAGACCCAACCAAGAACGTATGCAAATTTTGCAAAGAAATGGTTGCTCCTGAATTCTGGAAAGATCATATGATGAAGCACCGGACAAAGTGCAATGACTGTGGTGCTTCAAATTTTCCAACTCATGTAGAATTTATGGCTCATCTTGAGACTTGCAGGAGGTGCAGCAATTGTGGCACAACAGATTTTACTTCACGGGGGGAGTTTTTGGCTCATATTGAAGTGTGTGGCAGCAGCATTGACATAATGACTGGTACCCTGGACTCTTCTAATGACCAAGAAGTTGTGACTAGTATATTTGCCATAGTGGATGATAGCACTTGCTGTGAAACATGTGGTGATGTATTTGAAAGTCAAGGTTCTCTTTCTCATCATATTACAGAAGCTCACCCAAATGCACTTTCATCTAGTCACATTTTACATCAAAATACCATGATTGATGAAGCCATCTTGTATGCTTGTCCTCAGGAATCATGTGAAGTTATTGTTACAAGCAAAGAATTATTAAAAGATCATATTAGTAGCATACATGATACACAAATTGAAAACCTTGATAATTTCACATAATTATTTTATATTAAGACTTGTAAATAAATATGTAAATTTGTTCTGATATGTTTTATTTATACAAATATAAGTACAGTATTATAATTTTTCTTTTTCTATTTTAAGTATTCTGCAAGCTAGTATGTATTGCGTTAATTGTATTCAGGTACTGCTGGGTACTCCTAGTCTTTGTATATATTGTGCAACCAAAGTACCATCACATAACCTGATATACATTAATAACTAATCAGTTACTTCTACACGTGCACTTCTTCCTTATTAATAAAAAAATCACAGTACTAAACAGGACTGCTAATTTCATGCATCCTTATTGTACTCCAAATTCCATCTCTTAATAACTTTATGATGTACTTTTTTAAAGCACCTGCACAGGAGGAATTAAGTGAATTTCTGCCATTTAGATACCCTAAGAATTTATTTTTTTTAGACAAGTGAAATGATGTCACGACATCATTACAGTACTTGGCTAGTTTCTACGAGATTTTTAGATTAGGCTTGTTACTGCAATTAATGGATTTTCTTGTTTTAGTAAAATTTTCACCCCTGAAAACAACTTCATGACTTGTAACTGTGAGAAACAGTCGAACAATGGTCCACAATGTTGTTGTATATATGAGCCACATTATAGTGTTGAAAGGTGTGAAGAGGACCCCAGCTTGCATCACAAAAGTGAATAAAACTTAATTATTACCCCAATTATAAAAGTAAGTACAGTATAAGAAATTGCCACTGTACTTACTTTTAATTATTAAAGTGCAGGAATGCATTTTAAAATTCCTACAGAAATTCTGTAGGAATTTTGTATACTGTATATATATATACTATATATATATATATATATATATATATATATATATATATATATATATATATATATATATATATATATATATATATATATATATATATAAATATATATATATATATATATATATATATATATATATATATATATATATATATATATATATATATATATATATATATATATATATATATATATATATATATATATATATATATATATATATATATATATATATATATATATATATATATATATTTATATATATATATAAATACAGTATATATATATATATATATATATATATATATATATATATATATATATATATATATATATATATATATATATATATATATATATATATATATATATATATATATATATATATATAATATATAATATAAAACAAGCTTAGGTATACACAGCAATGTGCTGCTACCCAATTCTATATGAAAGATTACACAGTGTTGATCAAAAATTAGCTGTAAGTTCATCTATCTCACAGGATGGTTAGTCAGACATGGAATCAGGGGAGAAAATGCCATCCTCAATACAAAAACAAATCAACTCTGACTAAAAATCAGGTGAGAACATGAAGTGTAAGGCTGATCTATTAGCCTCCACTATCAAAATCTGGGTACAGCACAAGGATATCTTTCAATATTCCTGAGTATATGAAATGATTACAGAGCTCAAAGTACCTCATATCATGAAATCACTGATTTTATTACTAAACCCCCTTGTAGCAGTTGTCTTAAGGAGAGGGCAGTCGAGAGTGGCTTCTGCTCCCATCTACATTTTGTAACTATACACACAAAGATCCAGGATAGCAAGAGAAAATGGGGTCTGCACCTACATAAACAAAAATGCTTCCCTCCGTTTCCACCCAAGATGCAAATTAGAGATCAGCCTAAGCTTTGTCTAAAGGCAAAGTTCAATGCCTTAAGCCATATTGATGCTCTGTCCATAGAGCATTCTCTCTCTCAAATCATATACACTGATGGTTCCCTAGACTGCCCCATGGGTGCAGCTGGAATTGTAGTTATCCTGACAATGGGAAATGGCTTATATTTTGAGTGGCGAATCCATATAGACAACTGGACCAAGTCTCCAAACTTGATACATTAATTGTAAGCGACTTTTTTTTTAAGACATAACTGTAAAATGCTTGTGTCTGAAGCTAGACACAAATACAACAAATGCCCATTGGATGGAGGGGGGGGGGGGCAGTATGCAGGATAAATATATCACTTGTAACACTAGCTCTCCACATGTCAGTTGCTTAATTTAGAAACTGTACTTGTGGTCGGTCTCGAGCCCATTGTTAATATGAGGATGTGCATTGAATTTTGTAGCTAGCTCTTCAAGACTAACTTGCTTAGCTAAATTAATTGTGGGGTTTAGTCCCTGAGCCCATTATGTGCCTCTGTAACCCTTTCCACTACTGCCCCACAAGATGTGTTTGGGTGCATAATAAATGAATAAACTAAACTGTTATAATGATGATGTGCCGCTATGGAACGAAGTACCCTTTCTTCACAGATCAACACGCTCACTTTCAAATATTTACCTGAGGGCCACTAACATTCTAGTGGCATCGACGAGGCCAAGAAGCTGGCGGCTTGTCAAAGGCTCCCCCGGTTGTCCTAATGATTTTTTTCAACCAGTTTTTTTAATAACGTTTTGGTATTCATAATACAGTAATAATAAATAATTTTATTTACAAGGTTCAATAGGTTTGTGAGATTACATAAGATTGGTATTTTTACATTCTTGCAAAGCACTTTTTTTTTTTTTAATAACAAGCTTAGGTATATACAGCAGTGTACTGCTACCCTATTCTATATGAAAGATTACAAAGTATAGATCAAAAACTAGCTATAAGTTCATCTAATATTCCCCTCTCACAGGATGGTTAGTCATAAATGGAATCGGAGAAAAAAATACCTGCCTCAATACAAAAAACAAATCAACTCTGACTTAATACTTCACGATTTTCACAAGAGCTAAGCTCCGAATCATGGAAACATTACATTATAATTACTCATACCAGTTTCTACAAGACTCCTCTCAAACAATGTCTTTCAAAATAAGGAAAACCCAGCACTCCTGAAAGGAACAACACTTGAAACCATTGATTCCTTTATAAATACCTTACTGCCTCACAAACACTATGCATACACTCTGTTCAAATGTCAACAGGTTGCACTGCAGCAGGCTGTAAAATATACATGTACAAAGATAACATATGTACACAGACCACAAGTGTCTGACTGAATAACTGGCTTTGCTCCACACATACAGAGTTAGCTGTATTACAACTTGCCACTAACGCACTAATGAACAGTGAGGGAGTAATTTTGTGATTCAAAGTCGGCTCTTCAGGCCCTTAAAAACCCAACATGCAAAATAGATACAGTGCTAGGAATGTTGTAACATCCATTATTAAAGCAAAGAGCAAGAGTTTAAGTCTCATTTGTATGGATACCATCTCACATAGGTGCTGTCCAGCATGACGACACAAACAAGGCAGCTAAAACTGCATGTGATGAGCCTGAAATTGAGTTGGATATGGACATTCCAATTTCTGCTGTAAAAGTCGCAATATTTAAGTTAATTAGAGAAGACAAAAGAGTAGTCTTCTGTCTTCTCTAAACACACAAAGACTAGAAAGCACAAGTATAAAGAGCTATGACATATTTAGAACTGAGAATTATATATATGGGCAACATAAAACATCTACTAGACAGTGTGACTTTGTGAACAAGAGCTGGGACATATTCTCCAACACTATATTTATGACTGCCCTTTTTAAGTAACTTCAGACCAAATGGTGAGGTGCGTTGAGCTCTGTAATTACTATATACATTCAGGAATATTGGAAGATATCCTTGTGCTGTACCCAGATTTTGCTAGTGGAGGCTAATAGATCAGCCTTACATTTTATGTTCTCTCCTGATTTTAGGTTAGAGTTGATTTGTTTTTGTATTAAAGCTGGTATTTTTTCCCCTGATTCCATGTATGACTAACCATCCTGAGAGATGGGAATATTAGATGAACTTATAGCTAGTTTTTGATCCACACCGTGTAATCTTTCATATTAAATAGGGTAGCAGTACATTACTGCATATACCTAAGCTTGTTAATAAAAAAATATATATTTTTATGGTTCTAATCTACTCAGGTGTAGGTGATATATAATCCCCAAATCTATTTTTTTGTTATTTTTTTTAATTTTTTGTTTGTATTCCTTGAAAATGTCTTGGAACAAAATCGCTCGAAATTTTAGTTTTGTATTCCAATGTAGATATTTACACATAAGCATAAAGTATATATATACACAGACTTCCTGTCCCCGACAAAAGTAATTAAATTAAATTATTTGGGAAAGACGTAAGTTTGAACTTCCCTCCACGTGATATTGGCAGCTTTGCTCGAGATTGGCAAGCCTGTTGCTCGAGTTTTCAGTAAGCCTTTTCGTTTATTATTTATTCCTTCATTTTATCGTAATTTTCTTGTTTGAAAATGATATCAAAGTGCACAAAGGGAAATAACCAGTTTGTATGAGTGGGAGAGAAGGAGAGGTGGAGGTGTGTGAGAGGAGCGAGGGGCGGGGAGTGACGCCATCCTGTCAGTTGTTGTGACGGAGAGTGACCCGAGCGATCCACCAACCGTTCCCCTCTCGAAATTACATTTCATAAACAGTTTTTTTTGTATGAAACTACCCATTTTAAGTGTATAAATATGTCTGCCTTATTTGCATGTTCTCGGTGCTTCAGCCGGCACCCGTTCGAGGAGCTCTCTCAAGGGCAGCAACTGTGCAAGGTGAGTGTGTGGAGGAGGAGCACCGCTGCGGGAGTCATGGTTGTCACCGGTGTTGTAATGCCTGGCTTTCTCTCTCCCCCTTTGTCTCCCTCCCAGGCTAACTCCCAGGCTTGCCCCCAGGCTAGCTCTCAGGCTCGCACCCAGGCTAGCTCCCAGGCTAACTCTCTGGCCCGCCCTCACCTCCGTCAGCTGGTGGAGCAGTGTGGGGGTCAGGTCAGGTCAGGGCCAGACTGCCTGGGTGCCAAACCTTGCCCTTTTCCATCCTCGGTTTAGTCTATAACATTATTTAATATACAAAAAATATTCCATAGGGTTTGATTGCATTTTACTTTGTATTTACATTTTGTTTTAATACTCTTCATATGCAGCATTTAGGATCATTGAAATAACCAAGTAATTTTTCCCGGCTTTATTATTTCTTAAATTATGTGTTGGGTTTATCCAAATCTATCCTAACCTGACCCAACGGGAAGAAAATGGATTAATTTTTTGTTGTCATGTGTGGGAGGCATATGGCATTTTAGAATTAATTCCGGGGCAGTTTTTGGAAGCTTCTGCAAGGAGCTGAATGAACTGAAAAATTCTAATTTTGCTTTTCTTAAATTGCAGAGTTGCATATGAGATATATTCATAGGAAAGTCACTTTTCTGTGTGTATGTTGGTGCGATTTGACCACTCAGTCTTCAATGAAATGGGTTAAAAATTATTGATATTTGTCGGAAGTCATTGTATACAAAAACAAGGAAATGACAAATATCTATCTATATTAAGGGTCCCAGTAGTACAGTCGGGTTAGTTCTCAACACACAATCGAGAATTCCGGGTGGGACAGAAATGGTTGGGTACATTTCCTTTCACCTAATGCACCTGTTCACCTAGCAGTAAGTACGTACTCGGGAGGGTCAGTAATTCAATCTTGGGGGGGGGGGGACCTCAATTAAAGCCTAATGTGTATGAATACACTCTGGCTTCCTGTACCCTGACACAATGAATTATTTTAATAATAATAATAATATGCATTTTCGATCGACATTTTGCTTAGTACAGCTGAAAGATGAGCATCCCATCGTGGCTGCAAAAGTGCCAAGGCAAGTTGTAGCCTTCTGTGGAATCTAGGTGATGCATATCAATTTCATTGTGTAGTCGAAGATGTAAGAACATAATTAGCAGCTGCCAGTGCGGCGAATCTGTTCCGTTCTGGGCAGTGCCCATCTAGATCCAACCCCTTTTCCCCATGTGTCTATCAAGTCTGTTTTTAAAGCTAGCTATACCATTTGCCTCAATGATGTAGGCTAGCAACTTACTCCACTCATATACCACTCTGTTGCCAAATTAGTATTTCCCTATATCTTTCCAGACTCTGTACTCCAGATTGTAGCCAGTTACAGGTTCTGATCTAGTCAGATAAGCTTTCAACTTATTATATTTTACTAATTTTGTGTTAATTTTATATTTGGAATTTGTTTTACTAAAATTTACTAAAATTAAATATTATTTCTGGTCTTAAATTGTATACTTCATTTTAATCAAATATTTCACTTATACAGGATTGAATGCAAGGACCAGGGACCAAGTTGGTCATAGGTTTTTTTTTCCAAAAGGACCGTGACAATATATTGACATATGCTGTCATTTAAGAGTTAATTACTATCGCTGTATATCTTAATACTGTACAATATTGATCTTAAACTCTCAGACAAATATCATGGTCAGCTGTTTGTTGTGGCAGAAGGTAAGATGGAGAAGATTTTCAAGCTAGGCTAGTGCATTGAGAGGAGTAAAATCTCCTGGAGCATAAGGCCTAGATGAGTACAGAACAGTAATGGTCGGTAGAAGCAAAGAAATAACAGAGCTTAGCCAAACACTATTTGCTACTGAGATTATCATTGTAATATAATACTGTACATTGATTCTGGATCCTCTTGCATCAGGATTTCCATCAGAACAAGATGCTATTTTTATATGACTTTTATTAATGATTTCTAAATATTAATTGCATTTATGTATGCCAAATCACATAGGGACCTTACCTTACCTTGACCTTAGGGAGGAGGATGCAGGTATACAGAACTGTATAACTAAAACTTAATCCTGATTTAGTCCTCTCCAATGATTGTTTTTATCTGTATATTTAATCTAGTACATACATACATCTTCAGGTGAACCCAGATTCCTATTAAACCAGTGTTGGGTAGACATCACTAACGTATGGGAGAGGGGTACCGTATTTATTAGATTCAGTGAGGATATGGATGCTGGTAGTTCTTATCCATGCTAATGGAAATTTACACACGCTGCAGTCTGCATGTTGGATAGAACTAAAATGAGAAACTGAATTTGTTTAAATGATTATTTTTTGTGGTTTACCTTGTAACAAACAGTCTGCCTTCAGCAGTACAACACCACAGCTGTTTGTCTAACACCTTTTATTGTTAACTTGGATAGCTAGGGTCTTTCTTAATGATGAGTCACATTAATGATTTTAATTTGTTAAAAAATGAAAAACTTTGTAAAATATTTATATAATTTATGTAAGTAGATTATTGTTGTGTAGTTGTACATAAACTGTTGTGTGTATATCTTAGTTTTGTTTGGTCATACATCTATTGCAAATTGAACATTCACATTCAAAAAATCATTTAGCTTCATTTCTATAGTCCATAGTATTATTAGTGTTTTCATACTTTGACACTTTACCATTGTATATAGACATGTTCTTTCTGTAAGAGTTGGTTAAATGTATATTTTAAATTATTTTTTATTTTTTTCCAGGAGTGTAGAGGTTCGTTTCCCATTGTAAAATGCACATACTGTCGAAGTGAATTCCAACAAGAAAGGTAAGGAAAGTCTTGGATGGGGCATTTCTTTATATAAAACATTAAATACTGTAAAGCGAAAGTTTTTTTTTTTTTTTTTTTTTTTTTTTTTTTTTTTTTTTTTTGGGCCGTTATGACGCCATGACATTTTTTCCATGGTGCTGTATCTGCAATTAAATATAAAATACAGTACAATATATATAAAATAATTATATGACCCTTACCTACATATCATTTAACAGCAACAGTTCTTTTGATTACAAGTCTGAAAATAACCAAAATAAAATACTTAAATATTGCATTTGTGCAAAATTTGAAAATTACCATTAGTCCAAAAATTCAGTGCTTCTTGGTTCTCATAAGGGCTTCTCAAAGAGAACATTGTCTGGTGATGACTAGTGGTGTGGGTGTTACATATTTCATTAAAGAATGCTACAGAAAGTTGATACTACTGTAATTGAAAGAAAACTTTTATTAAAAAATTAAGTACTTTTGAATTTAATTCGTGCTATTCATGCCCGTGCCACCTCTTGGGTAGCTTAATCTCTTGCCTCCCTTTCATGTAATAGTCTTGCCTTGATAAGTAACAAAGAATACACTAATATTAAACACATTTCTTTACACATATACTGTAGTTGCACATATAAATTGTTACATAAAATACAAACATTGTTAGGCTTACATGGTGGGAAATAGGGGTAACATAATACAGTATCTTTAATCTGAAAACATCAGATCTGTAATGGGCTTAACCTAAATTGTTTTAAGTTTGAATGCCGAGTTTGTTATGTACCACAGATATAGCAATAAAGTACAATACTGTATAATTCAGTAGCATAATGCTGCTGTACTTGAAATACTAATTTTGTCTGGAATATTGTATAGGATTTTCATCCTATATTTCAGTATGCATCCCATTACTGCACCTCATTCATTAAGATTTAAAGATGATAAAATAGCAAAAAACTTATTGAATACTAGACATAGATATAGACAGTAATATGTACACCTATATGGCACGTAAACCAGTTCCTGGCACAGCTCAAAGGAAAGGTCTTAAAAACAAACATAACCTGAAGTCCACATGAACTTTAGAAGTTTGGTGGCATTGAGCTGGTGTAGTTATAAGTTAAATAGGAAAGGTAAGGAAACAAAGCTGCCGAAAACTTAAAAAAGTTCACTTTTGCAAACACAGTGGGAGACAGTTGGAGACATTGTACCCAAATGCAGCTTTTACATGTTACACACTCGTGCACTGGTGTAGGTAATGAAGTTTTCCACCAAATGCCCTCATCAGTTAACAACTTCAGGTTGTTTTGCTCTGAAGCTTGTCATGGTCTAGTGGGCAATGCATGCATTTGGGGTGACCTGGGACAGAAGCTTGATTCCATTGGACTGTTCTAAAGTTTTTCTCGTGTATATAATGCTATTGTGATTTCATTAATAATTGTTAATGGTATCCAGGGAAAAAGAACGTCGTCATATTAGAAGTTTAATAAAAATACAGAGAATATAAAATATATGTTCCTTTCATATCAAAATGGTCCCTCCTCCCCTCCCCAGGAAAAAATTGTGATTATTGGCTGTATGTATTTACAGTATGTTAAGAGGAAAAGTTTTTTTTTTTTAATATACATGTCATAAGAATAATTTTCCATCAGGGTAGTTACAAGATGAGTTATGCCTATGGTGTCCCATCTTCCCAGGACTCTTGTCTTATAACTTTCAGACACTACTGATGGTTTTGGCATCTACCACCACCTCACTTGCTCCAACTGTCTTCCACTGTATTTGCAAAAGTGAACTTTCTTAAGTTTTTGGCAGCTTTGTTTCCGTACCTTGAATCTATGATCTCTCGTTCTTAAAGTTCTAAGTTTCAAGAATTCTTATTGTCAAATTTGTTGATTCTTGTTATTATTTTGTGCATTGTGATCATATCGCCTCATTTTCTTTTATATTCTAGCTTTGGTATATTTAACCATCTCTAGCCTCTCATAGAAGTTGTCTTTGCACCTGCTCCAGTTGTTGTGCTTCTTGAGATATGGACACCATACAACTGTTGCATATTCCAATTTTGGTCTCGTCAAGATTGTGAATAGCGTCTTTAATATTTCGCTATCCTTATATGCAAAGGCAATTTTGAAGTTAGAGGGCATAACATAGGCGCCTCGCACAATGTTCATTATGTGGTTTTCAGGTGAGTTTTCTATCCAGAACTGCCTCTAGATCTCTCTCTTTATCAGAGTTCTTTAACTTAAAGCCTTTTCACAAAATTTGTAAGTTGGTTGTGGCCTGTTTTCTTCTGTTCCTCGTTCCATAAGGTTGCATTTATACACTTTAAATTCAATCTGCCAAGTGTCCATGGAAAAAAAGGTCATATACAGTACAACCAACATAAAAATGGGAAAGTTTATCTTGTAGATGATGTTACCAACCTAACAAGAATATTTAAAAATGCATTAGAAAAGTTAAAAGAATTTATTAAGTACTGTACATACAACAGGATAGGTAAATCCTTAAGATTCTTACAGATATACTTGATGAGACAAAGCTTATGAAGAAGACTGAGCTATTAAAAAATGACAGGTTAATTATGTGATAAATGTCAAAGAAAGTTGTGGCATTCTAAATACAGTAAGTACTACTGTGCCTCTGTATTTAGTAAAGACGACTCGACTTGAAGAAATGTGCAATATGTAGGTGGTAAAGAAGATGAGTTTGTTAGTGGAGACCAAGGAGGAAATTGCTGATTATACAAATTATAGTCCAATAGGTTGTCATGACAAGACGAAGTCTTTGCCAGGACATTTAATGAATGTAAAAATGAGCTTAGCAAGCCATGGTTTTGCATGCTTGATAATCATAATAGGACAGAGTACCAAAATTTTTGGAGGGTTGCTGATGTCGAGTCAGTTAAAAAAAACAAAACAAGATATTGTGTATTACTTGCATCAATCTGTCTGCTAATTGGCTTAGTTTGTTGTAGAGAAAATAGAATCAATAATCACAAACTTCATTAATTTACATTTAAAAAACAAGAGTAATAAGAGTGTCACAATAAGGTCTTTACAATGGGATGTGCATGTTTAAAATCAAAAGAAAGTCCTAGCATATTTCAAGCAGATGGTAGTGGAAAGAATTGATTTTTTCCTTAACTTTAGGAAAACCATTGCTTCTGGCTCAAAAGACAACTTAGAAAGATAGTGGCACATGGTATTAGGGATTAACCTAAGTTTGAGTAGTGCATGATTTTTTAAAAGCAAACGGGGTTATAATAAATTAACTTGTCTGAATGTGGGGCACTGTTGAAAGTGACCTTCCCGGGCTCTGTGCTGAAATCTGTTGTTTCTACATACAGTACCAGTATATAAATGGTTTTGACATGATTCAGATGTGGATTGAACAGTAGCATTTGGAAATTTGTAGATAATGCAGTAACAGGGCAATAAATAATTTCAAAGTCATAATTCCAATGATTAAAATATATAGGCTTTTAAAATTTATAAATGTTTGCAGGTGCAATTTAATGCTGACACGTGTAGGGTTCTGAGCCTAGGAAATAATATAGCAGTTGGCAAAATATCAGCTGAATTATGTTGAAAATGTCAAATATATGTGGAAAAAAGTTTTGACAGGTGTGATTAGTTTAGCCAAAACATCATTGTATATACAGTATGTATAAAATAATGCTGAAAGGTTACTGGGATTCGAAAAGCATAAGCAATAAATCATTTAATGATGTTGTTCAGAATTATCTTACCCTCGTTAGTTCGTATTTAGGTTATAATAGGAATCGACCAAATTGGCAAAGAGGAATTCCTGAAACCAGCAATGTCAAGTACAAAAGGTCACAGATTCAAGCTAAGGAAACTAAGGTGTTGAACAAATATTAGTAAGTTTTCTTTTGCAAACAGAGTAGTAGGTGGTTGGAGCAAGTGAGGTGGTGGTGGAGGCCAAAACCGTCAGTAGTTTCAAAACGTTATACAACAATGGGTGCTGGAAAGACAGGACACCACGAGCATAGCTCTCATCCTGTAAGTACTCTTGTGTAATTACATACACAGAGTAGGAGGGCGGGCGAGAGAAGTAGGGCGGGCAAGAGAGAGAGGGAGGGCGAGAGAGAGGGAGGGCGGGCGGGCGGGCAAGAGAGGGGGGGAAGAGCGAGAGAGGGAAGGTGGGCGAGAGGGAGGGAAGGTGGGCGAGAGGGAGGGAGGGAGGGCGGGCGGGCAAGGAAGGGGAGGATGGAGGGTGGGTGAGAGAGAGAGGGAGAGAAGAGGTTGAGAGAGTGTGAGAGAAAGAGGCTGAGAGTGAGCGAGAGAAAGAGGCTGAGAGTGTGAGAGAAAGAGGCTGAGAGTGAGTGAGAGAGAGAAAGAGGCTGAGAGAGAGAAAGAGATGAACCTCTATTTAATTAATGGAGTGAAACAAATAACAGAAGTGCCTAGGAATGCTAGGTAATTGCAAAATGATGATACTGGGAAGCTATGATCAATAAAGTGAGACCTTTCAAAGAAAAACAGAAGCTAATACTAAACCTTGAAGTGAAACGTGTAAATGGGAGTAGGAATGGAGAATATTTTTCTGCAAGGTGATAGGGATTGGGAAGTTTTTGAAATGGTAACCATAGACCTCAATTATAGACCTGTATCATTGACAAGTGTAATAGTCAAAATATTGGAAAAAATAATTAAAACTAAATGGGTGGAACACCTGGAGAGAAATGACATATCAGACAGTATAGTTTTTGATCTGGAAGATCCTGTGTATCGAATTTATTCAGTTTCTATTATCGAGCCGCAGAGATTCTACAGGAAAGATGTGGTTTGGTTGACCGCATCTATCTAGACCTAAAAAAGGCTTTTGACAGAGTTCCATATAAGAGGTTGTTCTGAAAACTGAAACATATTGGAGGGGTGATAGGTAAGCCTCTAACATGGATGAAAAATTTTCCAACTAATAGAAAAATGAGGGCAGTAATCAGAGGCAATGTATCGGACTGGAGAAATGTCACAATTTTGAAATGTCTTCTCGTGAAGTGGAGTACCACAGGGTTCAGTTCTTGCACCTGTGATGTTCATTGTTTACATAAATGATCTGCCAGATGGAATATAGAATTATGTGAACATGTTTGCTAATGATGTTAAGATAATAGGAAGGATAAGAAACTTTGATTGTTATGCCCTTCAAGAAGACCTGGACAAAATAGGTACTGTATATGGAGCACCACTTGGCAAATGGAATTTAACGTGCATAAATGCCAGGTTATAGAATGTGGAATAGAACATACATGTAGATCCCACACAACCTATAAATTATGTGGAAAATCTTTAAAGACTTCTGATAAAGAAAGAGATCTAGGGGTGGTTCTAGATAGAAAACTATCACCTGAGGATCACATAAAGAACATTGTGCAAGGAGCCTATGCTATGTATTTTAACTTCAGAATTGCTTTTAAATTCATGGATGGCGAAATACTAAAGAAATTGTTCACGACTTTTGTTAGGCCAAAGCTAGAATATGCAGCGGTTGCATGGTGCCCATATCATAAGCAGCACATCAACAAACTGGCAAAGGTACAAAGACATGCTATTAAGTGGCTCCCAGAGCTGAAGGGCAAGAGCTATGAGGAGAGGTTAGAGGTTTTAACATTTTTGCATCACACTGACACTAAAATACAGCATCCTATTGCTTTTCATAAATATCCACATACTGTACTGTATTCATTGCTGTCACACACAATCTATTATAAATACTGTATTTTTTTCATTTATTCACTAGAGAATTAAATTTCAAACATTTTGACACCAAATTTATAGTTATACCCAACAAATAACTTAGAAAATGTAAAACAGTTGTAAACATATTTTGCATTGCTGCACAAGGAGCCAAGAATGTTTGCAGGCAAGAAGATGTGGAGAAGCCACATCACCAAAGTGTTAAAAATGCCAAAGCTAGAAGGGAAAAGAAAGAGGCGATATGATCACTACATACAAAATAATAACAGGAATCTTCAGAATTAACAAAGGAGTTTCCTTGAAACTTGAAACTTCAGGAATAAGGGGTTATAAATTCTAAGAAGCCAAAATATAATTGAAAATCCTCTTTTGAAAACAGTAGTAGATGATTGGAACAAGTTGTGAGGAGTTGTGAGGTGGTGGTGTATGCCAAAACCATCAGTAGGTTAGGAGTATAATATGACATTATTGGAAAGACAAAACACAGTGAGCATAGCTCTCATCCTGTAGCTATACTTAGGTTCTGTACATGCCTGCACGTACATACGTGTGGGGGATTTCCAGAACTTAAGAACAGCTATGAGGAGAGGCTGGAGGCATGTTTAATGCCTCCAGCCTCTCATGGAGTTGGAAGATAGGAAGAAGAGAGGTGATATGATCACTGCATACTAAATAGTAATATGAATTGACAAAATTGACAAGGAAGATTTTTTTTTAAACCTACAACTTAAAGAGCAAGAGGTCATGGATTCACTTTAAGGAAACAAAGGTGTCAAAAAATATACAGAAGTTCTCTTATGAGCTGTTATAAAAGATTAAACAGTTTCAAGTGAGAAGGCAGTGGATTCCAAAACTATCGGTGTACAGTATCATGACAGATTGTTGGAAAGATGGGACACCATGAGTGTAGCTCTCATCCTGTAACTGCATTTGGGTAATTACACGCAGTACTCTACAAAAGTATGTGTCCTACCTTGAGGCGGTGCATACTTGTGGCATAAAAGGAATGATAGTTTTGTGGGTGAAATATGAGACAGAAGTTTGTGCTGGGAACATGATGTTGGGGTTCCCCAGTTTCCCGGAGGCATACAGCTGATGGGCTCGTTTGGCCCCGGACATTCATAGTGAGTGGTTGTGTTGCATATATCACTCTGGCACTTCGCTGTTTGTTATCGCAATTAACAGTGGTGTTGGTGCTTTTAACTCCTTTGCATTCATATAGATTATTAAAACCATGCTTACTTAATTTGCATGAAAACCTGGAGGTGATAACTAAAATCAACCAAGGATAACTGCATTATGTCTATGATCATCGTATAAAGATTACCACACTTTAAGGGTTAAAAGCAAATAATATAAATTTTAAGATATAACATAAATCTTGTAAATAGACTCAAATTTACATAATTTGTACAAAAGAGTATACTGTATATCACTTGCATGCAATGTAAAAATTTATCAAATAACTGAATTTCTAAACAAAATTTTAGATGTAGATGAGGTATGAAATTTGAGAATTGTGTGTTACTGTATTCTTAGCATTTTTTGTCTGTATGGGGTGATTTTTCTTCTCTTGAGATAGCAGCACCTACTTGGGTTGAGCTCTGGCTCCTTGGTCCCACCTCTCAACTGTCAATCAACTGTGTACAGGTTCCTGAGCCAACTGGGCTCTTATCATATCTACATTTGAAACTGTGTATGGAGTCAGCCTCCACCACATCACTGCCTAATGCATTCCATCTGTTAACTACTCTTACACTGAAAAAGTTATTTCTAACGTCCCTGTGGCTCAGTTAGGTATTCAGTTTCTACCTGTGTCACCTTGTTTGCCTACCCCCACGTGTTAAACTGTTTATCCTTATCTACCTTGTCAATTCCTCTGAGAATTTTGTAGGTAGTGATCATGTCTTCCCTTACTCTTCTGTCTTCCAGAGTCATGAGGTGCATTTCTCACAGCCTTTCCTCGTAACTCATGCCTCTTAGTTCTGGGACTAGCCTAGTGGCATACCTCTGAACTTTTTCCAGCTTCTTCTTATGCTTGACAGGGTGCGGGCTCTATGTTGGGGCCACATACATGTTGTGTGTGTGATTTTTTTTTTCTATTCATAAATTTTCTTTTCATTTCAGCAAAAGCAGCACTGTCACAATCTGCAAGAAATGTGAATCCATGGTTAAACAATATGGTAAGCCTTCAGCGTGTGAATACTGTAACGTTATAGCAGCCTTCATTGGTAACAAGTGCCAACGTTGCACCAATTCAGAACGTAAATATGGTCCACCTCTGTCATGTGACCAATGCAAGCAGAAATGTGCATTTGACAGAAAAGATATTGACAGGAAAAAGGTGAGTGAAAGTTTGTTTGTATAGTACAGCAAATAATGGTCTTCCTTGTGCATACATAGCTGCTATGCTAAGATTTCTTTTACTGCATTATCACATTTATCAAGTGCCTATACATAATTCATGTACACGTATGACTAATACTGGTGGAGGTTTTATATTTTTTTTTTTTGTATGTGTTAAAAAGCAATATTTTGGTTTTCCTGTTTTATGACTTTTCTGAACAGGTTGAACAGGTTTCTACCAAGTCAAGGGGTAGTGTTCAAATTGTCTAACAAAAAAAATTACATCACATAGTGATTCTGATAAGTGTACGATTACTTAATTTACACTGAGGGGAAAGTTATTATCATTATCATTATTATTATTATTATTATTATTATTATAATTATAAGAAGTCAAATGATATGGGAGCAAAATGTTTTCAAGGGTTTCCAACATTACAGTATTATTTGATTCATGTCAAGCATACATACTTTCTTTTTTATGAAAGTACTATATTTGAGTTTTACTGTCCAATTACAGCACTTAATTATTTTCAGAGTTTGATGCTTTCACATCCTAAAGACAAATATTTTTTATCACTTTGAAAACAACAAACCCATGGCACTGCATTACATACATCTGCAGTAGTAACTCGCCAGATTAAATGTCTGTCCTTATTCTAAATTTTGTTTCCATCATTTCTAGTTGTGGTCTTTGCCATTAGAGAAAATATGAGTAGTTTTCTTACATTTAGTCATCACTTAACTCATCCCATTAAATAGCTTCTCTCATTTTTTCAACCATTTAGTGCAATTTCACACACTTCCTAAACATTTCTTGTATAGCCTATATCCCACAGTGTGTCAGTAAGGTTTATTTGTTCATAGTATCTGGCTCCATAATGATAACCATTTGATCTTGTGTACTCGTTTACCAATTCTCTGGCATTCAGCATTAAACTTGCCAACTTTGATTCTTAAACCCCTAGGTTCATTGTGAGTATGATTAGCCTTCCTGCTTTTGACATCATCTTGTACAGTCTAACATATGAGAAGACAATCATCTAGGTGTAGTATGCTTATTACCTTCCCCCCCTCTCATTCCCCCTTATCTCTCTGTCCACCCATCCCTTTTTTTCTCAGAACACAGAGAGACAGACAGTGGTACACACTTGGAAGAAATTAACTGAGAAGGCAGTGGTTGCCAAAACCATCAGTAATTTCAAAGCATCATAGAACAGAGTACTGGGAAGACAGGGACACCATAAGCATAGCTCTCATCCTGCAACTATACTTGGGTAATTATACCTAGGTATAATGACACATGCGCACGCACACACACCTTGCATTGAAATTTTATAAGGTTTTGATTTTATTTGCAGGTAGATGGAAAAATATTATGTTGGCTATGTACACTCTCATACAAGCGAGCATTGGCAAAAACAAAAGTCACAGATCCTGCCAGACATTCTCATATAAAACTTGGGATGCGGTCTGGTCACCATGAGAAAAAAGACAAGTAAGTTAGCAATACTTGTAGTGTAATACTTCTCATAATTCCTCACAAACCTGCTTTTTGGATTTCATTCACATGATGATGTTTCCCGGGACAATATTGTCATGGTTCGATGAAGCACATTATTTGGCTGTAGTATATATTTTTCATTGTATCCGCTAAGTATTTTCTGTATTAAAGTTAGCGTAAGAGTCAAATACTGGGAATCAATTAAAAAGATTAAAAAATTCAGATGGTATTATGGATGTTTGACTCCTTGAACTGTCTCCCTTATTAACTGTTCTGTCCTGGTCTCTTTTCCACTCCCAACTGCATTTATATATTTTGCATTAAACTAGTAGCAATTTGTTCACCCATTTCTGCTGCCTGGCCACAACCTCTTGTCAATAAGGAATTGCATAATGCTGCATTAGAAGTTTACATATTGGAGCACAAACCGTATGTCACTGGATGTTCAGATTTTCATGGAAAATGTCTTGATGTATGGTGACTGATTTGGCTCAAAATGTAACCAGAGGAACAGAATGTTGCAAAAAAAAAATCATTACAGTTGTAGAGAAATATGTTCACTCAATCTTTCCCAGCCAGTATATGCAGTAGTGAACATTGTAATATTACAATGGAGTCTAACTTGATTGAAACATTAGGTTCTGGGTTCATTCTGCTGCAAAAAAAAAAAACTACAAAAAGTACAGTTGCCAGCAAAATTTTGCTTTATGAATTTTGTATACACAAAAGTGTGGCTTTTATTCATGAAAGTTATAGACCATATTAGCACATTTCTAGATGAAAATCAGATAAGATTAATTTATAAAATATTGTAAAATAGTTATTCAGTATGTGGTTAAGTTTTTTAAAGACTTTAGACCAGCATACCTGTTCAGCAAATGTGAAGGCCTACTTCACCAGAAGCATTTCACTATTTTCCATTGCAGAGATTCCATTAGACTTCAGATAGGAAAGAAAACATAATTGTGTGTTTATGAGAGAGAAAAAACTATTGTTTGACAGCAAAGTTAGTCACTTGGGGCATTTTACCTGGCCAGGCTCAGAATAGTCTTACAGGAGCTAGAAATTCTAATCAGAAAAATAGTTTACATGTTTCTATAAAAACATGTGCATTAAATGCATAAAGCAATGATTATTAGATGAGGATTTTCTTGTAATTTAGTACTGTATATTGCAATTTTATATTAATTTATTACGTATGACCAAGATTTTTTTTTTTCTCAGCCGACCCAAAATGAGTGGTCACAACAAAAGACCCAACAGACCTGATGTTACCAAGATACCACAGGATGAACCTCCAGCAAAGGTATTACTGTACTCGCTTAGCCTTATGCTAGTTAACTGTAGTTTAGTATACTGTGAAATAAATACTGTACATGGATATAAGCTCAACTAAATGTTTTCTAACTATAATTTTGTGGGAGATCAAAGGTAAGTGAAGCTAAATTATGATTAAGGACTGACTAGGTTGTAACTTGTATTGTTTTGTCTTTACTTGTTGAAAATCTATTTTTCTTTGTCATCAGTTTACTAGCATAGTTCTACTGCTTGTATTCTATACCAATTTAAAGACAATTAGTGAGTAAGGAACTTTGCTAATCCTTGAAAATTTGGCATTCTTCTTTGCTTGGTAAGTATATTTGTATTTGTACTATTTTGAGATAGGAAGTAGAGGAAATAAAGCACAGCCGAATGAACTTTTTGATACTTGAGAAAATGTCACTTTGTTTACCCAGTTAGTTTGGAGGAAAAATTATAATCTGATATTGTAGTTTGACATTTCATTGAAAATTATAACTCATAATGGATTCCCGATATATATTTCACCCCTTTGTCAACACTTACAAGTCTTTTTCATGTTTTCAGCTGGGATTATATGATACAGACAAAGACACTCAGAGTATGGAAATACATGACAATATTAAGGCTGTGGTAAGTGTCAGGTCATGAAAGATGATAAATAAATGCTAGAAAGAATGAACTTATGCAAATTCTATGCAGTTCAAGAAGATGGAAAATAGAAGCTAGATTCATTTTCTTGATTACTAAATTGAGGGGGTAGGGTAGGAACTTTTATAGTAATGGCTAGAATAGGGAACTGTAATTGCAATTTAGCCTTTCATATCGACACTTATTGTTCGAGTTCATATTATGGCATCTGAAGACAAGTGTGACACTGGTCCTGTGTTATAGCTTGCTTTGAGTTCATCTGTATATGAAGTCTAACTTTGGGTAGTTATGTGAAATGTTAAATCTGCAGTCAAATACATGTGTTAGGTTACAGTAGAAGACAACCCCCTGAGCATGAATTTGTGCTGGCATACCTAATCACGTGCAACGGTCACATTTATAATTGTGGCACTTTATACTCACGTTTTGTCATTGAGCTTCTTTTTTTTGTATGATGCACTAGATAGAAGCTGTTGTGCTTGTGGAAATTTCTTTTGGCATCAAGATTAGCAGGTAGATATCACTGACGTTTAAAAATATGGTCTGATATCTTTGCATCTGATGCCAGATGTCTCTTATTTTATGAACCTCTGGCATGTTTCTGTGCCAGCTACAGTAATGTTTTCAACTGTCATTAAGAATTTTGAGGACCAGTGTGTTCTTGAATTTCATAGGTGTGAAGTATTGATGATGGCAAAATTTATTATCATTGTTTGGTGTATAACCAGCAAAACTAGCAAGTGTAAGTAATAAGTGGTGTTAGAAGAGGTATCGAAGGATTAGATTGGGTAATAATATATCAAACTGGACGAAGTCATTGTCACTCCCAACGAACAAGCCAGGTCAGCTTGATCGGTGAGTACTGCTTAGATTACTTAAAGTATTTCATTTCAGCACTATTAGAATTCCAACTAATGATGCGGCTTGTGGACGTTAGCATGAAGATGGAGAAATTGCAAGAGGAAATTATTTAAAAAGCAAGCAAAAGGGGTGGTAAGGATTGCTTCAGAAGAAAATCTAATATATGAATGAATTTGCATATGTATTGATTTTAAATTGAAAGAGCACTAAATATAGCTGTATACAGCAAGCATAATTGTGTTTGAGGAAAATGGAATATCTGAGAATAGTTTACCAATTAAAATAGTATTACAGTATAAACACAAGCTTATGCAAAAGAAAAGATTAACGTTTAAGCTTAAATGTCGAGAAATATAAGAAACAGTTTACTGCAGGTTGCTTAAAGAAGAATGCCTGGTGTTGATTAACTTGTATATTCTCAATGGCTACATGCCACTGGTGACATGAAAACTAATCACTGTTCCAGAAAACAAATTCCAATAATACCCTGTCAAAAAAAAGTTCCTTCTGTTACATGTTAATATTTTCACAAAGTGTCTCAGTGATAGTAATGACTGAGTTAAGGTACATGAATATGATGAAGACCGGGGTATACTCGCCTAATTGTGTTTGTGATCAAATGTTTTTATGCACGATGTATGAAAATATGAATGAAAGAATTGCCTAAAGAGGACTAAATTAATGCTATAGTACTACACTTCATTTTTGTAGTGGGATAAATGAATAAATAAATGTAGAGCAATAGGTTCTCAAATGTAAAAGTTAAGGTTATTACAAAAGTAATAAATAAAGTTAATCTGTTTACATAAAATCAAATAAACTGTTAATGGGAATTTGTTATAATATGTGTGTGGGTGTATGTGTGTGTTTTAGAAAGTGTGAGAATGAGTGCATGTAAGTATGAACTTGTCTATTTGTGCCTGCATATTTGAACATTAGCTCTTGGACCCCCTGTAGGTATGTATATATGTGTGTGTGTATGCATGCTGAGATTAGTATAAAGTATAAAATGGTCCTGACAGTATAAAAAGGGGAACAGAATGCAAAATATGCCAAAGAGGTCGCTTTAGGTTGAAGTATAGTAATGTTTACGCTAGTGTTAGCTCTGATGAAGGAATTTGGTAATATGCAATAATAAATGATGTAGTATTAATCTGAATGAAAATAATATAAAGTACTAAAGAGGTACATAAAAGATTGCAAATTGTAATTGAATAGGGAAAAGATTTAAGTTGGTATTGTCGGATATGATTAAGGAATAGAGATTTGGATATCCATGATTAAACCTAATGCTGTGGGTTTAAAACATGTGGGTATTAATATAAAATGTAATGTAAAGGTAGAAGGGCAAGCTGTTTATCCACAACATGATGCATAATGGAAGTGCTTACACTATAATGTGGAGGTGTAGGAGTGTAGCAGACCACCAAATGACACTTGTTTAACAGAGAAATTATTAACGAGAATTCTTTTACTTCGTTAATGTTGATTCATCCATGGGAAATTTAAGTTGACCAGTCTACTACTACATATGATGGTGGTGATAATTGTACTGTACTGTATAATTATAAATTTGAAAAATATATGTTGATTTTTTGTATTTGCGAGCAGAATCTTTATACAGAGTAAATTGGTACAAACACTACAGTCTGTGCCTAATCTTTCAAGCTCGTATTTTTTCTCTTTTTTTTTTTTTTATTGTATAAGCTTTTCCACTGATATATCTCCACATTACATTCTCTGTCTCATGTAGTTTTGATCTTGTAATCTTTGTCCCCGTGTCTTGCTCTTTAGCATTTCTGCTCTCAATTTCTAAACCTCCCACTTCACTTGGCACTCATGCTTTATTGAATGGATGGACAAGTCATAAAGTATTTTATAATTTCCTTTGGGATTACTATATCTTCTCTTTTTTTGTGACACATCTGTATGTGTGATGAAGTAGTTACCAAGATTTTCTTTGTTGAGTATAGAAGCCTTCATCCCATTATATTTTTCCTCTCCATTCAATTGCCCAATCACTTGGGCTGGATGGTAAAGCAACGGTCTCACTTCGTGCAGGTCTTCGTTCAATCCCCGACCGTACAAGTGGTTGGGCACCCTTCCTTTTCCCTGTCCCATCCCAAATCCTTATCCTGATCCCTTCAAAGTGCTATATTCGGTAGTCATAATGGCTTGGCACGTTCCCCTGATAATTCCCTCCCTCCATTTTCAATTCTACCTTCAGAGTAGTTCGCAGAGAAAATTGGGCAGTCAAATCCTGGCAGCTCTCTCTTTTTGCAATTGCAGTGACTATTTTCTTATATCTGCTGGAAGGTGTTAAGAGTATTTTGTACCGCTAAGCACAGCTTTCTTTAAAAGAAATATGGTAACTGTCATCTTCAAACATATAGTATATTGCCCTCTGGTATATTGCTTAAAAATTTAATGCATATCATAACTGCTGCTAAATTTTATTTTCCTCCTTTTTTCATTCTATTGGCTCTGTCTACATCTTCATTTGATAAAACCAACCTCTTCAGTGCTCTCTTCTTTTAAACTCTAACCTCGATGATTACAGCCTTCCTGAACCTCCTCTGATCAATCCTCTCTCAACTAAGTAGGTTCTTGAAGCCCTTCAAGCTTTAAACAGAAAGTAAGCATTTGATGATGTACCTCTGTGGGGTTAAAGGAGGGGTGCCTTTGTGCTTACATCAATGTTAGCTTCTTCAAACTACTGTATTGCTCTCATCTGTTTATGCTTCTTATTAATTTTCTAAGTTACTTTTGGGTTATAATTAACAATTTGGTGGCAAAATGTTTGCAAATGAATGTTTTAGGATAGATGGAAAAAGTGTAGTTGATAATAGGTTTTGTGTGATGATGCCTAATATATGAAAATGTATACTCATTTAAACATTCCTCATTTATTTTTCATAATACAGTAAATAAAATGGAAATGTGCACAGATTATCAATCTATTTATCTATAAAAAGAAAAAATATAATTTTCATACTTTCCATCAGATAATTTGCAAAGCATAGAGAAAATATACTCCGGCAGTGCAATATAGTCTTAAGTGATGGATTAGTTGGCAGAGGTGATCTCTGGTCCTTTTATAGGTTCTGTCCACACACTTCTTATGCATTTCAAGATGTATAAAAGTGTAAATAGAAGGGTTAAGGAAGCAATTTTCAAAACTACTTTGATCTTATTGCATTTTAGCATGTGAAAGTTTATAGTAAATTATCAATGGCACTTAAATGTATCATCAGAATGCTAAAGTGTTAAACAAACATTATTTTCTCTGGTCACAATTAAAATTTTAGTAAGATGTATTATACTAGTGATCTTGTATTCCTCATATGGTCCACCTCATGTCAGGATGATTGTGATCATTATTCTTGTTGCTGGTCATTTCTTATTTCTAGTTTCTCAGAACTGTTGCTGGTCATGAAGGTTGCTCAGATTGTCTTTCTCCATCAGCAGTGGTATATTACAAGGTTCTTTCAAATTATTCTCTAACGCTGAATTGCATTCTTTGATCTTCTATTTCTTTTTATCTTAATTCCATATCTCTGGAGTATATATAGTATGTGAAATTTAGTTAAATGTAAGTACAGAAATGAAACTTGGGTTTTTATCAATTTATAAAAACTGTTGACCATTTACCAGCTCTTATTTCAGAAATTTATCAAATACTGTACTGTACTGGCATCTATTATCAGTATCCTAATCATAGCATTTACTTCCAATCTGTCCTGGAAACCTCACATCAAAACATTTTCCAAGAATGTTTAAAAGTTAGGCTTAATGTCAAACGTTTAGAAGGACTCTTATAAAACATATATTCCCCTTGTTCTGCTCAACAAACCTCTCATTTTCTGTACTCGAGAATACTGATCTCATGTCTGGAATAACTTTTCCTCTGTTAAACTACTGATGCAGTTCTGTGGAATTTCTTCATATGATCAGTTCGTCTTCTCTCACATCTAAGCTTGAGTTTTTGTGTGTGATGCAAAGCTTCATCTCTCTTTACCACTATTTCATGACTCTTGCACTCATGAACTTGAATTGTGTACCCCATTCTTTATATATGGTCACATGAAACTCTTTAATTGTAATTTCGTGGTTACTGTGCT